ATTTAAGTTACAGCAGAGTCTCTTCAACCCTTCAGACCTTCTGTGTTCTTACCACTGCGCCTGCCAGTTGATGAAGCTGAACGAGGGGTAAAGAAACAAGCCCATCTCCGCCAGCACCCCCTGTTGGTCGATGCTGAATAAAAAGCTCGGGGACGGGGTGGACTGGAGGGACACGTACACCGACTGTCCAGACCTACAATACAAATTCAGAAGTATTTTATCGTAATGAGGCGGACAAAAGGTGGAATAATTTACAGTGTTTTTAAATGATTAACTGATTAAATCTGATTATCTGATCTTTAGAGACCTGGAAATGGTGAAAAAGAATAATAATAATAATAAAAACAAATGGGATTGTCAAAGTTGACATATTGACATTTAAGGTGTGTTGATTGATTTGTGATGTCAACTCAAACATTCCACCTTAAAAGAAGAGTTGGGACCGATCCAATATGGTATCGGATGCAGATATTGACTTAAGTCAGAATCGGACTGACGTCACTGATCCAGATTCAAACAATAGTTTTATGAATATATAATAATGCAGCCAATAAATAAATAAATTAATTAGTAATTAAACAGTTCTACTACGATATCAGTAGTCCTCATATTGCCTTTGTCTCCCAGAATTGAGTTAGACGTACAGATCGAACCTGCATTGGACCATGAACCTGCTGTAACGTAACGTCAGTCTGCAACTGAGTGAGTTAGTAACAGTTAACGTCCGTCGGATCGACAAATGTGTAACTGGTAATGTGAGTAAAGCAAACATTCAGAGGATTGGAAGTTGTGCTGCATCGTACCAAAATACAGACTCAGTTAAGTGGCATCAGTGTGAGCAGACATTGAAATTCAGGTATCGGAATCAGAACCGAAACAAACTGGTGGATCGGTGCGTCTCTATTTAAAAGTTGCTGGAAGCCTTTGAGTGACACAGCGAATTAAATTAGTTTTTCCTCCACACTGTAGATAGCTAACATTAATTAGTAAAGTTCATCCTCTACACTACTGCCTGTTAAACTTTACCAGCTCGTGCTGCATCCACAGAGTTTGCTTGGCTTTGTTTTCATTGTGAATTATTAGATGAGTTTGATTTCTGCAACTTTTCCTCAGAATGGATGTTTTGAATGCGACTTCATCTGCGTAAATTAAATCATTCAAAACATAAACTACTTGTGTTCATACACCTATAACTGCTTATAGCCATGACAATTACAACCTACTACATCCGTGGTATAAAGCATCACTTTGCTGGATGTTTGCCTGACTGCTGCGTAATGTTCTCAACATGATTAAACTATTCATAAAGTTTCAAACAGCACTACACTTCTGATTTTTAGGAGATTATATCGTCCCCCTGAAGAGATTATGTAATATTTTAGAGACTTTATTAAAAGCTGAAGAGAAGCTTAATCAGAGAGGAAGCAAACATCTTTACTTTAACCTTGAAAGTGTTCAGTTAATCCCGGTGAGACTCTCTTACCGCAGTGCCTGAGCGACCGAAGGCTCCAGATGCACCATGGCAGCAGGGATGTTCAGCTTTGTGTCGCATTCATCCCCGTCGCAGTTCATGTCCTGGATCGGGTTACCGGGAAGAGCGTAGACGAGGACACCGGTGGCGTTGGATTTGGCCATGCTCTGCACCTGGAAGGAAGGGCAGCGACCAGTGGATGGATCCATATTATTCATATTAGAGGGAAGTCTAATATGAAACTACAAAGTGGAAAGAGCAGCAGGACTGCAACTAATGATTATTTTAATATCAATTAATCTATTAAGTCATGATTGACCTCTTTAAATTGCTCGAGTGGTTCCAGATATTCAATCTACGGATATAAAACAGAGAAAAACTGCAAATTCTCACATTTAAGAAGCTGCAACAGGAGAAGGTTTTGTGTTTTTTCTCGATAAACGAGTTTAATTGTTCGTCAATCATTAAAATTGGTGTCAAATAGTTTTCATGTGCAGCAATAAAGCCTAATTATTGTTAATAGGATCAATTTGATTTAAAATAATATCTCTGTTGGAAGTAACAACCTGAGCAAGAAGCAGCAAACAGACCTTAGTGAAGAAAGAGCAGTTTCCTTCAGAGACCCAGGCCACAGCACCCTTCACCAAAGGGGAAGGATCGCACCCGTCACCTGCATCCATCAGCTGATACGACCTCTGACTCCAGAGCGGCAGCCAATCGTACCTGGCTCTCAGCGACTTTACAATCACAGGTATGTTCCACCCTGTGAGGAGGGAAAAATTACAGTTCAGCCGTTAAAATCTCATGAAGCGGCGTCCAAAACACACACGGCGCTCTTACCCTCGGAGGTGAACACAGCCTGGGAAAGGCGCGAGCCCCAGTAGTAGAAGACGCCGGGTATCCAGTTACCCAGAGCGAAGACCGGCACCGGAGAGAAGTGCAGCCTGGACAGAACCTCCTTCTTACTGCGGGAACACGTAGGAGAGACATTAAGCATTATGGTTTTATTAAAGGTCCAGTGTGTAGGATTTAGTGGCATCTAGAGGTGAAGCTGCAGATTCAGAACTACAGCCAGTGTTGTGGTTTGTCCGTTCTGGGCTACTGTAGAGACATGGTGGCCTCCGTGGAAGAGGACCCGCTCCCTCTGGAGATAAAACCCGCTCATTTCTGAGTTAACGAAAAACACAGTGATTCTTATTTACAGGTGATTTATACATTAATGAAAACATAGAAATATGATATTCCTTCCACTGGACCTTTAATTCACGAACAAAGGTGCATTTTGGGGATTTTAAATTATAAGATATACCAAAAAGTTTATTTAAAAAGTAAAAATAATACGCATATATTAATATAAGTTAGAGAGGGGAAACTTTCCTGCAGGACTCTTACTTTTGGTTTTTAATACTTCTGTACTTTTACTTCAGTAATATTTTGAATACTTGTAATGGAGGTTTGTTAACTTTGTCTTATTGCTTGTACAACCACACTGGACTCTTCTCACCGGTGCTGCACGGCGGCCCGCTGCAGCTGCTCCCTCATCCACAGAGCATCAGTGACCGCGGAGTCGTCCAGGGACAGGAACAGAACCTGGGCGCTGTCGGGCAGGTTCTGGACCAGGCTGCTCAGGGACGACTCCGAGCTCCACAGACACTCCAGGAACCCGGACTTGTTGGTGAATGCGTGAATGATGAGAGGCCCCCGCAGAGCTCCGGGCTGGTAGGAGAACTCCCCATCCAGAGTCCGGACAGTGAACGCGGCTGCGAGGTCTCCCGGTTCCGGTCCGGTGTCCGCGGAGGTTCTGACGGATCTCACGCTGATCATGTTGTCTTTGGACTCACAGGCCGCTTCATCTCCGATTAGTTTCGTTCTCCCAACAGCGTTTATCACATGAGCTGTCACAATAAACAGGAGCCACAACACCGAGAACCTTGAACGCAACGAAGCCATGTTTCCCCACTGACAGCGAGTGAGCGTGAACTCACCACAGACAGCAGAGTCCGAGCATTTGTGTCTCAGAGTTTATCCGGATATTAAAGCTTAAACTCTGTTAAACTCTGTTAAACTCTGTTTTCAGGGATCATAATCTTCCTCTGAAGACTTTTGAGTTGGAGGCGGGTCGTGCTGCTGGCTACGGCGGCCGTAGAGGAGCAGAAGTCAAACCGAAACTGAAACTGGATTTAACTACACTGCGCTTTAATGCTAAGAGTGAATATATTTTGTGTTAATATGGCAGCAAATCATAATTTATTTATATCACAGTATCCATGTTGGAAATAGTCTGATAACACAATCGTTAAATAATAAATTCAACATGTTCATTTACAATTAGAGGAACTAAATTAAAATTTCTCGCAAGATTTTTGGTCAAATGTGTGTTTATGTGTCACTTCTTGGTCTGTATGTCTTCATTTTAAGTTTAAAAAGTACATAATGTGGATGATTTTCTTCCATTTGATGTTTCTTTATGAATCTAAGTCCTTTATATTACCTTTAACAAACAGCATACAGTAGTTTCTTAGTCATTTTACAGACGTTACATCGAAAATCATGTAAGAAAAACTTGACTCCATGCAGGGAAATAGTTGAAATTATAGTTAATGTTTGCACCTGCAGTTTAAACCCATCCTCGCTACATAAAGTAGTTCCCTCAATGTCTGTAAGAAGCTGAGAGGAATCACCTCCCAACAGGAAGATGACTCACTGAGAAACACTTTCTTCACCACAAAGTTTCAAGTTGGACATGATTACATGTAATTAGTGAGGAGAGGCTGCTCTCAGAACGATGCAGCTTCAGCATATGGAGCGTCTATTTCAGCTGCAAGGCTTCGTCTTCTCGTTGACTTCAGGGTGACGTCTCGAGAGAGAGAAAAGGATGCAAATGGCCGGTCGTGGTATTTTGCATCAGCGCTTACAGTTGGCACTAACAGTTAACGTAAAACTTCTAATAATAGCCCGGGCGTTTATTTGCTTTAATCACTGAACTCCGCCTGCCTCTATTTGGGACAGGCCTCTATTTGGGACAGGTGTTTAATTCCTTTAGCACAAAACTAAACTAAATTCTAACTGCTGCTTCTCTTGAGATTTTGTTCAGCAAATTTGATAGCTAACATGATTATTATGATGCTTCAGAGGTTTTTGTCCTTCTCTCTTGTTTACCATGTTACCGGTAAGTCAGAATGAATTAACGTTACACTTTGTTGTTGATCGTTTCCTTAAAATCTAGTGAACGATTGAATTGTGGAGAATCTATAACTGATCTAACAATGTGCAGCATGTACATATTGACAGAAGTTTAAACATTTATATTTGTGTAGGAGATTGAAACGACTTAAAACTCACTCACCCTGGTGGGTTTTATACATCGAGATAGTTTCTATAAAATCCAGACCAGGCCTCTATTGGAGACCTGCGTTTATTTGTCAAAACGTGTAGCCACAGCAGGCTTTTAAATGAAACCTGCGTTTATTGGAAGTTTTACGGTACGTCCTGTCTGTGCGAGAGTGATGGATACAGTCAAAGAACGCAGTAGGAAAATAGAAATTTAATCTTTGGCTTGATTTGTACTTTGACTAACATCCATTCATTCACATCAATATTTAAGTTTTACAGAGTGGCATCATTTGTAAAAGACAAGGAAAGAGGACATGATGATGTATCCAGGATCCTTGGAGGGATTTGGATCCTTCCCCTCGAACAGGCCGAAGTAGAGAACGGTGTTTGATTCGCTCACGTTCAGCTGAAAGAGGACAGAAACAGACACACTGTGTTCATAAAAACTCAGATTAAACCAACATTATTCAGGAAAATTACACATTTTAGCTCCCAACAAACTAAACCAGTCTGGACTGTTTGGTTTAATCACAGGAAAAAACATTTTCTTTGTTTCTTGAGAAATATAATAACTGGTTAGGGACTTCTTTGTTAGTTTAGGCTACATAATGAAGAATATTAATTGTAAATATCACTTCTATGAGGCTGTTCTCAGCAGACAGATCACTCAGATAATAAAACTACACTCAAAGTTCATTATAATGTTGATTCAGATCCCAAAAATGTCTAATTTTTAGGGGAAAACTATGAATTCTCATTGTCTGGAGACGCCCGTTCACACATCAGGACATCGTCTGCGTCAGTCAAATTCTCACCTACTGGAAGTATATTGATTAATGCAGCTTTAAACAACAGCTACTGTAGATTAAAAGAGATTAATAATGCAATGAAATTATAAAGTTTGGGGTAAAGATCTTTACCTGTTTGGTGATATCGACCCTCCAGGGGTTGACCTGCAGTCCATCACACCAGCCTCCTCGCCCATACAGCCATGTGCCGTGTTCGTTTGGTACGGCGCCCTCTTTCACCCGCGTGGTGCAGCCCAGAGGCGTTCCTGATGGTTCCCAAAAGAGATCAGAAAATTACCTTTCAATCAGCGGCTTAATGTCCGCTCCTCAGGCCAATTTATCGATCAGCTGATCAAGAGATTGATCAGAACTTTCTGTCATCTGCTGGTTCCAGTTTCTCAGATGAGAGGATTTGTTATGTTTTACATCACAGTACACAGAGTATCTTTCGGACTGTCGGTCGGATAAAGTAAGAGCATTTCATGTGTCATTAAATCAGATTTTATGGAGGAAATGTTTTCTAGTTTTCCCTCCGATGTCCTCCGGCTGCTCCGCCTCAACTCTTTGTGATTTACAGAGTTTCCTGATAGACAGTAAAGTAACTGCTGCGAAATGTAGCTGCTGTTAGCGAGTTAACAAAAGGCCCGGACACACCAACCCGACTATCGGCCGTCGTCGGACAGTCGGGCAAGGTTGTGCTAGTGTCTTTTTTTTCCTTCCTCCCAACCCCGGGGGGGGGGGGGGGTTTTTTTTCCCCCCGGAGGAGAAAAATAAAAAAGGGGGGGGAAATATACCCGGGCTCAGGTGTTAAAAAGTTGTCCACTCCCTTGTTTTTAAACATAAGTAATCATAACAAATGTGTAGCTGTCCATACGTACGACAGTGGTATTGCAACTAGGGGGCGCCAAATCGCAACCAAATTGACATAACGTTCCTTTAAAAAGTCGACGTTCCCTTTACCTGCAGAATCGAATACGAGGGTGTTGTTGAAAACAGTGTTGAACAGGAAGTGGTGGGAGGTGACGCAGAACTCTCCGCAGCTGTTGTCATCGCTGCCGTGGGCCGTGATGACGGCGTACAGCTCAACCTGAGAACAGACAGACGGCCAGCTGAGACGGGGACGGACAGACAGGAAGCTCTTTAAAAAAGGATTAATAATCAGATCTGTTACCTTCTTGGTCGAACCCTGGACGAGGAATTTGATTGGCTGGTATCTCTTGTTGTAGTTCTTGTCGAAGGTTCCCCCGCTGTACAGTGGCATTACTCTGAAGGGGCGGAGCTCCTCCTCATCCTCACCTGTGATATCACCTGTGGATTCATAGCAAATTAAAGTTAGTCGGCAACAGTCTGACAGTTGTTTATGTAGATAATCTCCCTCATAACGATGTATTAGTTGTAGTTGTGTTGTCATTTATTTTGACTTTTTTTTACAATACACTGTTTTATACTAATTTATACACTGTTATAATTTGTTATTCATTTTAAAATAAAATGGTGCACCTCAAGCGACTCAAATTTGCAAACTTTTATTTAATTTTAAAGCATTTATACTGTAGACCAACCACTGTATGATCAGTGTAACTTTTGTTAAGAGTTTGTGTGTGTAAACAGTGAAAACAGAACTGTAATATTATTTGGCATGAAATGTGCTCATGGCCGAAGTTCATGATGAAATTAGCTCAATAATCACGTTGTAAAATCTAAAGCACATGACTGTATTTCTTCAGAAACAAACATCTGGTCTCTGACGATGTCCGACAGGCTCCTGTTTGTTCCTCAATCATCCCTCTGTGTCACACAGACTGAGTCAAAATAGTTTCCTGGAACTAGAAGCTTTGTCTTTGCAGTGTTTTTATCCACATATGTTCCAGTAACTATTTACAGACAGACTGTTCCTTCCTGCTGAGAGATTCCTGCTCACTGCTTTAGAAAAAAAAAAAAACAGAACAGAACACGACTTTTTCCTCAAACACACACACTTCTGCTGTTAGCTTTGGCAGCAAACAACACTGCGACGCACGTAGCTCCACATACCGGTCTGATTGCTGATACTGAATCTCAGGTTGAGGGAGACGATCCACGGCATCGCCCACGGCACCGTCTTCATGGTCAAGGTGCATCTGTTGCTGTCCAGCAGGGGGAGCAGAGGGGACACGTTCGTCAGCCAGCGCCCGATACCTCTACAAACATAATGACAACATCAGATAAAATAATCAGATTCTTGCAGCTCATAACCAAGCAGGGACTAGTTTTCCAGTCACTTGGAATTGGATTAAAATGACCAAAATCCTGGAAGGTGAGAACAGCCAAGCTCGCCACGAAAGCAAGATAACGCAGAGTGTCACATATATAAAAACACTGACTACCAACCTGTAATAAACCTGACAATCGTTAAAAAAGAAGTCAATACGAGGGATAAAACTCCTGGAAAATGTCCTGGAAAGGACATTTAAATCATATTAATAAGAATATTCTGATGCCCAAGTACACAATGTTCAGTGAAATGTGCCCAACAGACCAAACTCTTCACACACAATTAAATGTTTGAATCTTAATCTAAGAACAGTCGTCTGTTGTGCTGATTCTGTACATACACTAATCTCACGCACACTAATTAACCAAAACATGGGAGCAGATTGTATTTTATTGGGCACACAAAAGCATTTCAAGTGCTCATATTTTCATTTCAATACTTTTAAATTTTAAATTTAGACTTAAAATGTTTAAAGGATCCACAGACCGCACAGATAGATGTATTTAAAAGCTGTGTATTATCAATATGAATAGTAATTATTAAGTATTTGTGGTTTTACATCAACATCTGACCTGCGGAAGGCCGTGATCCATCGGCCCAGCTCCATGTTGCAGTACGGGCCGAGATGATCACAGCAGATAAACAGCTGCACTGTGTGATCCCATTGAGCGCAGGACAAATCTCTCTTCCCGGGACAAGACAGGGACGCATCGAGCTCCAGCGTGTTAAAGTCCAACAAACCTGCAGAGAGAATATAATGTTTATATATCATTAAAATGCTTAATAAAGCTATTGTTGTTTTTCAGAACAGGGTTAGTTGTTTTGAGTGGTCTCTAAGGGATGCTTTAGAAGATAAGTGTCCCATAACATGGATTATATCATCAAGGTTAGACCTGAATCCTCCCATATCACAGATAAACAGAAAGAGTCTATAAAACCTGCAATAAACTTGAAGTTTTAGTGTCTAATGATGGTCTACATCCAGTTTCAGGGTTTTAATCTCACACATATTGTTGAGGACGTTACCTAACGGCAGGTCGACTGTGGCAACCGCTCCTTTCTCTCCCTGCATTTGCACTTTGTCAAAAACAGGAACAACCTTTGCAGGTCTCTGAAGTTTGGTCTGCAGATCTGCGTAGAAATCAAACCTGGAGACACAGATAAAGAACATAAATCATCAAAGTTCTTTCTCTAATACAGTATTCTACGTTTCAAATTGTGAAAAAGAATTTACAGAAATGTAATTTAAGATTTGAAAGAATCAGAAAATGTAAGATTTATACATTTAAAAGTAAAAATCTTTTATGATTGTAGTTTTTAACAGTTTTAAACTTCATGTTGATCACTTCCCGTTCACTATCACCACTTCCCCCTCTGGAAATCCCCCGCCACCATCAGGTTTCACATCTGTTACTTGTTTTTTGGCAAAGTATACGTACATATACAACGCATTTAACTCCAGTTTAGTGTTTAATGTTCTTACACACAGCTCCAAGAACGTCATAAGTCAAGTGAATTCGGCCCAAAATATAACTTGAATATTTGTTATTTTCTTTGCACAACCCAAATGCTATAAACTGCATGTGTAAGTGAACAAATTTAACATTTTCTAAGTGAATACATCACATGAACTCACTGTAACGTATCATTATTGTTAATTATCAGGCCTGCTTACAGGGGAAATGTGCACACTCTCCTTTAGACTCCATCTAGAGCAGCAGCTAAATAAGGAGGGGGAGTAAGGAGGCTGGTGAAGTGTGAGACAGCTGCTCTCACTACAGCCTCTCCTCTTGTGTCTCTCTCCATCTGTGTGAATAATGTGCTTGAAGTTTGCCTCTTGTGTGTTTGTGCAGTCTGTCCTCTTTCCAGGTCTCCATGGTGGACACCTGGAGGTTGCTTGAGGTCCTTCTGGAGTCATATTCTGTGTATATGTTCACAATCTATCCTGGTTGTCAGGTAATTTTACTATGTTTATCTATTTTCTGTCTGTCCACACTGAAAGAGGGATCCCTCCTCTGTTGCTCTCTGAGGGTTGTTTTATCTTAGATTTGTTAAATAACCCTTCAAACCTCCTTCTGTGTTCTTACCACTGCGCCTGCCAGTTGATGAAGCTGAACGAGGGGTAAAGAAACCAGCCTATCTCAGCCAGCGCTCCCTGTTGGTCAATGCTGAAGAAGAAGCCCGGGGACGGGGTGTTCTGGAGGGACACAACCACCGACTGTCCAGACCTACAATACAAAGTATCACACACCACATGAAGAACAAAATAACAGCGTAATTAACCAATAAAGAAACTTTTAAAATCAGATTCTCTGTTCTTTAGAGACATGAAATGATGGATTTTAGAAGAGCTTATGTGATATTATTATCTATTTAAAGCTGTGTTCCTTCTGAGCATCATCACTTTAACCTTTAAAGTGTTCAGTTAATCCCGGTGAGACTCTCTTACCGCAGCGCCTCAGCCACCGAAGGCTCCAGATGCACCATGGCAGCGGGGATGCTCAGCGGTGTGTCGCATTCATCCCCGTCGCAGTTCATGTCCTGGATCGGGTTACCGGGAAGAGCGTAGACGAGGACACCGGTGGCGTTGGATTTGGCCATGCTCTGCACCTGGAAGGAAGGACAGCGACCGGTGGATGGATCCATATTAGAGGACAAAAGGAATGGAGATCATTATAAGCTACAAAGGATTGCAACTAATTATTATTTTTACTGTCAATTAATCTTTTGATTTTGGTTAAATTATGAATCATTTGGAAGAAGAAACCAAAGAGGAAGACTGACGATGGCAAGAAGAGAAAAAGAGTGACCGAACAAGAGGCTTTTTAGTCGTTGGCGAGAGTGAAACAAAAGGCTGCAGACAGACAGCGAACTGGCCTTCGTGCCGTTGGATTAGTCAGTAACATTCGCTGACTTTCTATGTCCTGTGTTGTTGCTTGATGTTTTTGATCATAAGTAATGTAGTCGTAAAGAAATTCACATGTATAGTGCGTCAAACAGTGAACTACGCTCTGAAACTGGGGGGCTGGCAGTGTGGAGGATTTAGTGGCATCTAGGGGTGAAGTTGCAGATTGCAACCAACTGAATACAGCTCATCCTTCCAAGCGTGGAGGAGAAACTACGATCCTCTTAAAAGTTACACACTTAACTTTAAACATTAGCTGCTTTATTGCTGACTTGAACAGACCTTAGTGAAGAAAGAGCAGTTTCCCTCAGAGACCCAGGCCACAGCACCCTCCACCAAAGGGGAAGGATGGCACCCGTCACCTGCATCCATCAGCCGATAGGACTTCTGACTCCAGCGCGCCACGAGCCAATCGTACCTGGCATCTAGTCTCTTGATAACCACGGGCATGTTCCACCCTGTGAGGAGGAAAATGGTGAATACATCACCCAAAATAAATCACATTTTACAGGAAATAAGGGGTTGTTTTAATAAGAATATACAGCAAAAAATGCTTTTTTTAGGGTACATTTTGGAGCCTAAGACACAAACACAAAGGGAGTTTTAAGTTGAAGACCTTAAAAAGATCTTAACTAGTGGTTCTGGAAACAAATCTAATGAATACAGCAGTTAGATTAGAGTGGATGCTAAGATTAGAGTGATGTACTCGTACAAAAAATGCGTCTAATGCAGCTGAAACATTACAGATTCGACCATCACACAGTATTTTCTTGGTGATAGAAGTATTACTTACTTAAACATACTTTAAGAAATAATTTTCCAGGACCTTTCCAGGAGCTTTCCAGGAGTTTTTCTTGACAATACAGGAAGGCAGTTGCTCACAAACTGTCATATTATTCACCAGTAGGTCTATTATTAACATATTTAACATGTAAATACACACTCAGGTTTATGTAGGACATCTGAGCGAGGGGATAAAATACAAGTAAAGATTTCCAGGATAGATTATTTACAGGATATTTGGTCATTTTAATCAACTTCCAGGTGTTTCCATGAGTGGAAAACTAATCTCTAAACTTCCAGGAATGTGTGTGGGAACCTTGTTTACATCTGCCCAACCACCAGGTGAGTCAATCTGACCTTTTAGGCCCACGAAGAGACGGCGCTCTTACCCTCGGAGGTGAAAACAGCCTGGGCGAGGACACAGTTACGTGACGTGCAGCTCCAGTAGTAGAAGACGGCGGGTATCCAGTTACCCAGAGCGAAGACCGGCACCGGAGAGAAGTGCAGCCTGGACAGAACCTCCTTCTTACTGCGCGGGAACACGAAGGAGAGACATTAAGCATCGTGGTTTTATTATTCAAACAGTCAAATGTTTAATACTCTGTCAGGAACTACAATATAGTGTGTCACCAAAAAGCCTTAATCTACAAAATAATGTAAAAACCAACTTATAGATAATAAAATAACAGTTTTAGATCCACCTGCATTTCAGTAAAGTCACTTTAAATACAGCAAAATGACAAAATATACCATTTATGCTGCTTCCTGTAATTGATTTACATCCAACAAAACAGCCCCTGTTTGATTGTCTTCCTTTATAAGACATTTATAATTATTTATTTACTCCTGTTGTGTCTCCTTTGTTATTCTCTTTTACAGACCAATGTGTCTCTCTCTGACCGAACTAAACTTCCTTATTGCAGAGATGTTAAGCGTTATTAATTATTATTAATAAACGTCCTTTTCCAAATGTGTGTTTGTGTGTAAAGTAACTGATTACATGTATTAAAGTTCTGTATGTAAAATTATAAAGGTAATTAACTTGAGGGGTTTCCATTTTATGTGACTTATTACAAAGGGGAAATGTACTTTTAACTCTACGACACAACAGCTACCAGTTACTTTATGCATTAATATTTTATATTAAAACACATTTATCAAACACAACACACTGTTTAGGATTAAAATCAGTGGTTTCCAATTGTTTTAGTCTTGTGACTGTAAGGATTTCCCCTCCAAAGGACTCAGATTGTGTTATTTAAATGAGTATTTTAATCACAAAGAGGTAAAAATATCTATTTATTTCACACAAAAAGCAAATATTAAGGTCCAATAAATGTATATATATATTGTCCAACAGATCATAAATCACCACAGTTCAGGTTGCACATTAATAAATCAGCACAATCTAATCATTTAATAACAATCAATGCAGAATGAGTGCTTTTATTTCTAATACTTTAACACATTTAAACCGATCATCCTTCTGCACTCTCACTTAAACAACATGTTTAAATACTGTTTAATAACATCTTATTGCTTGTACAACCACACTGGACTCTTCTCACCGGTGCTGCACGGCGGCCCGCTGCAGCTGCTCCCTCATCCACAGAGCATCAGGGACCGCGGAGTCGTCCAGGGACAGGAACAGAACCTGGGCGCTGTCGGGCAGGTTCTGGACCAGGCTGCTCAGGGACGACTCCGAGCTCCACAGACACTCCAGGAACCCGGACTTGTTGGTGAATGCGTGAATGATGAGAGGCCCCCGCAGAGCTCCGGGCTGGTAGGAGAACTCCCCATCCAGAGTCCGGACAGTGAACGCGGCTGCGAGGTCTCCCGGTTCCGGTCCGGTGTCCGCGGAGGTTCTGACGGATCTCACGCTGATCATGTTGTCTTTGGACTCACAGGCCGCTTCATCTCCGATTAGTTTCGTTCTCCCAACAGCGTTTATCACATGAGCTGTCACAATAAACAGGAGCCACAACACCGAGAACCTTGAACGCAACGAAGCCATGTTTCCCCACTGACAGCGAGTGAGCGTGAACTCACCACAGACAGCAGAGTCCGAGCATTTGTGTCTCAGAGTTTATCCGGATATTAAAGCTTAAACTCTGTTAAACTCTGTTAAACTCTGTTTTCAGGGATCATAATCTTCCTCTGAAGACTTTTGAGTTGGAGGCGGGTCGTGCTGCTGGCTACGGCGGCCGTGGAGGGGCAGAAGGCTTCAGTCAAACGGGATTTCAGTTGTGACCACGTTAATCCGGATACATTGAAATGTTGGGATGAACTTCACCGACATTTAACGCCGAGGGTGAATATGTGTTAGTGTTAGTGTGGCAGTTAATCAGGATAATGAACTAAACAGTATTCATGTTGGATTATAGTCTAATTACAATCGTTACATAGTAACCTAGCAACAACATGCTAATTTACAAATCGAGGGAACTCTCGCGAGACTTCGGCGTTTTCTCCCTAAATTAAAAACTTTTAAATAAAATTTATTTTTTATTTTTTTTGCCTAATCTGCGTTTAACTGTCACTTCTTGGTCTTGTGTGTCTTAATAAATAAATAATTAATTAAAATATAATCTTATTTGTGTGTAAATGTGTATAATTTACTTTAATTTTATGTTATTTTATGCATTAAAAAAAATACACTGTATTGTTATTTTTAGCTGCATTTATTCCATATTTACAGATTCAGATGCAGGGAAACTGGAAGTGCCACTAATACATTATATAAAAAATCTACTATATACAACAACAATCTCTATGTGCACCATAAGGCTCATAAAGGCTAAATAAAAATGTATGTATTGATTATTTGTTACAGATTAAACTACTCAGCAATGTATACAGCTGTTGTCTCATTAAAATCATGTTTACTCTGTAATATGTATCACTAATGATAATCTAATAATACCACGACAGGTGAGAGGGGATATTTATAATATTAATACTCAAACAATGTTTGTCTTCTGCACTTTTTATATGAGGATCATTTTTAAATGAGCAACAAGCCTCAAACCAGCAATATCTTCCAGTTAAGATTAAATAAATCTCGTAGTTTGGGTTATTTTGGAAGTAATTTTTCCACCGTTTTGCTCTCAAATTGAAAAGATAACAAGACTTCTTCAGAAGAATATTAGAAACTATAAATCCAGTCTCATCTTTCCATGGAACCAGCGCATGAAACACATACCAATCACATCAGAAATCAATATAAATCCCTGTGACTCACGCAATAATTGCCGGAGATGACCTTCATCATCCACTCCAGCTGTGCGTAAAAGCTCTTGTGCGTAAAAGGAGCGACAATGGACCCCCCCCCGTGGCGCAATGGCGCATCATCAGGGAAGATGCGCTGTTAGTCTGTTCTCTATCAGCATTTCAAATAATCCAGCAGCGAGCTGCAGACTACCTGCACGGATATTTATTATTAGCTGTAATCCAGGCTCCAGAGGAATCACAGATTTGTATGCAGACGCATTTGGGTGAAGTTACGCACAGTTGGCGATGATGGAGCTTATTAAAGTTGTTCTAATTGTTGTGCTGCTTCTGACAAATGTTTTCTGTCAAGAAATGGATGTTGACAACTGGAGAGAAGGCACCGAAGAGGTAAGATTATTCAGATTATTCTCATTTGTGAACTTATAGCGTTTCCCAAGAAGATTTATGGACGTAAAACTCCTCTCTGAACCCCAAAATCACAATAAATAAATAGATTTATTACATTAAACTGCAATTTAAGAATCATTTTTATACAGATTAAGAGATAATCTAATAATATATTTAATGTATTTCTTCGCATTCACAAGAACAAATGGCCAAACTCTGAAGTAATTGAAGATTTATTAGTGAGAATGACCAGAAAACCAGGACCACGCCAGTACCTCGGACTCATGGGGAAGAAAGACTCCGGTAGAGCTCATTGATGCCACTTCACACCCAATAATACTGTTTATGTTTAAAGCTGCTGCGTTCAGCTGTTTTTATTTCTCTCCTCCAAACAGCAAAAACGCAGACAGCACGTAAACGTAAGTATTAAGATTTATTTAGTTTCCTTTCTAACATTAAATCTCCTTTACTGAAGCATCTTAACGCATGTTTTAACCTCCAGGGCATAGATTTCAAACCTTTGTTGGTCTGATGGGTAAAAGAAGCTCTGAGGATGAAGGTAAACTTCCAACAGTGACATTAAATAAATACTGCAGAGTGTAAATCTGCCTGGTAACAGCTGATTTCATCCCCTGCAGGAGCCCAGTGAGCTGCGCTGGAGACTGAGGATCTGCTTTCTGTTCTTTGTTTCATTTAAAAGCGGCTACAAAAACTTTAATTTCTCCAGTTTATCATTGTTTCATGAATAAAACATCACATTTAAGTCTGTGGACAACCTTTAGGCGAACAGCGCCATCTAGTGTTGACATAACAATGGTGAAACCCAGGAATCTGTGACACTGGAGATACTTTTATGTAAACTAAAATCCACACAAGTTCTCACAATAAACCCATCTCACTCCTCGGTATCATCACAGGTTTATTAAGTGACTTTGTACAATACAAATGAAAAATAAAATTAAAAATACAGAGATGGAGTACATAGCCAAAGCAAATTGTGGTGTTGACTCTTCATTTCCCCACTGATCGTTTCCGCAGAGTGATTGAAATATTGTGTTTGTTTGTTTGTTTGTTTGTTTGTTGTTGTTTGTGTAAAGCGTCCAGGATCACTGTTTTAATGAGAAAAGTGTGTTTTTCTTTTTCGACAGTGGACGCCGCTCTCCGTCTCTCTGAGGAGTTTCTTCTAAACATACAAAAGAAGTTATAACTTCAGCTGGCTCGGTATATATAAAAATAAACTAAAGTATAACACTTATATGACATTATAAATGGTGGTCCAAGGCTAGTGGAGAATAGCTAAAAACACAGGAAAAAGAAAGCGTTACATTTCAGAAACAAAAAAAGAAGCTTTAGCCATTATTTTTAAATCTATAAAAAAAAAGGCCCAAGGTGCATTTTATTGTTTTTCTTGATCTGTTTTTTTTCTGTTGACTGTCGCACTGATGGGGAGGAGGGTTAAAGGTTCACCGGATACACTCAAAAACAAAACAAAAAGGATTAGTTAATGCCTTGTTCTCTTCTCACTTTAATACATCACAGGAGATATATAATATATATATATATATGTATATATATATATATATATATATATATATATATATATCGGGTTAATGTTCAGAAAAACTGTTACTTTCATCTTTCTTGTAAACAAATAAAAAGTCACCAGAACTCGATTGTACAACAGTCAGACATGATTCGGGCTTTTTTTTTCTTTTTCTTTTACTCCTCGTAAAACTGTACACTTCAGTCATTTAAAAGCAACCTTGGGATGAAAAAAAAAAAAAAAAAAGAGAGCAGCAAGTGGGGGAGGGGGCGGGCAGGGACAGTATTCAGTTATAACAACAACAATAATAATAATAATAATAATAACATCAATAATAATAATAATTAAAATAATAATATGGGTTTGGCCTTTCTAAAACGGGTTTATTTTCTGTTGTTAAGGGAAAACACATTCTTCAATGATGAGTCCCGAGGCAGTGGGGGGGGCTCTGTGGTGGCAGTTCAGTGAGTACATGTGGACCCCCCCCTCCTCACATACCCATAATACCCCCAGTACCCCCCTCTAGTGGCTGGGAGCAGGAGCACAGCTGTGCTGGCAGACAGAGCAGGGGACAGGGGACAAGGAGGGGAGGGAGAAGGGAGGGAGAAAAAGGGGAGGGGGGAGAAATAAAGGGAGGAGGAGGAGAAGGAGGAAGAGGAAGAGGAGGTGGGTGATGTCAGTGCCACACACTGGCGTCCTGACCGGCAACGTTGGCAAAAAAAATAACTCGAGCCGGGGTGGTCCTGCCGACTGTCTCTTAAAAGATCTTTCCTTTCTTTTTGTTTTTCTCCAGAGTTCTGCAGACGAAGAGAGACACACAATGTTCAATCAGTTACTATAAATATATAATTATAAATATAATAACAGATCTACTAACAGCAAATACAGACTTCACTTTCTAAGTTATGTCTGTAGGAAATATGACATTAAAAGGCCGACACAGTGCTGACCGATGCCTGTATGTGCCTTATATCTGAGCGTACGTTGTAACGGTGGTTCCAACATTTCTGAACTCAAAAACACAAACTCAGGTCCACAGTTCCTCGTTTGTCTGCGTTCTCACTGGTTTCAGGTGCTAAAAAGGTGTTAGTAACATGAGACCAAAGCAGAGGTTGACCTTTTACCAGACAGGCGGAGCAGGAACCTCCTCCTTCATATATCATATAAAATGCTGTTGCTTATTAAACCGGGCCTACAATAACATGCAGGGCGTCCTATAGTGGTATAAACCCACCTTGTTATCATGTATACAGTATATTCACGTTTTAATTCTAAAAAGATACATGTGGAATTTATCTTTGCTAATAATATGTTGGATTCACATTAATGTGTTTAAGACATATTTAAAGTTTTTCAAGTAATAAAATCTTTTCCCTGATCCCTGAAGCAACACTGAGGACCTCCTAAGGGTCATGGACCTCCTATTGAAGCTCTAAGGTTGCTGTTGTCTTGTGAATTTGAATTTGTAATTTAGTCACAAATATTCCAGGTTACAGTAAAAATACTAGAATAGAATCTAGTTGGCTGGAAACTTAAAGGAGTCGGTGGTTCTCAGTACGCAGTGTGAGCAGCTCAACATATTACACAATATATAATAAGTAAGGAAGACCTGAATGTATCACAATGTTTAAGTGTTAAAAGGGTGGAGGACTGAGGGAACTACTAACAGTGACCACAAGGTGCCACTAATCCATTACCATCCACCATTTAGGCTCCACTCACACTTACAGTGAACCCCACAGTGGTTGTATTAGTGCATGATGTTGGATCTTTAATGCTTGCGTTTGTTAAAGCAAGACAGTCGGACCGTGAGAAGAGTGACGGTGAGTGTCGGTCGTACCTGGAGGCCTCCAGTTTCTGCTGCTCCAGGCGCTGCTGAACCTCCCAGTTCGCTCTCTCTTCCTCGAACACGCGTCTCTTCTCCTCCAGCTCCTTGTGCTGAGCCTCCAGGTTCTTCTTCATCTGCTCGTGACGCCGCTGAAGCTACAGAGAGACACACGGGACAGAGAAGGAGGTCAGTAGTTTGGGACCTAAAAGAAAACCTGCAAAGACGTGTGAACTGCAGAGATTTTTACACAACACAAAAACCCTAAAACTGAATCAAAGAGAAACCACAGAGCCGCGTTGTGCTTTAATATTTCGAGCTTATGAGTAAATGTTTAGCGTCAGTTCAACAAAACCGAAGAGATATATGTACTAAGACTTTAAATTTACCTTCTTATGAACTGCACGGTGAATTTAATGTTTAATTTAATAGTTTTAAAGGCGTCAGATCAGGAGGCAGAATACAGAAGCTACAAACCAGCAAACAAATCAGCTTTTACACTCTGTTCACGCAGCATTGTTATAGGAGGAACCTCTCTTATCAGTGGCGGAAGTCATGACTGGACACAAAGTTTAGTTATCAGCCAGCCTGGTTTAAACAAACTTACACCAACAATGTTCAGTGTTTAGGTTCATATCTGCTTTTCTTGTCTTCCTGATTTAAAACGAGCGTTTTGTTTGTTACATTGCATGTGTAAAGACAAATAAATAAATAAAACAAGCAAACAGAACATCTATTTAAACACTTTCAGAAGCTCCCTCGCACTATAACGGCCACGTGTGTGTGTGTGTGTGTGTTTCTTACCTCAGCTTCAGAGTCTTTGAGCTTCTGCACTTTTTCCTTGACTTTCATCTCAAACACTTGCTCCATCTCCATCTCCATCTTCTTCATCTTGGTCACGTGCTCTCGCCTTTCCTCCTCCATCTGGGCCAGAGGACTCCTGCACGCGCACACACGAAAACACACACACAGATTTAGACGAGCACTAAAGAGCATCGGCAGCACCGGCCTACTCCTCAGTGTGCGGACAGTAATGTCACCCATTATCACAGTTAACACCATAATTAACTGAATTTAGTGTATTTAACGGCTGATTGACCTAATTTGTTTCCGCACGCAGTAATCTTATTTTAGCATTTCCTTTCTTCTTGAATGTGGAGAAGAAAAAGATGATAAAGAGAAAGAAGTATGGGGAGCATATCTTCTCTCAAAGAGCTGACAGTAACAAACTAACTGATTGCTGTAGCTCTGAGCCAATCTCAAATAACATCATGACAACATTAGGCTCTATCAACCACAGTAATACAACATGTCGGGGTTCAGGAGGAGAAAACACAGCAAGGAGGTGAAGTTTTAGGAAAGACGGGATCCAACAAGGCTGTGACAGGAACAGGAAACCAAACCAACCATGAGACATGTTTAAGAGCCAGGAGAAAGACCCAGAATGCAAAGGAACCTGTGAACACTGAGTGTTAGTGCAGGTGGTGGGTTAAATGTTAGTGAAGCTCACCAGCAGGTTTTGATTGCAGTGTAAGTTTACAGAGACCGGACTTGAAATATGTGGAGACAGATTCAGGAATGAGGACATGAGTAACGTCTGCAGTGACAATCTTACTCATTCTAAAATCTCAATAAACACATATATAAATGATGGGTCTGTGTTTGAGTCCGGCTTCAAAGTAATTCTTAAGAAGATTCAGGGGAACTACATCACTTTATGATGATCGGTTATTATAACAACTGTAGAAAGAAAACAAACTACTGTAAAGCTACACTTACTATTAAACCTCTTACTATGAGCGGTGGGGTCTTACATGTACACAAAATCACAAAGTTGGAAGAGTTTTTGTATTTACGTTGACAGATTTCCTGTTTCCTGAGTGTTAAACTCTTACTAATTAATACCTAAGGATGTTTTTCTCCAAACTTTAACTCAACGTCTGTGATATTAATAATTTTTGGCTGAAGGAAAGGTAAGAAGATAACAGACAAGATACGAGACAGGGTTATATTTCTGGTCTCACTTACAAAGAAAAGGGAATATGCATCATTTTGCTCAGTTTAATACCTCATAAATAAAAAAGGATTATTTAATTAATTAAAATGTAAGTGAAAACACATTTTGTCTGAGAAATAACGTAATAATTTGTCTTTAATTTCATTCTGTTAATGTATAAATCTTCAATTGTGTCGAATGGAAGAGACGAGAACGTGAACAATTAAAAGGTGAAACTCAATCACATTTTTAGTGTTTTAGCTTTAAGTAACTTCAATATAATGAAGTTCTGTTAATGTCTTGCACCTCATAACCATCATTAACCACTCCAAACATCTCCTGTACAGGTCTCTGTAAACAGCAGCAGGTGGAAACAGCGATGAATACATGGAAAGAATTACAGGTTCGGTTGTTGCATCACATTCATAGCCGTCAAACTATATTTAAAAGTGTGGAAATTCACAGTTTTTCTCCTTTTTCTGTTCCTGGAAAATATCTACTGACGGAGGGGGGGGGGGAAAGAAGACCTAAGTCAACAGGGGAGGAAAGAAAACACCCAAAACGCAGCCAACGGGGGAGAAAAAAGCAAAAGGTAAAGAGAAATTGAACATCATTCACAAGGGTCTCAAAAAATAAGAAAAAGGAAAATGACCACTTACATTCCTTCAACTGTGTCACTTCTAAAAAGCAAAAACACAACCACACACACACGCACACACACACACACGCACGCACGCACAGACACACAGCATGCAATAATGAGGTCATGCACTAAAATGTCTATTAGACGTTTCTCTGTGATTTCAGCCACTTTTTTCACTGCAAATGGAAAAAATAACAACGTCGGCTTTGTGAGCTGGGTGTCAAATGTTTAGCTGTGTGTTAGCATCAGCAGTGGGAGGCCTCTGTTGGATTTTAGCTTGGTGAGTTAGACATTTGCTTGTGTCTACATGAATGAGAAAAGCAGCATGGTGCTTTGAATGGAAATGTATGAAAATCAGTGGCGTGATCTTTATGCAAAGTAGTAGTACACAACAAAGAGCAAAAATCATGGAGTGTTTTTTTTGTCAGACAAACGGAGATTAAATGGGCAGTGAGTTAACTCCCCCACAACTTAAGACTCTTCCAGTTACCTGGAACCTAAATGAAGGACAGGAGTAAATCATGTGACAACAACTGCAATCACTTTCTACAGGATAAATGTGTTAGTTACGTTGCTTTATCTGGGTTTCACTAAGTCAGAACGCTATTTAATACCCGATACCGGCCGAAGTATGACGGAAATCAGTACAATAAGGCCTAGAATAGTTTATTATTATATCGCATGAGTCTTATACAACCTTCTACGGTTTCTGTGTAAAAGTAGACCACTTTTAAAGTCTGCACTACATCGAACCTACCGCATGAAATGGAAGACTAATCCCAACCTGCAACAGTTGCATCTGTATAAATCAATTCCTCTCAGCAGGCTTGAATGAACTAATAAACTAGGAACAATTCAGAGGTCCGGTTCTATTCTACACAGCCTAAGCTGCAGGTATAGATAAGACAATTGGACTACGAGTGCAGTGCACTTTGTCCAGGACTTACTTGGTGCACAGTTGGCCTTTAGCCCTGTTGTTATCCACTCCATTGTAGGTGACAGCGGCCAGCTTCCTGCTGCGGTAGTTTTCATAGTGGACGTTGTTCGTCACGTCCTTCAGGTCCTGCATGTGAGTCCTGGGGACGGACGACAAAGTATTCAGAATATTTAAAAACGCTGCTAGCATCCTGATCTGCACTGGACAAACAGTCCTCATGGAGCCTCTGATTATTCACTGCCTGCTTTAATGTAAATCAAACATGCTCCTTATGGACTTTGTGTCTTTTTAAGTACCTGATGAGCATATCCCTGAGGATGGTGAAGTCGCAGTGGTCACTGTTTTCAACTAGAAGGGAAAAGAAGAAGTCAGTCATCAGAATAAAAACATACGTAACCTTGTTTGTACCTCAGACATTAAGTAACATCTGGAGTTACAATGCAGGGCCACACAGGAACAAAAGTAATGTTAAGAACTTACATACACAGCATTATTTTCCTTTTTAAGTCTCATACTGTTTTTTATGTCACCCACATTTGTTTGGATGCTTCACTTCTTTAACTGACTTTCAGCATTTAAGTAATTTTCCGTTTGGTAGCTGAACATTCATACCTTCTGCAACCCCCCAGGGGTATTGTCTCCCTCTGACCCTCTTGCTGTTCACCTCGATGATGGTGTTGCTTCCTACTACAGCCAGCGGCAACTTGTCCTGGCAAAAAAAAAAAAGAACAACATTTGTGAGTCTGGTTTTGTAACAAACTAGAACAGTTGTGTGATACGAGGCGTCAGGTGACACGCAAGTACCTTTATCTTCTTCACCAGCCTGTTCTCTTCTTCGTCATCTGTCTCAGGGAACTCGTAGATCTTGATTTTATGCTCTTGGATTTCCCGCATGATCTGGCAGGAAAACAGAAGATCTTTTAGAAACTTCTGGCAGAGCCGATTGGAAAGAGCTCAACACAGCAGGTGGTACACCGCAGTCTAACAGAATCATTTAAATAAAGAGATAAATTATCTGATGTGAAATCCCTGTAAAAAGGATTGTGTTGATTCAACATTATTATATGAAATCTGTATGATAATCTTACATCTTTCTTCAGTTAAGCAACTTAAATAGGCGACTCTAGATGTAGACGTTTTAAGATCTCTTAAGTTACAGTTTTCACTCTTCTCACACTATCTAGTGTTCATATAGAGACAGTATACAGACTTTAGTTTTACCATAACCTGATGATGAAGATGCCGTTTCTGTCAACTTGTTTAAACTGAAGGCTCTAATGTTATGTAATGATATGTTCCTAATTCAAACTCAACTCAAAATGAATATGACTGGTTAGAAGATGTTGATGTGGTGCAATTATGTGTGTAATGAAGCAAACCACGTCACACAGAAGCTGTTTGCAACGTTACGTCTTACAGGAAGGAACTACCCATCAATCGTCTGTATGCTGTTGTACACACAGCTGTAACACCACACAGGGTCTAGTTTATTTGGGTTTGCTTCGTGATGCACATTTTCACCAACATACCGATGACCACAGCAGAAAAAAAAAAAGAAAGAAAAAGCTCTTGAATACTTTTTTTTCTGCAGTACAGCAGTATGCAGCTGCGGAAAGCACTGACCTGTTTCTTGAACTGTTGGCATTCCTCTGGGGTGAGGGTGTCTGCTTTGGCGATCAGCGGGATGACATTGACTTTCTCATGCAACCGTTTCATGAACTCGATGTCCAAGGGCTTCAGTCTGCGAGGAGATAAAGATACAGCTTTACATGTAGTTCAACCGGATAACGCAAGCACTGTCAAATCATTTTAAAATCTGTACCTTGTGTTTAATATTGATATCTTTAATGTTCTCACCAGTTGGGCACATTTAAAGTACAAAAACATTCATCAAACTCTTACTGGTTACTCCTTTGACACTGAAGGGAGTAAATGGGATATTTTGGGGCTGACTGGCTTTGAGACTTACGGTTCCTCTGTCAGCCCTTCTTTAGACAACACAAGGATAAGTGGAGCTTAACCAAATATAGAAAAGTATCTGTGACGCCTGACTGATGTTTGTAATGTCTAAGAAAATGACCTCGACTTACGAGAAAGTGCTGCTATTCTTGGCCGTTTTTTGAGCTGAATAAATAACATTTGACATTGCTGAATTATTGAGTTATAGCTCTGCATTTCAAAATAATTTAATCTTTATTTGATCTATTTGAGGGCACGGTGAAAAGCTGCCCCGAAGCAGAATCTGACACCGTTATACATAGTATTATGAGTGGGAGGCATGTCTGTCACCTCGCCAGCAGCCATGCAGGTGCTGAAAACCTGGATGCAACAGCTGATGAAGACTTATCCGAAATAAGAGCCACAAAAAAACATCTAAATCATTTAAAATATGTACTAAAGATTCGACCACAGACAACAAATAATGACTGCTGGTCCGTGGAGCAACACAGCCATCTCTTTTGTTGCAGTGCACATCAACAAACACCATATCATTAACAGAAATATGAGGAGAGTAGTAGTAAACAGCTCATGCTGGCGGATCAATATTTCATAGCTGTGTTGTATCAGCAATATCAAAGTCAAGACAACACAGATTATGTATAAATAACAATAAAAGCAGCCCTGACGGTCTGTTTTCACTGCTTTGACCTCACGTAAACTGAGCAGGAGAATGTGCTGTTGTTAAGCTACAATGTGGAAAAACCTCACTGTGATAAAGCTACCAGATCAACCTCGAAACAAACATTTCTCACACTGTTAAATAGGGAAAAATATGGAGAGAGAACAAATAATTAACATGTGACCGAGACCTCGAGAAAGTAGTTATTGGGACATTTGTTTTTGTTTATTATACATTATTTTTTGCTTGATTAATGACTGAAGCAATTAAGTCGATGCGTTCACAATGTTAAAAGACAACTCTCTTAATTGGGGTTTGAACCACAGTTTGGGGAAAGCCAAGTTTAACAGATTTAACAGAGATTGATGAGGCTAATCTTTTTCCTTTAATGAGCCACCAGCCTCAGAAAACCAGTCACCAGAGTTCAGCTGGGAGCTCAATGTCCAGATTGTCTCCCAACGTTGGAGGTCATTGTGATTCTGTACGAGAGCTGCCAGCTGGTGTTATGAGGGGATGCTCTGTGTGTGTGTGTGTGTGAGTGTGAGAGAGAGAGAGAGAGAGAGAGAACATACGCTGCCCATCCTCAAGGCTAACGTACTGCTTATGTGGGTACAGAGGACAGGCTTGTACAAACACAATGTCTCACAGAACGGACAGACAGACCGAGGAAGGAGAGGACAGAGGCTTCTTCGTTGTTTGTTTACAGTAAGTCACGGTCAACAGCTTTAAGGGCATGTGAGCACACAGACATTTGCATAAAACACAAATTGTGCAGCTCCACACTGCAGACAAACATTATCCCGCCCTGCAATGGCAAACAACATAAGCTCCTTTTTGTACTTTGTACTAAAAAGGTCAAGAGCTTTGACTGGGGCAAGCTTTCTTATTATCATATATTTAAACCCATAAATGCATTTAAAGAAGCCATCAACCGAATAGCAGCTTTTTTTTTTATTTAGGACAGGAAATAACCTCTCATGTTTCTAAGTTCGCTACTCCCACTCATTCATGCTCTTCGACAACACTGTGCATCACACGAGACACATACTCTTCTTAAAAGAGGAAAGGCAAGATGAGGACATCTGAGTTGTCAACAAGCTATAGAAGATCTGGCCGCTTGTGAATAATAAACATTACAGCTCAAATTCCACAGTCACATCTTTATGAAACATTCGGCGATCAGTATCATCTGCCGGGCATTTTGCCAGCGTTTCCGTCTGTACTGCTAACGCTGCTACACCCCCCCCATTTTTCTTCCTTTTACAAGATTCAAGTTTTAACCCTTATTTTGCAAGACGAGCTGACTCAAAGTCTCACATGATCATTTACAGCAACGGCCTCGGGGCGGTGGGTGTAGGAGTTGGAGTAAGACAACACATGATTTGACTGCACGCACTCAGGAGATGCACGGCGGGACCACACCTCCACGCTGTTGGCCAACCGAGCCGCTCCAGAAGCAGGAAGGGAGTTGTTGAAAAACGCTAATGGAGCTGTATTAAGTGCCCTTTCCCAGACTGCACAGGGATCTGAACCAGCAACCTTTACTTCCAGTCACAAACCTGCTTGTCTGACCTTTGGGGGCACTCTTGACCTCTCATTTCCCTCCTCGCACTATTTTTTTTTACTCATTTCCTCTCCGTGTTTCCTTTTCCCTTTGTCCAGTCCTCTTTGTTTCTTACTTCCATCCCCTTTCTTTGTATTTAACCAAGAAATCAAGAGCTTCATTCTCACTGGATGGGTGGCGTAAAAAGGCATTAACTGTGGTGTGAATTTGTCTCCCGGACTCACCCGTGTCCCGAGGGGGCGATGAAGTACAGGCAGCAGTGAATTCGGCTGTCAGGCATCTGTCGTCTATTCACCCGGGATTCTGAGTTCAGGTAGTCTTCAAACTTGCTGTCTATGTGGTCGATGATTGGCTGCCAGCTGCAGAAGCCAAATAGCCTCAGTTAATAAACAAATCCCCACAAAGACCCAGAAGTACCCCCTGAGGTAGGAATGTCAAGTAGCTTTGACGTTTTATAGAATATAAACGAGGGAGTATTATATTACTTACCAGTTGCTGTTGTCGACAGCATCTCCGAACCCTGGGGTGTCAACTATTGTGAGCAGCAGCTGGACGCCACCTTCTTTTATTAAAACTTTGGACTGCTCCACCTGACACAGGACAGAGAGTGAAGGACACATTGTGTTTACTTGGACCACAAGCTGTGCCTTTACAAGAGCTGAAAACATAACATCATTATCACTTTAAAAATGGTAATATCTTCACACGTCATATATTTCACATAGACAACACTCGAAGCTAGCAGCATGTAGCAACACGCCACCTCACACTATGCTATTAGCTAACTATGCTGAGAAACCAGAGACGCACACAAGCATCTGGAGATATCAGTGCTGTCAGTCAGGAGCCAGACAGACAGATAAAGTACAGCACTTGAGGCTCTTGAGATTCAGGACAACGTTGTGTAATTAGGGAAGAGGCATTTATGGCAGGAGCTGACAGCGAGTATGAGTTTGTTTAAACCATCATGACAAACAAAGGTTTTACTGCCGCAGTGTGAGAAACACATCAGTGACTCTTTGTTTTTAACAGAGCAGGTTGTCTGGGACTGTGATACTGTACATCGCAATGTTTTATAAATAGTGCATAGACGTGTGTTTCCATTATAATGTGTTAATGGTCCAGTTGCTGCTGTAACTGTTAAGAAGTTTAATGTCCACTCTTGTTGCCCGCGCTCTGATGTTGCCTCTTGTTTGTCTTGCTGCCTGCAGCCTTTTCTCCAACAAAGCTCGTCTCCTTCTCGTAACAAACAACCACATACCGAGAAGAAAGAGCACGAAACATAAAATGTCCTCTATTGTGTCTTAGCTATTATGAGAGGAGCTTTACAGTTCAGTGTGTAATGGAGCGGCGCCGAGGAAAAGGTTAGCGGTACGTTGTCAATCGGGCAGTAAATTGTACGGTGTAGGTTACAGCGTGCCAGTTAATAAACGCTGCAGCTCATCAAGACAAAGAAAAGTCTCGTCTGTTGTTTCCTCAACTGCAGGAAAAGTGAAAGCGTTCAGCCCAGGCGTCCCGGTAACAACCTCACCTACATGTAAGAGTACGGTCTGCGGTGGAAACCCCAAACAGATCTAGGTTTTAGGTACATGTAGGTACAGGTTTTAAGGGCACTATACCGAAAGTGTTTGATGGAAACGCAGCATGAGGCAGTTAATCTCTACATCAGTGAGAATACACTGGAAAACAACCTAATAATGTATGTCATTAACACCAATGTGCCATGAAATGCTGCAGAATCTGTTTCTTTGTTGGTTCTGTGGACAGACTTTCAAATAAAACCTTAAAATGATGGTTTGGATAGCTGCCAAAGCTGTTGGTGGGTTAGAGAATCAGCCACAGCCAAAGCGTAAAAACATTCAATACCACTAACTGTGAAATGTTTCAGCTCTGTATTGTATTTATATATTTTTATTTGCTGCTGGAGGTTTGCTTTTACAGCTCAAAGAGAATATTTATTGGCCTAAATGTACCTGTACGGTCTTTTTGATTCGATGTGAAGGTCCAGGATATTCTGCTGAATACAGGTCTGTGAGGAACAGAGAGTTGATCAACGTGGATTTGCCCAACCCTGACTCACCTGGAAAAAAAAAAAAGCAGAAGACAAATCAGCATTTCAGGAACACTGTGACTTGTTGGCGAGCCTGTAAACACTAAACATTCCTGCTACTGCTATGACAGCCACACAAAGATCAGTGTTGACATCGTAAAGACAAACCAAAGGCCGTGTGTCTATCCGAGGATGAGACTGACATTTGCCCGAGACATTAATCCATTTGGGTTAACAGTTAAAAGGCTAAGGAAACAACACAGACAATGGCTCTTGTTATGTGCCGCTGACTGGCTGTGTGGTCTGGGAGGCTTCTCAAGCTTGGTTGGCCATTGTGTGCCCAGTTTCCAAGCTCCCAATGAAAAGGATCATTAGTGGAAATGACCATTGACACTGCCTGCGTTGGCTGATGGCCACGAGTCAATATTTAACGAGCCACCATTTACACCGGAGCTACAGGCAAAGGGTAATGTGCGGCGCTTGTACTGTAGCATTTGCCTGTCGCACACTTTATGCATGGAGTGAGATTTGTGCTGGTTATTGTTGTTTACTGCGACATGAGGCGGTAACAGGCCTGTGAAATGAGCTGCTCTGCCGTGTGAAGTGAACAGGTTGTCGGGTCATGTGTTTTCATGAGGCATGGGCAGACGTGCCAGTCACTGCTGGTAATACCAACCCCATCTCTCTTCCTTCCCTTCCTTCCTCCCTCCCTCCCTCCTTCATCCTCCTTTCCTCTTTCACACCACACCGGTGACGCATTGCGTTGCGTGGAGGGGGCATGTGGGCTCGCAGCTCATCACAGCCAAGAAGCTGAATATTGTGTGTGTCCATGCAAGAGGGTGATACCATAAAAACAATGGCAAGCATTTAACTGCCAACGAGCCCCAGAGGACCTCCTCTACTTTCTCTGTTGCTAGATGCAAAGCCATTTGTATCTCCTCTGAAATTATTCCCAAAATGAAGCTATTTGTAGCAAACACAGCGAAGCATTCACAGGTCCCGGAGGACCACTTGATCACCATCCAGCAGGTTTTTTGTTTAGTTTTTTGGGAGAGAAGGAGAGAGAGAGAGAGAGGAGCAAACCAAATCTTAAGTGTCTTATTATGAGGATGTTCTGATGTAAGTAACTAATAACAGGAATGAACAGACGGCATACTAAGTGAAATGTATCATCAGCAGCACTGTAAGCCAATAGAGAAACAAAGTGTCGTGAACGCAATGGGAGATGCGCTATTCTTAGAGGCATGCTGGGTACAAATTCTGTCAGTCCCACCACAGGAAATGGTTTTGACCCAAGGAAACATTTTCCCTCCAAACAGGGACTGATCAGCCGAGGAGGATTTTGGCCCGGTGTCAACGACCACATCCAAGCATTTTTAAAGGAATGTCTGCGTTTTTTTGATTCGCTGAGTGCAGCTGAGATAAATCCATCCCAAATGTTTCTGTTCTGGGAAGACAGCGTCGGAGGACCTGACATCAAGATTAATTCAAATAACAGCAAATGCAATGGTCCGCCCCTCCTCTCTGACTCAGCAATTAACACTACAAAGCTTGGGGCATGTCCCTTGTGTATAAATATGGCTACACACACACACACACAATCTCTCTCGCGCTCTCTCAAAAAAAAAAAAACCACAGTGGAGGACTTCAAAATGCCAACCGCAATAAATACAATGAAATGATTCACATAAAAAAACAAGGGCAAACACAGCAGCATGTGTTCTTACCAACGACCATCAGGGTGAACTCAAAGCCCCTCTTGACAGACTTCCTGTACACTTGGTTGGGGAGGCTTGCAAAGCCAACATATCCTTCCAGATTCTTTTGCTGCTGTAAAGACACACATCAAAAACACACACACACACACACACACACACAAAAAAAGGGGGAAATTTAATCTTGCACCCTCGTGTTTGCGGCAAAGCTTAAAAGAAAAGTTTTGATCGCACTCCTCCCACGCTGCCAACAGTGATATACACTCATAATTAGGCTTTTTCATATCTTCGTACACAGCTTCCTCCGGTATAAACAATTAACCTACTTAGGCAAGTGTTTCTGGGTTTAAAGATTTATGGATGATAGATTATATTCTTCTTGCTGGAGGTTTTAAAATCTTGGGTAAAATTCAAAATGTACACTCTGCAGAGACAAACACTCGTTGTTGTTGTTGTTGTTGTAACGGTTGAATAAACGCTGTCATTCAAAGCGTGGAGATGATTTCAATACTTACAGCTGTTTTTGGTGTAGACGGATGCAACGTGGTCCCAAACGTGCAGGACGAAGCCAGCGTTTCCAGGGTCAGAGAGCAAAGGGAGAGAGCAACAGAGCATCAATCTCAGGCCAATATCACAAACAAAACCCACCCAGAATCAAGTTTCCCAAAAGCGGAGAGGCAAAACGGGGCAACCTGTAAAGTCAGGAGCACCATAAAGCAAAATCCATTCATCGCTGCAGCTTTTTTTTCCTTTTCCGCCTGTGGCAGGGAGAGGATTTCTGTGTCTTACGCTGGGGCATCTCCTCGCCTACCACCAACAACCACACATGCCTTCTGCGTGACGCTACGACTTAATATTCTGATTTGCCGACAGGATGTGGAGTTTAATCTCTTCGCTTTCGGGAATCACTACGTATGTTGGATTTTTTTTTTGGGGGCACACACGGTTATATAGAGCGGCCGTCTTTTATCACGGCTGTGTTTTATTTATTTTTTTTTAAAAGTCTGAGCATAAAATGTGAGAAGTGTCACCGTTACAATGACAGCTGTCTGTTTCCTCTCCGGCTCTGTCTGTCTGCTAAAGGAAGTGGTTGCAGATGGGAGGACTGAACTACGGTTTTGCTTGTGCATACTTCTTTTACAATATATTTAAAAGCTCTCCTCAACGGGCCACAGTTTGGTTCTGATCTGAAGAAAGAAAGGGGGGGGGACACACACTGGAGCCGGTTAACCTCTGGAGGTTGCAGAATCCAGTGTAATCCAGATTAGATGACCTCCTTCATCACCTAACCGTGACACATCTTCCTGGTTTGGCTTTTGACTGCCTAACCTATGTGCTCCAATCAGAGTCTAATCAAATTATCGATCACACACACACACACACACACACACACCACACACACTAGTGCACCCCCTCCTCCTAGTCTCCAAAGCACAAAGAGGAGGACGCTCGCCCCCTTTTTTTTTTTTTTTTTTTTCTCCTCCTCATCTTCGTGTACAAATATAACGCAAACTACAGGGACTATTTAACGTTATCTCACAGCCAAACACAGTAACATATCGCCACCTCCTCCCTCCTCCTCCACCTCCTCCTCCACCTCCTCTTCCTCGGTTCAAACAAGTTAGCATTTACGTGAGCTGTTTAATCCAACATACGACACTTAAAGTGAGCTCGTAACTAATATTTACAGACGCGTTTGAAACGTGGGTTAACGTGGGTTCGTCGTGGTCGCTCGTAATACACTCAAACACCTCGGTAATCGACAGGAAATCGGACTCCCCGGTCGGATCGCACAGCCCGCTCAGCTTTAGCTGTAGCGTTAGCAACCCATCCAACTGGGCGTTGGTTGCTCAGACAACTGCTGAAGCTACAAACCCCGAAACGGTTCCGATGGCGAATCTAAAACCCGACGCCGGGCCAGAAACCCCCAGAACCCGCGCAGTTGGATCTGAATAAGTCGTGTGTGAGTGTGTGTGTGTGTGTGTGTGTGTCGGACCGCGGGAGGCTCACCCATAACGTTGACGCTCCCTGCCGCCTCGGAGACCGATCATTCACGAGCCGACATTCCCCTTCGTCTCGCTGCTTTTCGCCGGAGCTACGCACTAGGAGGAGCGCAGCGGCCGGCGTGCTCAACCAGCGTACGCCGAGAGACTTACGTAAACGTCTACGTGAATCACAAAGGGAGGAACGTCACAGTCTCGCGATAGTATGATGATTCCTTTGAGTTTTTTTGTGAGATCTCGCGATAAGTAGTTGTTGTTATTATTTATTTATTTTTAAATAATATTCTTTTTAAACAATCAGAATTACTTTTATCGGAATATTAGTACAGAGTAAGCATAAATAAACAACACAACAAGCGCAACAAAATAGAACTGCTATGTACATTTATACACATATATATAAACAAACAAAAACATATATAAACAAACAAAAACATCTTTTTGTAGACAATAGTGTAAATTAATTAAATAAATATTAACGTGCAGGTTTCTTTATGTTGGTGGATAGGACAGACTATATCTCTCTCTATATATATGCAGTATAGGTTGATGTATTTGAATGATTGTATTTATGTTTTATAAAAGAAACTGAATTTAAAATAAATAAATGGTTTACAGGTGCAGTAGATGTTGACGGGTTATTGAACAGGGATTGTTCCTGACTCTGTGTATCTGGAGGTAACTGTTTGTCAGAGTGACGGCCTGTGGGTAGAAACTGTTGCCTGGTTGTGGATTGTATCTGAGTTTTATCTGAACTGACTCCTGTTTCTCCTCTAAAAAGAATAATACACTTATTTCAATGTCATGTCGTCTCCTACTGGAATAACCTGTATCCAGACCTGGACTGGAGGAAAATAAGGTGTCTACATCCTAAATATTTCATTTTCAATACGCTCAAAGTGTCTTTTAAAATAATTCATTGCAAATTCTCATTTTGTCAACTGGCTCCAGAAGATTTGTGTCATTTATTTTGGTTTTGCCTCCTATTTTAGAATCAGAATCAAAAATGTATTGATCACTGGGGTTGTTCTACTCACACAATGTTAAAGAAATAGTAGATAATAAGAGCTTATATACAAAGTAAATGTAAACATATTCCACAGTATTGCTGACAGAAATTAAATTAAATAATAATGAGTTTTAAGATTGTGGTGTTGCAGAAGTTATAGATAGATAGATAGATAGATAGATAGATAGATAGATAGATAGATAGATAGATAGATAGATAGATAGATGGATAGATAGATAGATAGATAGATAGATAGATAGATAGATAGATAGATAGATAGATAGATAGATAGATAGATAGATAGATAGATAGATAGATAGATAGATGGATGGATGGATGGATGATGACGGACGGACGGACGGCTTTATGAATCCAACAGACAGACAGACGACAGACAGACACGACAGACAGACAGACAGACAGACAGACAGACAGATAGATAGATAGATAGATAGACTTTATTAATCCCAGAAGGGAAATTGGGTCGTCATAGCAGCCAGGTACATTTAAATACAATAAAATACAATAGAATAAAATACTTAGGTAGGAAAAAGATAAAAAAGATAAATTGGTAGATGAGGTGCAAAGAAGTTGTAGTTGCAAGAGAATTACAAAGAATGAGATAATAAAGTGAGTTGAAGAATCCAGTTTTCACTCTGTGGTTCCTCAGAGTTCAGCATTGTGAAGACAGATTGCTTCTTAGTGAAAGTTTCCACCTTTTAAATCTGCAGGTTGTTGTCTTCAGCTTTAGTTAGTATATTATATGTTTTCTTTAACTAGATGACCACAGGAGGTGGAGACGCTGGGGATTGAACCCAGGACATCATACATGCAGAGAATGCGCTCTACCACTGAGCTACATCCCCTGTGCTTATAACTCCACTTATATTATTTCTTATTTTACCCTTTTATATTAAAATGTACCCTCTACACCCCTATAATAAAAACTAGATTGATTTAATCTTATTGCAAAATTCCACATCCACAAATCTAAAATTTCCAATTATAATTAGATTTTTTCCATCAAACAATGATAACACAGATTACATAATATTATTATATATTACATCACTCCCAACACTGTAAACATCAGAAACCAATACAAACTTTATTTACCTTGTATACATTTATTAAACTATACTACGGCTTCTGTCTGTTTACCTGTTTGTAAATAAAGTTTTTTTCATGTTAAAAAATTTTTACGGTTTAAATAAATAAGGGACTTTATTTATTTATTAATTAATTTATTAATTAATTAATTTATTAATGTATTGATCCATTATTAAGAACATATGTTGCCTGTTTGTACATTATTATTGGCCGTTAATTAACCGTGTGTGTGTGTGTGTGCGTGTGTGTGTGTGTGTGTGTGTGTGTGTGTGTGTGTGTGTGTGTGTGTGTGTGTGCGTGTGTCACGGAATGCGAATAGCGTCTGTTGTATCCATGGCAACCGGGACTCTCCAACACCGCGCACTCTGATTGGCTGCAAACGCGTTGAAACTGAGCATCGTTTCCTGTTATTTGGTGGCGCAAGGGGCGTTTGCTGCTTACAGAATAAAGACTATGTCGCCTGTATCCCCCGACTGAGGATATTTAATGACGCTTATTTCGTGTTTAGCGTGGTGTATTTAGTGTTTGCGGTCGGACAGGTGAGAGACCTTTGACCTTTGTCCGTAAACAGCCACCTGACAAACAAGCTTTACTCATGGAAACAAAGGGGGGCAGCTGAAAATGTCCAATCCAGTTAAAAAGGTGAGACAAGGAGAAAAACTGCCCCTGAAGTCCAGAGGAATCCAGAGCAGGTAAGCTGAGTATAAAATATAACATTTACTCTCCTGATATAACAAAATAAATAAAAATAAAACAAGTGATAAGACTGTTTTTTTTTTTTTAGGACATCTCATGATCTCAGGAGGCTTCAGTCCCTGCTTGTCAGAAGCTGCTCCAGACAAGAGGTGAACAACAACACATGACGCCACTCAGAGGCAGCACGTCTAGACATTTTGATAACGACACAAAACTCGGCTCACATTTCCTCCATGGGCTGTGTGTGTACGCTGTGGTATGAGCCTGTCTGTCTGTGTTTGCAGGTGACTCACAGTAAAGCACGCAGCAGATCACAGGGCCCGCATCCTCCCAAAGACACCAGCAGACACAGGAGTGAGAGCGACACCGCCAGTGAGGCCTCTGAACTGGAAAAATTCAGGTTGTCGAGATGTTTTCTGTCATTTTTTTTGTTCTTTATTTGTTATTTATTGCAACATGGCCCAGAGTAAGATTCAATCTGTGGTGCTGCAGATGTTCCCTGGTCTTCAAATCAGTACAGGCCCCCCCCAAACAAATGTCACATCATCAGGGTTTAAATAGTTTGTTTTTAAATGAAAATTACATTTATAATGCAAAAGTTATCATTCCCACACTTATTGTGAATCATAATGTCTGTAAAAATAATTGCAATATGATGTTTTTGTCCTACATATTATCTGAAACTTCAATCAAGTTCTTAAAAACAGTGAATAAGCTGCTTTAATTAAATTTTAAAGTCAGGTTGTGCTGGGGCCACTCATCTCACACGAGGGCCACTTTAATGTTTAAGTACAACGTTACTTACATCACACTTAGCAGTCTCTGTACATTTTACATCATTGTTTTATATCTTTGTTGTCCAAACAACAAATAAAGGACAAAAAACAGATTTTTTTCCTTTTTGTTTTCAAATAGATTTGTGTTTTTATTTTAATTGTATATGAAGGAGTAGTTTAAATTCATACGAAACAACTAGAGAAATATGTTTGTCGCGGTTTATTATATTTTCTGACATTATATCGGGGCCGGAGGGGGACAGAGGGCCCCAGTTTGAGACCCCTGGTTGAAACATTTATCCAAAACTTCAGTTTACTCCTTCACCATATTTCCTGCACTTATATTCAGCTGGACTTCCTGAAGCAAACAAGTGGTGAGCAGGCGTTTGCCTACAGTGTGTAAATGTGACTCAACAGAGCTACAGAAGTTCATGAATTGTGTGTGTTTTTTTTTTTTATGATTCATTCATATTTCAGCATCACATACAGAGACCAAAGATGTTTCAGCAGCCACCCACTGCACACGCTGTTCTCTGACATCCTCGTGTCTTTGGTCAAGAACCGACTCTGCAGGTAAAATATCCTTGAAATTCTTTCTCCTCACATAAAGGCTGACGTTACTGTGTAATAATCACTCCTTCCGTAGCGAATGGGTTGACCACGCACCGCCCGAGTCTGTCCTTAGAGTTCTGATCTGCCTACGGTTATTAATCAGAGACCCCCACCATCAGGTACAGCTTGAAAAAAAGCAGTTTTTTTAAGTGTTTATTATGTATTAAATGAGTTCTTCCACTGTATAAATGCCTCTTTAACTGCTTTCTTTCAGAAAATCCTCCACCAGCTCCAAGGCGTCAATTTACTTGCCAGGGTAAATGCTCTCTAAGATTTTCCCCACTTGCCTGCACAGTCTTTTTGTTTTGTGATTTTATCCGCATGTCGTCCTCGTTGCTTCTCTTTCAGTACATGGAGTCGGTCACTGCCGTGTACTTATCTTGCGGTGAACAGGCGTTTGCTGTGCAGAAGCTGGTCACAATGACCTGTGAGTAGATCATATCAAGACTTTGATAATCTGAGCATTGAGTGCGGCCTCATCAACTTTGCTGATTGCTCTGCAGACATGTTTCAGAAGCTGTCTGCCGTTGAAAATCAGAGGGTCTGGGTCACCGAGAGTGGCGCTCACAGGGTAAGCGATAAGTTGTGGTAAGGTTATCTGTGATTGTGTGCTATTCAGGACACATTCATGAGTCAAACCTGAGGCCATAACAAGGAAGTTATTCCTGTAGGTGCTCTAAAGTAATGCATTACTGGTCACTGACTACATGTTACAACAGGGTTTATTTGATTTTAATTAGATTTTATCATTATTTATATTTTTGTTTTTTGCAATTTAAGCATATTTTTTTGTTTTCATTGTTTAGTTATTATTTTATGTTTTAATTATTGCTTTATTTAGCACTGGGGGACAATGTTGGTCAGTCTGTCCACCAGCAGAATCTCTCCACCAGTAATCAGAGGTGGATAAAGTACACACATTCCTCAAGTAGAAGTACAGATACAGATAATGACCTTTTGACTAAAGACTACAGGTTCTACAATGTACTCAAAGTAAAAAGTACTCTCATGGTTTCTCTGAAGGAGATTTTTACAGGTGTTTCTGTGCAAAGCTGACAAATAGGGTCGAGTCTTGTCTGTTTTGACTTTTATGTGGTTTCCTTCACGTTGTGCCTGTCATGTGAGATATGCAGTGGTATTGAATAATAATATAGAATTCCCCTCAAATGAATTACAACTGGAGTAATGAGCCTGTTTTGAAAGTGTAAGTAGTAAAAAAGTACAGACATTTGTGTAGAAATAAAGCAGTTAGATAAATAAATACTTAAATAAAGTGTATTGTGAAGAAAGTACTTAAGTACAATAACAAAGTATAATGGCTATTCCCCCCAGCTAATGAACCTTAATGTGTTTGACGATCCTCTGACGTCTCCAATAGCACCAACATTAGAGACAGCCATTTAACTTACTGAGAACATTACTGATCCCCAGAGGAACCTTTTTCTATTTAGACACATAATCACTTTTCTTATTCACGACCACAAACAGGCTAAAATGTGAAATGTGAAGATATCTCATAGTCTAAGAATCCATACAGACATTGATCTTCTACAGGGGACAAACTCTATAGATATTAACAACCTTTCGTAGTGTCACCCACATGACTTTCACATAATGATATTTTAAGCTCAATAATAACTCTAAGTAAAGCTTCCAGAGTGCAAATATTTACTCTCACTTGTCTCTCACTTTGTCACTTGAGTGTCCTGTAGCATGAGACTCTCTGCTCTCGGTTCATCATCACAAATTCTTCCTTTATGGTGGTCAAAGAATTTGTGTGTCTCATTAATTAAACCATTTCTAGACCCTGGTGAAGCTCCTCTCCACCACAGATAGCAGTGTGCTGCTGGGAGCCCTGCTGGCACTCACCACTTTGGCTGAGAGGTAAACAAATTCTTAATTTAATGCATTAAATACATTTATGATTTAATCTGTTGTAAGCCTTTTTTTTCTTCTACAGCCCAGAGTGCAAGGAGGAGATCGGTGAGCTACCGATAGTGGAGAACCTACTTGTAATACTGCAGGAACATGAACTGCTGTCAAAGAGGTTAGAAATCACTTATTTGTTGATGTGTTTGTCACTGTCAGGGACCTTCATTCATTAGTGCTGATATAACACAAAAAAACTGTGCAAACCAATCAAGTTGCTGCATCTCTCATCTCTTCTCATGTCGTCACATCTGAAACTGCACAAACACACATTGAATACTGAGTAATAAACTAATAATCTTAATTTACACCCCTTTAAGAGCAGCTAGAAACAATAAACAGTAACAACAGCAAACACAATAAAAACATGGAAACAAGCCTGGCTGGACTGAACCTGGTGTTTCCTCCAGGATGAGTGCGGAGCTGCTGAGGCTCCTGTCCCCGGTGCGGCAGATAAGGGACCAGGTGAGGGAGCTGGAGGGTCTTCCGGTGCTGCTGAGCCTGCTTTACGGCCAGCACCTGAAGCTGCTCTGGAGTGTCGCCTGGGTCCTGGTCCAGCTCTGCGAGGACCCCGACACCAGGACGGAGATCCGGAGCTGGGGCGGGGTGCAGCAGCTTCTCCGGCTGCTCAACAGGTTTGTGAGACTGAGCAATTAAAGTATATTTGATGTTTATATTACATCATATGAATCAAAGTTCAAACAGCCTCTCTCATGTGTGTCAACCAAATCTTTATTACCATTACCCATCTGGGCTTGAGCTACAGCGTTGTCCACACTGAAGTGATTTGTGGTTTAAAGGTTCACTCTGGAGATTTAGTGTAGCACTTCCATAAAGTGGAGGGACTCACAAGAGACAGATTAAAACAAGAATGACGAAAATCGAACCAACAGACGCCAAGATATGCTGACCTATTAGTCTTTAGTATAGGGCGAGCTCCAAAAACAACAGATCCTACAATTCCCATAATGCAACTTGATAGCATTTTTCATTAGACCCTGATGTCATCAGGGTTATCTCAGATTAGGAGACTTTTGGGAAAACAAATACATGGTCTAATGTAATTATGCTGTTGGTTGCATTATGGGAATTGTAGTATCCAGTGATTCTGGAGATTGACCCACATAATGTCTCATGACCTCTGCAGCATTATTTTGACATCTTTCTTTTAATCTATCTCATGTGAGACCCCATAACGTCATGGAAGTACAACACTAAATGCTACAGATTTAAACTAACTCATATCACAAAGTTACCACGATATATCTACAGGAAGTTTAGACTTTAGGTCCTTTGAAACAAAAGCTCCTCACCCGTCTGAAACACAATCAGATTTATCTCCCAGTATTTTAATAGCTTATGACGGAGGATGCAACTACAACCAGCATCACAAGACATTTCAGTTGTCAGGCTTCAGGCAAAAACAAATGACAAAGCTTATTTACATTATTTTGTATAGTGACATACAAAATAACCTTTACAGTGACAGACAGTACGTCTCTGACCGCTCGTCCATCGAGACGCTCTCCAGCGCCAATGCAGCCGGCCGTATCCAGAGAGAGCACATAAGAGAGGAGCTGAGCCCGCAGGAGGAGGTGGACAACACCATGGCCCTGCAGTCAGGTCAGCGACTGTTCAACTTCACTTCACAAAATCTTCTTGAGAGTTAGAAATCACCCAGTTTGTGCTGTTAATAATGGAATAATAATATAAAAAGGGCAGTGAATGTTTACCTGTGCACAGTAAATTCTTCCCCCAGAGGAGTCAGTTGCTGAGAATGTAAACAGTTTTTTTCCTGATGTGAGGATCCGCTGAGATTTGACTTGCTGTATTTGTGATTAAGGAGAAAAAGGTTGCAAGTTTTCTGTTTTCGAATGTCTAACGAAACCATAATGAAATGTTAGTAATTTGGTTAAAACACATGAATGTATTTCCAGTAATGGATTTTACAGTCTAAAGGCATCAGTGTTTCCAGCCTTTGTTCTTTCTGTGGTTAGGGGAGCGAGTTGTTGATGTTCACAGCTGTTTAGTGGAATGTCTAAGACTATAATATTGAATGTATGAGTTCTTAAATTAAGTCATATCCTCTTTAATCTGTTTTCCAGCCTGCTGTACAGTTCTGACTGAGCTTAGTTTGGATGACACATCTGCTCACCACATTGTGCAGGCAAGGACTTACAGAACAGGACAGTTGAGAGGATGGGAATGAATAAAGTCCACCTGTGAATTTGCACACATTCATTTTGTCTTTCTTTTCTCAGGAAAATGGGGTCTATATTATCGCAAAGTTGATTTTACCACAAAACTCTGGACCAAAGGTCACATCTTTACCGGTATATGACTTCATTTATGAAATAAATGACAGTATAATAGAAATGAAGACGCTGTAACATATTTGTACATTTGTTTCCATACTGGCAGTGCTATGTGTTTCGGACCCTCCGGTTTCTCTTTAGCATGGAAAGAAACAGACATTTGTTTAAGAGGTGATGTTACAACATATATAATACTGTGTATTCATAATATATATATTTATTTTAGAAAGAAAGCATATATAACCGTAACTTCATGTCATGCTTAAACCATTTGAGTGTGGCTACTGTTGGATGTCTGTTTTGGAAATAAATCTCTCAGAATGTTCTCTAATGCTGTTATGTAATCTTTTATCCATTTCAGACTCTTTCCCACAGACCTTTTTGAGTTGTTTATTGATGTTGGACATTACGTACGGGACCTCACGGCCTACGAGCGGCTGCAAACCAAAGTTTCACTCTACAGTGTAAGAGTACTGCTTCTAAATGGATTCATCTGTTTTTTCAGCTGGTTTTGGGCTGTAAAGTAAAAAGAAATATTAATAAAAACAAAACAATGCAGATTGACGAGGAGGATTCTTTACTTTGCAAATGGATGGAGTGTGTTTTGTAATGCAGGAAGAAGAACTGGACAGTCTGAGAGAGAGCATAGAGGCTGTGGACCAGAACCGACCTCCCGTTAAAGTTATCAACGGTTACTCCATACTGGACCATCTGGGCACCGGGGCCTTTGGGAGCGTCTTTAAGGTACAATGAATGTACTTAAAACTGACAGCATCTGCAGTCGGCGGTGTTGGTTTGGGTCAATTTTACTTCTTTGTGATCTCATGCTTTTCTGGTGGTTCCAATAAATATACCTGATCACAGGTCCGAAAGCAGAGTGGTCAGAACCTTCTGGCTCTGAAGGAGGTGAACCTCCATAACCCGGCATTTGGCAAAGACAAGAAGTCCAGGGACAGTAACGTGGAGAAAATCATTTCTGAGCTCACAATCATCAAAGAACAGGCACATTTTAATTTTACTCAATAAAACAATTCAGTGATCTATCTGAACCAGTACGGCCATATTTGGAGTTGCTTATATGTTCCTTTGTTGTTCTTCTCTAGATGATACACCCAAACATTGTTAAATATTACAAGACTTTTTTGGAAGGTGAGGATCATTATTTTTCCTGGCTCCCTCAGCTATTGTAATGAAGGAATAAAACAAAAAAAACATCATACTTTTCATTTTAGGCGACAAGCTGTACATCGTGATGGAGCTGATCGAGGGAGTGCCACTGGCTGACCATTTTAACTCTCTGAAGGAGAAGCAGCAGCAGTTCACAGAAGACAGAATTTGGAATATATTCATACAGGTAACAACTCTCAAACTTGTAAATTATTGGTGTTACAGTGTATGAATTTTGACTTCCTAACACATGTCATAAGAAAGGTCAGTTATGTATCATTCTGGTAGTCCAATGTTAACCAACCAACCCAATCAACCAATCAACCAACCAACCAACCAATCAACCAATCAACCAATCAACCAACTAACCAACCAATCAACCAATAAATCAACCAATCAACCAACCAATCAACCAATCAACCAACCAACCAACCAACCAACCAATCAACCAACTAACCAACCAACCAACCAACCAATCAACCAACCAATAAATCAACCAACCAACTAATCAACCAACCAATCAACCAACTAACCAACCAATCAACCAACCAATCAACCAATCAACCAACCAATCAACCAATCAACCAACCAATCATCCAACCAACCAACGCTGACAAATAGTAGATGTTTGACCAACCAACACTGAAAAGAAAGAGTCTAGACATCGACATTTTAAGGATTTTTATATCTCAAATGAAAAAAACATTTGAACAATATCCACATTTATATTATATTAATAGTGTTAAATAATGTGTAGTTTAAAAACAATTCAAATGAACACTTTTGGAACATGAATTGATGTTGATGATAGCGTTGATGAATGGGTACTTGACCTCATCAGATAGAGATATGGACAAAAACAGTTGGAAACCACTGCAGTACAAGACTGTTTCCCAAAAGATCCGAGTGTGTTTTGACTCTCAAGTGTTTGAGGAATTTCAGTCTGGTCTACAGTATTTCTTCTCATTGCCAATAACCTAAAATATGAATGTAAACAGTTTCCACTGCCAAAGATGAGAGACATTTATTGACTGAATGGAAAACCTTAATCTCTCCAAAGTCCTTTTAATAGCTTGATCACTTATTCTTCTCCATGTTCCCTCAGATGTGTCTGGCATTGAGGTACCTGCACAAGGAAAAGAGAATAGTTCACCGCGACCTCACACCAAACAACATCATGCTGGGGGAAAAGGACAAAGTCACCATCAGTGAGCGTCAACCTACAGTTTCCACACACACCACATCATCTTCATTCACATCACTCTCCCTGTCTTGTCCTATTATAAAAGTTGAACCTGTGTGTTTCTTCCTCTTGAAGCTGACTTCGGCCTTGCTAAGCAGAAACAGGAGAACAGCAAGCTAACATCAGTGGTCGGCACCATCCTTTACTCCTGGTGAGGAAATTCGTTCTGAGCCGCTGCTTTGAGGGTTAAATTAGTCAGTTCAAAGGGTCCAATGTAAAACGTTTACTGGCAGAAATGGAATATAATATGAATAACAATGTTTCCATCAGCGTATAATCACCTGAATAAAGGAATCGTTATCGTGGGTCGCCTTTCTACATGTTTCTACAGTAGCCCAGAACGGACACACCAAACACTGGCTCTAGATAGGGCCATTAACGTTGCTCACGCATTTCAAAGCTACTGTAGTTTCCCCTTCGTGCTTGGAAGGGGAGGGTTAGATGTTGCTAAAAGGGGTCGGGTAAGGTGTTTTCATTGAGACATTTTCTTTGGTGGAAAGTAGTTCCAATTAAATCGGCTAATGGTGACGTCTAACTTGTCTACAAAACCATCTGTGAAGTCGTTGTTGGAAACTGGAAAAGGGCAGGCACAGCTGACTGCATCCGTCTGTCACTTTCTATCACAGGCGATCTTCAACCAATCATAACAACAAACCATATAACGTAGTCAAACTCTTACCAAAGCCAGTCGGGAGGCGAGTGAAAAGCCTTCAAGGCCGTTCTTTGCTCTTCTTTCAATGAAGTTCTGATACAGCTGAGTACAGCATAAAGAACATATGTATAAAATAGTTGTATAGTATAAAATGTAAGTAAAACCAAAACTATCTAGACATAGAAGTAGGTTAGGAAATAAATGTGTTTTGGGTGAACCATCCCTGTAATGCAGTATGGCAGAGCTGTTATTTTATGTTATTACAGCCTGTTAAGAACTTAGAGAATCCTGCAGCTCAAGTGGAGACATTTCCTACTTTCTTTGTCAACTGCTGTGAAAGTCGGTTGAGATTCGGTTTAGGTTACACAGGGTCGGACACTAGGGAGTGCATTATTATGAGGGTCCCTCATAAGTTAAGATGTAAATATTTGTGTGTGTGTGTGTGTGTGTGTGTTAGTCCAGAGGTGGTGAAAAGCGAGCCGTATGGAGAGAAGGCCGACGTCTGGGCTTTGGGCTGCATCCTCTACCAGATGGCCGCTTTACAGCCTCCGTTCTACAGCAGTAATATGCTGTCGCTGGCTAGCAAGGTTACACTCACACACACACTCACACGCACACACACACACACACACACACACACACACACACACACACACACACACTCTGTCGTATGTTAATGTTCTTTGCTTCTTATTCTGTACTGATAGATTGTCGAAGCCGTCTACGAGCCGATTGAAGAAGGAGCTTTCTCAGAGAGAGTCACAGACATGATCAGATGGTGAGGCTTTTGTTTTGAAATGACTGATAGCAAGGTGTTTTTCAAAATAAAAGTCCATTAGTCATACTGAATCCTGAATCCCGTACTGACAATGACTTGCATAATCGTTTATTTTATCCCATTTATAGTATTATTTGTGTGTTTTTATTTGTGTAGATTAAAACTAATTTAATATTAAAGCCACTTATGTTCTGTTTTGGGATGCCCTGTCAGGTGTTTGAGTCCAGATGCAGACCAGCGGCCGGATATTGTGGCTGTCAGCTCCAGGGTCTCCGACCTCATGATGAGGCTGATGGACAGCCTCTACACTTCCCAGAATGCACTGGAACGAAGAGCAGAGAGAGACAGGAAACGAGCGCAGAAGTACTTCCTGGAAAGGCACAAAAGCAGGATGAACTGCTCTCACTTAAACCTCTCTCAGGTACGTCCTCGAGGGCTGTTTAGATTATATTTATTGGTGTACAAACAATAAGTGCTGCACTGTTTGCAGGAACAATTCTTAATGAACACTGAACCTCCGACTCCGCCCTCCTCTGCCGCCTGCAGTTCAAACCTCAGCCAGCAGAGTATCAGTCAAGGTGAGTCTGTTTCATACTGCGCAGAATTTAATACAAGATTTGACATAAAATATGAATCCATGTTGTGAATAATCATGTGTGTGTTTTTAGATGACGCCTCAGACGGTGACGTTGAACCTTGCGATACCAAAATCGACAACGCTGCTTTCAAAGGAAAACACTACGGTCGGTTCTCTGCCAGTTGTGAGAATATTCATCATGAGGTTGGGAAACAGTTTTATTTAGGATGCTGCTTCATCCTGTTCATTGTAAACAAGAGGGAAGCAGTCTGGGATTTTAACTGCCAGATGATTTTGTTTCCTTTTGTTGTTGCTCATGGTTAAGTTTTTCACTTTGTTGTGGATTTTTTTCGAAGATAATTTGATCTTTTGGCTTGTTGTATTTCGATTGAAGGTTTAAAGTCCAGTGCCTGTGTTACACCTGACCAAACTCTATGTGGGTAAGTGAAAAATCTCACATTGTATACAGTATATCTGTGTGGTCAGTATCATTAATTAGTCATGTAAAAAATGTTTGGTAATGCACAAACAAACAACACAGTTTATCATACCTGACACAATTTATTTACCTGTATTTTTAATGTACCCGTCTACAGGGGGGATAATGCTGCTGCAAAGATTAAACCAAGACCAGGTACCTTCTCATCCTGATGGGAGTGCTACTACACAAACAGACCAACCCTGAGAGCAAACGTTCTGTATAAAATGTGTCCGTCCTGTTTATTGACCCTCAGTCAGTCTGTGTGTTTGGTTTTGCTCTCACCTCAGTGTCAGCAGGGATCTGTATCTCCCAGAAGAAGGTTCGGCAGATTGATGATCCCATCCAGAGGCTCCTTGTGCAGCTGCACAAAATCATTTACATCACTCAAGTACAGTAAAACAACATTTATTTTGGTCAATTTTGTTCGATCTTATTTAAACTTGAGTTTAACGCTGCAGACACATCTGGGCAGATCTGGTGGTTCTGGTTTTATAAACTTCAGTCAGTCATATTTAAAGAGGATTTAATTAATTATGTTACAAATTCATCAAGAACTTAAAGGACCAGCGCGTATCTAGTGGTGAAGTCTGTCCACCAGCGTCTGTATTCGACGACCTCGAGACTGATCTGTAACTGACAGCACTGATTGTACTTCAGTCTGAATATGAAATGTTGATATTAACTTTAATTGTCTTTTTCTTTTTCACCTCCAGCTTCCACCAGCTCCACACCACAGCATCAAACGACGGGTTATTGAAAGATTTAAAAAGTCTCTGTTCCACTACGGGAGCGACCCATACAACCTGAAGCTGGAGCTCAGCAAGGTTTGTACGTTGTTTTGTCCGACCAACGGACCAAAACCCAAAGAAATATTGTCACATAAGACAAATAAAAACAACTAATCAATTTTATTTTGTTTTAGCTGTAAAGCAGAACAATCTTTCCTTGTCAGATTTATTTAAACTTAGCACACAATTGGTTTATTTATGTCTAGCATATTAAGCCTTATTAGGCATTAGGCATTATCTGATTCACATTATTATTAGAAAACTGGGGTACATAATCTTGCACTGGTGAAAGTTGCCCTCTCTTCCATCCCAACACTGAGAATCTGCCTCCTGTTTCCACCCCGTAGCTCCTCCAGGCTTCTCCAGAGCTGATGGAGTTAGGCTCAACCAGTTCAGACTGGTTTCCTCTGGTCCACCACTTCACAGGAGACCCCCATACTGCGGACAGCACGGGTAAGAGATTCACCTGATACGACCAGTAAAAGACACCAAACACAAAGTACTGCAGGATCTTTGGCAGTTTTACACAAGCTCTAAGGAAATAGTTGATTTTTTTTGGTGTTTAGTGATTTGAAGTTCACAACTGGATGTTTAAATTCTGTGCTTCTGACAGGTGACGGGAACCTCAAAGATGGAGTCACCTATCAGCAGATGCAGGTCAGTTCCTCTGAGAAGCTGCTTTAAGCTTTAAAAAAAAAAAATCATGTAACATCTGGATTTATGATTCATTTATGTGCCATTTTTACATTATTGATACTTTAAAGAAATAATTTAACATTACTCTCATTCAGTTTTAGCTAAATGAAAAGATAAATACCAATCTCTGTTCTGTCTGTTGAATATTAAGTTAGTCAGGGCAAGAAATAGTTCCAACACACGACTAAAAAACCACAGTTTGTCATTTTTACACCTCGGTTTATGTGCGGATTATACAAGCAACATATAAAGTGTAAATAAGTGAACTTTAAAGGTGCTGCTGAGCAGATTTTGCTTCCTTTACACAGAGCCAGGCTAGCTGTTTGAGTCTGCTTCCACTCTTTATGTTAAGCTAAGCTCTCTGACTGCCGGCTGCTATAGCGTCATATTTACTGTACAGAAATATGAGATATAAATCTCATCTAACACTCTGCAGTCATGTAATCAAGAATTAATAAATATTTTCTTTAATATATTATTATATAATATTAATAATAATCGCTATATATGAGCTCTTCTGCAAGGTGTCACATTTGTTTTCTTGAGCCGGATCCAGTGTTTCATTTTGGAGCAAAAATCTTTAATTTCCGCTTCATGGTCATATTGAGCGTCTGTCTGCGACCCGTGAAGTGATTTCCTGTACAAATGTTCCTTTTCAGGGGATCGTAGAGGAGCTGCTGGAGGAGAACGGATACTATGAAGCGACACACAGCAGGTGACCTGGAGATTTGTACATAATACAAGTCTGACAAAATATTAGACGAGCACCTAAAAGTCGTTATTCATCGTTTGTTTGAGTACTTATGTCACTTTAGTTTCTCTTGGATTAATAAGTTCAGTGTCAGTTTACTGTCCTCAACTCAGAAAATGTCTGTGAAATAATTTAAATACTTTAATTTCCTTTTCCTCTTTTATGTCTTTCATGTGTTTTGTGTTAATTTTAGGACCAAAGAGAAAAGAAATAACCAAGAAAACAAGTGATCATCGTCCACATTCATCCTCAGAAGGAATTTATTCCAGTGTTTGCATCAACTTCAGTTCACAAAAATACTGTATGTACACTTTAATTATAATTAACTTTAATTAAAATCCATCCTTTATACACTATTTCTGATTATATAACATGTGAAAACGCTATAAACACAAGTTTGTCCTTAAACTAACTATAGTAGCTCAGTTATTGTTGTGATAAAGCTGCTGTAACAAGTTACCAAAGCTAATGTGTCACCACACTACGGCTGCAGCTAACGATTATTGTCATTATTGATTAATCTGGGGATTATTTAGTCAATTAATCAATTTGACCAACAATCCAAAGATATTAAACGTGCTCTCACAAAGCAGCAAATACTCCTCATCCTGGAACTGGGTTTAAATATATACGTTAATTAAATGATTAACAATAGTTGCTGGTTACTTTCCTGTCGATCGATGAATTGATTAATTGATGTACAGCACAAACCTCTTTGGTTCTCAGGCATTGATTATTTGTACACATTGGATGTGACTGTGTGAATTCTCCAAATATAATTTAATATATAATAATATGAATGTTGAAGCTGATTTATCGTTGTTTGTGTCAGGTCTGAAACATGCAAACAACCTCCAACATTATCTGAAGTGGGTTTTTTTCTGTGGTGTTCAGCTCGTTTGAAGCTTTTTATGTTTAGTTTTTTAAGGTTTGTCTGAGTTTAGTACTTTAAATTCTCAGGATCAGACTGTTTTAACTCCTCACTGCAGGACTGCACATCACAGCATGTTTCTAATGGCTGCAAGTCAATGCTGCAAAGCCAATTTTACTCATTTAATTCACTTTTTAGAGAGCTGATAAGAAACCTAAACATCACCTTACAGACATATCATAATGTGTGACTGCAGTTTACTGACATACAGCGAAAACTAGGTCAGATGTTTAGATTTCTCCCACTTTTTCTGCTGTACTTGAACTATGTTAACATGCACTTTCAATATAATTAACACCTGAAATATACTTTTTGTATAAAATTCAGTGTACATTGTCACTTTGAAGAGTGGAGAGCAGCTGGAGGGATGCTATCTTCTGCACTTTGATTAATCAGTATCATCTGTATGAGGAATAACTATGTTAAAATGATAAATAAACACTATTTAATGCAGATGATGTCCAGTTGTGATCAATTGTCACATTTGCTGCACTGTGAGAAAGGTCCACCTTGAACATGAGCAGATATAGTGTGTAGTGGTGGAAGTATTTAAATAATAATAGCGCACACAATAATGTAAAAATACTTCAAAATATTACTTAAACAAAAGTAGAGAAGTATTATTAGCTAAATGTACTTATAGTCTCAAAAGTAAAAGTACTCATTCTGCATAAAAATGTCCTTTTGTGATATATTATATATGATATTATTAGATTTGTTGCATCAGTGCTTAAGTAGCATTGTGTTGTTGCAGCTGGTCGGAGCTCATTTTAAATGTTTTGTATACAGTTAGTTAGTTTAGTGGTTCCCAACCAAAAAAAGTTGTGATTCACAAAATCTGTTTCAATTTTTCTGTGTGTGAAATGTTACGTAATTTAACCTCAAACTGTTATTTAAATTAAACCATCTGAGAAGTCATTTTATTGGTGGAACAGCTGGAACATAACGAGGGGGCCCCAACGAGCATGAACATTTTAAAAAAGGGAAAAACTTTCTTGTTCAGGCAGGCGTTCTTAAGTTGTCCTTAGATTTTTTTGTTTTTTCTTAATGTATTTTATCACTTGTATTATTATTGGTTGCTAATTTTAATGTGTTATTGCCCTTAGTGTTTTTTGTTATTGTGTTTCTTGGTTTCTGTAGCACTTTGAGATTCTTTTATGAAAAGTGCTTTACAAATAAAATGTATTATTATTATTATTATTATCATACATGGAAATACACTCTGGATATCTACTGGTGCGGACAACAAGGGGGTAACAGAGCCCTATTGGTCCTGCCTTGTTACACAGTAATAATAATAATAATAATAATAAAAAAGTAAAACTACTGTACCCTGAAGACATCACATAGATACTCATTCACACCTTTAAAAAATACTTAAAGTGGAATTTATTTCTAGATCCCACTTAATGATAATGTTTATAACCTTTTCTCTTCTTCCCTTGTACCTACAGTACATAAAGGTGACCAATATGTATTTTACTGATGCCCTGTACACATTAAATAATTACACAGTAACTTTTAGGCTGTAAAGTAAATCATCACTTATGTTACTTATGTAATATTTTAATATGAAAAGTAACAGCTGTCAGTAAAAGATTAAGTGTAGCTGGAGTAAAATAAAATGTAAATACTACAAGTATTTTAGAAATGGATTACAGTACTTGAGTAAATGTGATTTACCCCTCTGGTAGTGACGGAGGTTCAACTGCAAAGAGAGTTTCAATTCCAAGAAGCTGGTCAGTCAGAATCAAAATGCTGTTTATTATCTGCTATTTACACATTTTTTAATGTCTGTGCACATAAATAATCTACATATGTGTTATTATCTGTCCTACTTTTGCTCATTTGGCAGCAGAAACTACCTTACTGATGACATTTTAGATAAATATGTGAAAAACCATTAAAACAGCCATATTTCTTCTATAAATGTGGAGTTTATGTACCACTGAACAGATAAACTCAGTGGATTAACTGTGCTGCAGTGCAGTTCCTCACAGAAACCACAAGGGGCAGTACGAACCCGCTTTTTGAGAGAAGATGAACTGACCTCAAACAACCTCACAGCTCCTCCACATGAAACATACTCCGCTGCGTCGACTCAGGACTGATAAAAGCCGGCAGCTTCAGTGGAAACACGAGACAGCAAAGTGAAATCCAGTACACAAGACTTTAATAGATCAACGAAAATGATAAGAAATGTGCTCTGGTCCTGGTTGATCAATGATATGGAGGATTTTGGCACATTTACAATAGGCACATGAGTTTTTACAGTACACAGGCAGCTTGATTAGCCCCTTACAGCTGATATTTCATACACTGAAACAACATCCTTCTGTTTCAACCATCAAACATTTGACCATTTTCTTCCTGTTGCACATTATTATTTTTTTTAAATGTCTTTGTTTTCTTTATTATTAGTATTATTTCTACAGTACAGTATATTTTATTTAGGTAAAATTCATGTACGTATATCTGTGAGAAGGTGATATCAAACACTGATGCAGTTTTTATGTAGAAAACATGTCTTTACAGAGCTCATCATAGTACGGTAAAAAAAAGATCTTTTCACACTGAAAACTGACCATTTCAAACAATATACAGAAAAATGCCGTCTGGGATTCAAACTCTTAGGATGTGTGTGAATGAATTAAGGTGTGTATTGGCTCACTTGCAGTGTACAAACATGTTTGATACTGCAAATAACTTAAGCAGATTTCCAGCAAAATGTACCACAGCTGCAGGGGCGGATGTAGAGGGGCGGATGTAGAGGGGCGGACACCACCTGGACGCCACAGTTTGGTGTCAAAAGCTCTCAAATTTAACACATTCATTTAGATTAATTTTAAGGATAACATGTTAAGACAAGTTCAATGAAAGAAGACATGCATTTGGAGAACTGTCTGAAGATTTGGAAAGAATGTACGGATTTCTAATGTCACCGTTAGATATTTCTATTCAATGCTTTACTAATGTGCCACAATAATGTCATGTTTTTGAGCTTTTAGAAGAATATTCATATTTGATTGTTTGTGATTAAATCAGCGTATATTTCTGCCACCCCATGAATATTTCTCTAGATCCGCCTCTGCACTAAGAAAGAGTTTGACTCTGAACCCTGACAACCATTTAGCAACAACAGTTATTCACATTCTTGCCGAGAGTTGGCGGAGTAGATTTATCCCACTTTTATATAAAGCTGGAGCCAGCAGCCGGTTAGCTTAGCTTAGCACAAAGACTGGAACAGGAGGGAAACAGCTAGCACGGTCCCGTCCAAAGCTATATACGTTTGTTGAACTTTGTTAATGCTTGTTATGAACATTCATCTTTATGAGTAAAAACATCAAGTTTTTGCATAAATTCCCTTTTGCGTAGATAAATCTGCTTAATTCTCTAAAATGTGTTCAAAAAGTTAGTCCAGAGCTTTTTTTTTTTACACATGTGGGCGTCAATAAATTGTGTACAAACAGTAGACTTTGAGAAGTGAACGTAGTATATAGTATATGTAGTATATAAAAATTGAAGTCCATATGTTTGTTTTTACTAACTTTGCTACACTAATGCTAAATGCATTGTTATTTAATGAGGTAAAAATTAATCCATGTGATATCTCATGAATGTATAAATACAGCAGAAAAGCTGGGGGAGTTATTCCCAGTGGTTACGAGGCGTCTGCCAGGAGGGGTTAACGTTTGTGATTAAAACATTACTGCATCATTCTCTCTTTTTTGTCCTCCTCTTGAAGCAGAATTCAAACTCAGAAATTAGCTCATCTTTCATCAGCGTAATTGTCTTTAAACAGAGCGAGCGTGCACTGACAGTTCTCCAACCACAAACTGAGGTAAGACACTCTGGACTGCATCTGGAGTTTATACTGTTTAGTGTCTTCTCTGGGGGAGGGGAGACGGGAGCCAATGTTCGTTGAGCGGCTTCGGCGTAAGAAGTCGGTTCATGTGCTGCTGGGAGATGCTGGGTTCGTGTGCGTGCTGGAGTTCTGCTCCTCCTCCGAGTGTTTCTCCAGGTTCTGCAGATCCTCCAGCATCTCCTCGATCAGCGGGGGCATTGAGCCCGGGATCTCCATCTTCAGCGTCACCACCCTCTCAGCTCCTGTGGATAGTGAAGTGTTAGTATTAGGTTATCAGATGATGTGTTACCGTCCTCCTGTCACAGACCTTTCACTGAGGATTAGAACTACTAGACTCAGACTTACACACTAAATGCAGCAGAGAAGGGAGCAGGTATCCAAGAAAGAAACAGTGTTATATAATTCTGGCAAGTTGTAACAAACTATAATCTGATCTCTTTCTCAAAGCATCTTTTTTATCTTGATGGGAGACTGTTTTTAACCTATGCACGTCCTGAGTCGATGTCTTTGATCTCATTGTCTTTGCCACTAAGCTGCTGATACGGTTAGTTTAAAATGTACAGGCAGTGTCGTGTACACAGGTCTCCAAAGTAAAATGTTATTATAGCTAATAGTGATAATATCTGTAAAACTACCAAAATAAGACTCAAACAGAGTTTTCCTTTAAATAAATCCTATCTAACTTTTGCTGAACAGCAGCTATTGTGGTCATAAGTGGTAATTACGGGATGATGGTGATTGCTAAAATGTAGTGTAACGGTAGTACGACTGGAGAAGAACAATAAAGTCAGACAAGGGGCTCAGTAATGTCCCACAATAAAGTAAGGCTGTAGCAATAAGACCCTTGAGTATACTGAACTGTGTTTTACTACTTTTGTAAGATAATAGTCTTCAGTTTTCTTCAGTCAAAAGTTACATAATCTTGCTTTAATTTAAGTTTCTCTCACTTAAATGATTCTGCAAGTAGTTATTTTACATTCATTTGATGAACTTTATGGGGAATTATCGGGCAGCACAGTGTTTTCTGACCTTTGGCGCTGATGCTGCGCAGGTCCGTGATCTTCATCAGGGCCTTGGGGAACATGAGGGGCATGCTGGGCCGCCGTTTGCGGGAGTAAATCTTCAGCGCCTCCAGCAGCGGCTCCTGCAGCACCTCCACCTTAGACGGCTCCTCCAGGTCCTGACGGTCTGCTCAGACAGACGGAAAAGACAAACGTTAAAACATCCATTCCTTTCCAGGAGTGAATAATAATGTTAAAGGAATACTTGTTAGTTCATTAGTTGGTTTATGTAAGGTTGGACTTTTTCCTGAGCTTCAGTACCTCCAGAGACGAGACAGATGGCGCTGAGGAGGCCGCTCTCTGTGTCGTCCATCTGCAGCGGCAGCAGCTGGCCGGCAAACGTGAACACCTGATCTGTCAGCGGTCCAAATCCGGCGTTGTGGATCTGAGTGCGAGTCAGCGTCAGTCCGTCGGAGAAGGTCATGGTGTCCTGGTCTGGAGTGTAGCGAGTGCAAATCCTCAAGATCTGATTGGAAGAAGAGCAGAGTCAGGAAGAGGAGGGTTTAATAAACATGGAACAAGTATCAGGTTGATTGCACACATTATTATAATATGGGACAATGAAGCCACAGGGAAGCTCTGAAACATATTTAAATGACCTCCCGTGTTTGTTCTAGATGTATTTTTAAAACAAGCTTTGACGTCATGTTTGTACCCGAGTGTGCTTCTCCATTTCATTATCTTGTACATTTCATTTTTTATCAGAATTCAAGGAAAACACAAACTTAAAACTTCCCGTTCCAGTACTTTGGTTTATGACCAAAATACCTGCAGAACTAATGACATTTACATCAGCTGCAGCTGTTGTATTTGTGTTTAAGGCAGAAAGGCAAATATTAGCTAAAGTAAAATGGTGAGAACTATAAAGATCAGTGTGTTTTGAGCATTATGAGCATGTTAGCATGATAATAACAAAGCAGTGCAGTGTCTACTGTGCTTGCACGACTTTTAGCTTTGTCAGCCTCTTCCTGTCAGAAGCTGTTTTGGTATGTGCAATGTGTCTAATTGTAAATCACATTTGAGACTTCACAGTTCAGGCAGGGCCACTGAAACATCAATCTAAACATAATGCTGATTTACACTTTAATTAATGTTAATTGCTCTGCACAGCCCCTGATTAAATTACATTAATACAAATGTTCAGGAACACATGCACGGCCCACTGGACTGTTTATACTGCAGTGTAACGATTAACAGAGTGGCAAAAGACCAGATGAGGAAAACTTGGCAAACAAAACTCCCCGAACACTTCATCAGAATAAAAAGCAGTGAAAATGAAACGCAACAGAGCTTTTGATCGTACGTGGTGCGCTCCCCTGGTGCTATCAGAGAGCAGAGCGACTGATCAGGCCCTGATGGTGATGATGACAGACAGACTTGGCAGTGAATGACGGTGGAGAAGGAGGGAGGATAAAAGAGTAAAACATGTGACAGTCTGCCTCAGGGCGCTGTCTGTCTGCCAGCCTGCCTGTCAGTTTGTCTTTGGCATGAGTGTGGCTGACAACGTGAGTCAAGATCCACAGAAGGTGTGAGATGAATCGCAGTAGGTGAGCTGGGTGTGTGAGTTTAAGTGTTAGCCCCGCCCAGTTTTAAAAAAATAAAACTACTGACAGCTCACTAACTTATTCCTCACTAAGTTTTTCAGAGTAGAAAGTTGTTTTAGACGCACCAGGATGTCCAGACAGGCAGTTTTGAGCAGAGTGATCTGGTCGGCGATGGTCAGGCCGGTGAAACCAGGCACACGCTTGGCAAACTCCACCACCTTCATGATGCACTTGGTGGCGAGCTCGCTGAACTTGTCCCACAGCCCGAGGTCCAGCTGGATCCTGTGGTCTGAGCTGGAGTTCTGGATGCAGGAGAGAAGAATGAAGAATGTCTGTTAGATGTTTAGGTCTTTCAGAAAACCACATAAAATAATGATACGGTTATAAATATAACTTATAATCAACCAGGAAAACATGTTTTTATGGTGTTATAATGGATCATTTTCCTTCAGCTGCTGACTGGTTTACCACACAATGATAATCTAACTTTGACAACAACAAAAGCCCCCATGATGTTTACTTTCAGCTGCATTCATTGATCTTTTTGCCATTTGGGGAAGCACCACAAACTGTACACAATATTGACATCATTGTCACGTTACGAAGTCGATATGCTGAATGTTTTAGCAAACAATTGCTGGTTTGGTGGTAAATATACAGAATGTTTGAGCTGAAACAGGCAGATTTCACACCGATATGCAAAGGCTGCAAATAGGAAGTAACTTTATTTAAGAATATTTAAGTTAATAATTTAACATATAGGATACATTGTCAACAAATTCTAGAAATGAACACTGAGAAAATAAAGAATAAATAAAAATATCAAAACATCAGTGCTGTAAAACTTTTATATACCGGAGAGAAAAACAGTTTTAATAACGTTGTACATTAAATGATAGATACGCCGATACCCATATGATACCAAGATGTCTGCGAGAGGCCGATATTGGCTAATAATATCTAACACAACAGATATAGAGCAACAATAGCATTTATTTGGAGCCGTGTTTTCCACAACCTCCTGTATTTTACCGTATCTGTCTTCACTGTAGCTGCTAGAGTAAAGCTGCAGCACTGTGTTTACTAGGTGTGTCTGCTGCTCGGTGCCGGGCACTAGAGTCCAGAACTTGTCATTACGAATAAAACGTTTCTCATAAGCATAGTAATTTGATTAAAAATACACAACCTCATCGTAAATGCAAAGTAACAGAGTACAGACATTAACTTGACAACAACTACGACCTCTGCACAAAGTATTTAAGGTTTAGGTTTCCACAGGTGTTCATGAGTCAAGTTTTCTAATTACACCCCAAACCAGGAAGGTTTCTTTATTAAACGGAACAATGAGTCAGTCAGTTTGTTATTCCTCCTGTATTTCCTGATTTTACTCATACCTCAAATCATCGCTCACTTCTGCTGACTAATCAAACCACAAACGCATGATGTGAAAAACACACCCTCATACTCTACATAAAGATATATATACATACATATATGTATCTTTTGTAGATAAATAACTCACCTTACACAGCAGTGTTTAATTGATTTAGTTTTGGGACAATTTTTGCAGCTTACATGCACATTTCCTTTTATGTTATATCTTCTATTGGCTAACCCTAAAATGGAAATAACCTTTACAATTCTTGTTGTCCTTCAGCTTCTCTCCATAAAATCTAAATGAAATGCACCACTGGTCTTAGAGGACAGCTTTGATCTCTTCCTCTCTGCTTTCTGATTGTTTTCTCTCTGTAGAGGAAACTTATTTTAACAGTCAGGTCTCGTGGCGCGACTCACTGTGGTGTATTTTCCCAGCTGGCAGAGAGAGGGGAAGGTCTCTCTGTGAGCCCTGCAGATCTTCTCCACTATCAAGCCGAGCTCCGCCGTCAATTCGTACGTCTCCATGATGGTCATCTTCACCTCTTCCTTCTTCCCCTTCCTCCGGTTTCTGTCGTTTCTCACTGCTGAGGGAAAAAGAGTGACACAGCTTGTGTTTAACAGGAAATAACTGAAACTAAACAAACTTTTATAAGTTATTCTTTCTAGAATTTAAATTGTATATTACATCGAAATGGAAGGCGACCTGCGGTGTCTGTAGATTAAAAAGGATAGATCTAAAGTAATGAAAACACAAAGATTCTTATATTTAGGTGATTATAAACTAATGAAAACATACCTATGAATATTATATTCTATTTTTGGAAAAACTTCTCACAGTGTGAGGTTTTAATCAGGGCTTTACCAACAGACCAAAAGTACAAATATCTGTATGTAGACAGTTTGTGGACAGGAGTTTCCATGCAGTTTAATTACTGAGGTTTAAAGACCAGTCACTAAGAGTAACGCCTCCACCAACATACAATGGATGTAAAAGGAATTTCAACAGTGGGGTTTTTAAAGCGTTTAAAAATAAAGCTGTAGAGAACAGTTTCCACTGAAAGCAGCTGGCAGTGACCTGTGTGGATTATTCTGTTACTTCAGGGAGCACGTGAAGCCGGCTAACGCAGCCTAAACCAGGTTAACCTTTTATAACCGCTTCGGTAACGGTGTCAACTTGTTTCAGTGCGTCCTACTGACTTGGCTCAGGCAGCTATGCACATGTCAGAGGAGCTCAGGATTACGCAACACCTCCGTCTCTGCTTCCCTCCCCTCGCCCCCCCACCCCCCCCACACAATCCTCCCTCTCTCTGTGGATGCCCTACATCCAGTCGTCATTGTGTAAACATCGCGAGTGATATCATATTACTCACTAACAGAAGCAGTTACATAGCATCCATCTGTCTGCTACATGTGATGTATTTATGTAATGTGCGTGTGTGTCTGAGTGTCGGGGAGCAACAGTGAGAACATGTGGATGGGTGGATCCTTTTCGCTGCCGCCCTATCGATGCCCGCGGCTTCCTCCACATAACACACACTCTGCTATCTAGGTCACTGCACACACAGTTTTGACTTTGTTTCTGTTCCACAATCGAGGCGCTAGAGTGCTGCTGGAGTTCACAGAGTCCTTCTCAGTGAGTCATTTAAAAATCTATTTCATTCAACTCTAAAAAAGGAATATTTTTCACTGCTGCCACTGATTTTGTCTGAACATGCAGTTGGTATCAGTTTGACTTTCTGAGGTTGTAAGACTTCTATTCTGTATCCAGAAGCTCTTTTACACTGAATGATAAAACATTAAATCTAATGAAACTAGTCTTTCTCTGGTCTAGATGCAGTTTCACATTGACAGGAACATAACTCTGGTGGAGAAACCCAAAATCATCTGTCATTTCACTTTGATTTAATGTAATGTTTTACCCCCAAAAAAGGTCACATTTAATGATATTTACTCTTAAAGATCCCCTCTAGACACGTATTACAACATACAGTCTGATGGAACAATAATGTGCGTCCTTCTACCTCATTAAAAATGACAGAATCTATGATTTGTTAATATCTAAAGTTTACCAGCCGGACACAAGATGTCTCTGTAAAGGCCATTATCGGTGTACGTGCAGTGGTGGCTTCAAGTTTCACGCAGTTGCACAGTGGACCAGGTTTGACTTCAAAACTATTTGCAATGTCACAAATCATGCTCGTAGGCCTCGCCCCTTAAAATCTGATTATCAATGAGCTCAGAGAAACTTTCCACTTTCAGCGGATGAATGTGAAAACATCTTAGTCAAACTGCAAATACATCAATCTGCGTGAAGCCATGTAGGAAAAGAGTGAAAACACATTTGGGTGGAGGGGGATTTGTAGGAGATCTATTATCAGCATCATATTTTGTCAGTTCTGTGATCTGTTTCGCTGTGTTGTGTCAAAAGCAACCACTGCTGCTTATAATGCTGAGAGTGTTTAACAAACAGAGTTTCTCTCATCTGGAATTTGGCGATTTAGTCAGTAAACAAACTGGCCAAGGGAAGAGGGATATAATATATAAACATTAGGAGAGCTAACCCTTAACGCTGTGAAAAAATGTGTCTTTATAAAGTTAAAGGAGGTCGGGGATGGATTCCATGTCATAAGATGTATCGCCAATGTTTAATTTGCAGGGTTAAGCTCTCCTTTGTGGTTTGAGGAAATTTTCCTACTTCTCAACACTGTGTCTACACAGCCTGTGTAGCAAAAGCAGCACGTTATTAGCAGCAGCAGACGCTTCAGTCAGTCTGTGTCACTGTATTCAGTTATGAGTGACTGGCAGCACTCAGAGCCTGACACACAAACACTGTAGTTATATATGTAAACGGAGGAAAATAGACCTGAAGTGTAAAAATATGCTCTTCATGAGATGTTATGCAGCCTGTGTAGAGATGGACTGATTCAAATAGGAGTGTATCTGATTTTAGGACCGATAGAGTTTTGTATTTAGACCGCCACTCGTGGTTTCTATAATCTAAATCTGCCTTTCTTGCACTCAGCTTTTATGAATCACTTATGTAACATGTGACTGGTTTTAGAAAAACAAAAGATAAACCTGAGCTGATAATTCACATTTATGACACTGACCTTTCAGTCACCTCTGATATCTTTCTCTCTTTCTGATCAATATGTGATCCATTGGCTACTATCTACCCCGTCCTTGAACGTCTCATAATTCCCTCTAAGGGTATTCACATTTTTTAAGAGTAAGATAAATCCTCTTATGGATAGTGAATATCTAATTATAGCACTCTAACAAAATGCTGTGACAGATCCCACATATTTCCAGGAGGATCTTTTAGTTCAATGAGCCTCACGAGAGCTCCGGTGTGTGAATCTGTCACTTACATTCTCTGGACATTCCCACGGCGAAGCACCTCTGGAGCCGGCAGTACTGACAGCGGTTCCTGGTGATCTTGTTGATGATGCAGTTTCTGTCTCGGTGGCAGGTGTACACCATGTTTTTCTGCACGCTGCGGCGGAAGAAGCCCTGCAGAGGCAACAGGGAGAGTAAAGAGAAGATATTAATGATTTAAGAGTATGAAAATAATCCTGCCTAAATGTCAACGGCCAGTAATCGTTTCCGACAGTGTTAGAGTTTATAGTGATATTGGTGTTTTGTCTGTGCAAATACAGCAATCAATAACTGATTAATGTAACAATAAAACATTCTGTATGAATGTATTTTGCATAAAGAAAATTACTGCTGTAAAGAAACCTTTAATAACACCAGAAAACACTAAGAAGTTACACTTACTTGTCTTTTCTTGTTAGTGTGTGTGTATAAAATCTGTCAATAAAATTAAAACCAATTCCAATCATCAGTTTTAACAATGACACTACAATTTAAAGTTAACATTTGTGCCTTTAAAAATGTTGATTTTTCATCAGAAACTTAAATTTAGTTAGAAACACAAAAGAAACTGTACGGTTAAAACACCTACAAACAAAACAAAAACATAAATGTCTGTGAAATTACACAAAACAGATTGTTTACAAGAGGAAATTGTGTGTTGATGTTGTCTAGAAGGATTTCAGTGTCACTGTAATATTGACTGAACACCATGTTGTTTCACACACGTGGTCTATCAGGACAAAGTTCAGGACCTGTGGTGATGTTGCTGTTTTCTCTGAGCAAATACAGCAATCAATATCTGACTAATGTGACAGAACACAATAAAAACAATCTGTAAAAAGAAACATACATTATTTTATTTTTCTTTGGTTTGGAGCTTTGGAGTCAATGAGACATCTTCCTCTTTTAGAGCGCGGCACACATTTACACAATGACTGACCGCATGAAAAGAAAACCTTGGAGAGAATACGGTTTTGTGTTGTCCACTTTACTGGAGCGTAACAGAGGTGATTTCTTTTCAGCGAGGAGCTCACTGTGAAGTGGACCACGGAGGCTTGACATGTTACCTTGCAGCCCTCGCAGGCGCTGACGCCATAGTGGTAGCCCGAGGACTTGTCTTGACACACAAAACAGGGCTTGTAAGTGCGAGGAGGGGGCAGCGGGGAAGGGGGGCTGGCGAAGTGGTCGTCCGAGCTGGAGCTGGAGCTCCGGCTTCCGACTGCTGCAAACACACAATATGACACTCATAAACAAGCACAGCAGGGAGAATGTAACATGCTGTCATTGATATGTTTAAACCAGGAGTTTGAAACTCAAACTGTCTCGGGGCCACTGCTGGTATTCTCATTACGTCGTAGGAGGGCCACTTCACTGTTCAAGTACTGCAAGAAAGTGTAATATTCTGAAAATACTCCCAAAAACAGCAAACCAGCAGCTTCTATACATTTTTATATCATCTTTGGTTGTCCGCAGCAACAACAAACGAAGGCCCCCTTTGCCATTATTTTGTGCCAAACAAAACAGAATCTTTATTTTATTTTAATCGTATATGAAAGGGTAGTTTACATCGATATGAAACACAGCCTGTGTAGCGAAAGCAGCACGTTATTAGCAGCAACAGACGCTTCAGTCAGTCTGTGTCGCTGTATTCAGTTTTGAGTGACTGACAGCACTCAGAGCCTGACACACAAACACTGTAGTTATATATGTAAACGGAGGAAAATAGACCTGAAGTGTAAAAATATGCTCATCACGAACTGTTACGCAACCTGTGTAGAGATGGATTGATTCAAATAGGAGTGTATCTGCTTTTAGGATAAAGCTTTGTATTTAGCCTTTCTTGCACTCAGCTTTTATGAATGATTTATGTAACATGTGACTGGTTGTGCAAAATCACAAAAGATAAGCCTGAGCTGATAATTCACCTTTATGACACGGACCAGGTGCTTACTCTACAACCACAACAAATCTGAGGACTCACCTGTAGGCAGCGGTTCATGTGAAAGTTTCATGTTACGATTATCCAGGCTGAAATAATTCATATATATCAACGAGATAAAAATGATAGTATTTACACAAATCCTGTTTAACCTTTGTTGTGGGGGATTCAATGAGCCTTTAGCCACATTGACAGGTGTAGGATTTTGGAAAGGTGCAAGCTCCTACTACTCTTAATCAATAAAGTACTGCACATGGGCGAGATAGACAGCTTTTTCAAGTCACGTGTGAGGATATTTACCATTATTACAACAGAATAATAATAGAAATTCACCACAAAATACTTATCGGAGTGCTTTTTTTTGCGATATGCGATTATATCATCCCATCCCGACTCACCTGCGAGCTGCAACAAACTAAGTGAGGAAGCAGAAACCTCGTCTGACACACAGTGCAGTTGAATGACTCCACACAGGTAAATATAAAGACTACACTGAAGGGCAAGACTCTCTCAGACCACCGACGCATGGACACACATCGTCATGAACTTTACTGACCACATGCTTGCTTCCCAGAGGATGAACCATTGACCTTTCTCAGAGGCCAAAATGTCAATATCCACACAGGATATCTACGAGATGAGCGCAGATTGCACTGAACTTTGCTGAGCACATTCATGCTCCCAATGGATTAACACTTAATTTTAATTTCCTGGTGTGATTACCGCTGCCTCACAATACAGATACGGCTCAAGAACAGCTTCATTTTCATTCAACCTCACTCAGAGAACATACTGAAGAACAAGAGCTGAGCGTTAATCCAAAGGAGGTAAAGTCAAAAGCGTCACTAAACGGACAGAAATCGCTTGTAAATTAAATATTTATACAAAGATAAAGTGAGTATGTGGAAAAGTGGAGTAAAAACAAGTACATTTTACTAGCTGAGAAGCTGTGTTCGTCCTTACAAAGCCTCTGCTGAACTCTCAGGCTGTTCAGTTTCATAAAGCTGCTACGAGATCTTCTTCTGGTAGAATAAGAAGTAGAATTTACTCTCTCTGATATATACAGCTATTGTAGCTCCTCTTTAACCTCCATTTTCTTCCAGCTGAATGTATAATTTCTCTCCTTCATTCCCAACAATCAACCCTCCCACTTTAGAACCACTTTTGAGAGGATTGCTCCAATCTGTGGGGCTCAGCCTTCCCCCCCGCCAGGCCCTCGGATCACCTCCACCTCCTCCAACGCTGACAGAAAACGAAGAAAGACGGTTTTGAAAAGGGGGCCAAAATGAGAAAAATTGCTCATCTACATCCCCTTGAACCCGTGGCCTCCGGTTGAACCTGGAATCAGCGGGTCAAACGAGGACACCCCTTCACCACCACCCTCCCCACCATCGGCCCGAGCGCTCTCCCAACGCAAAACAATGCAGGAGCATGCCACGAGCCCAGCTGACTGATGAGAGGGGAGGAGAGGGAGGGAGAAAGTGATTTGGTCGGGGGAAGGAGGGGAACGAGGCTGCCCCCCCGAAATCCCAATTTAGGTGGTTTTATTTTAATGTATGCGACGATGCATCGAGAAGAGGAGGAAAGGAAGTTTGAACGGCAGCAAAAAGTGAACTAAAAGCTGCATCGTGTGGTTGAACATATTCATGGATGTTATATAAATGTTAGTTTTGGGTATAAATTGCTATTTGGAACGAGGATCTGGGCTCTTTTTTTGTGATCAACCTAATTTTGTGTTGTGCTAAATACGGTAGAAGCATCTTCTGTTGCAGCTTGTTTTCATTATTGATTAATCTGCTGGTTATTTTCTCTATTAATCTATTATTCTTTAATATATCATCATTTTCCCAGCGTCCAAACAACAGTGGAAGCTTAAAAGACTGTTTAATTTACTCTTAATATGACCAAGAAAAGCTTAAAATCCTCACATTGGAGACGCTGGAACCAGCAACGTTTATGTATTTTTGCTTTAAAAAAATAACTGAAGCTATTAATCCAATATCAAAAGGGTTCTCGGTTAATTTTCTTTAATTGTTGCAGCTATAGGTTACTTATTTATGTAATTTGTTTATGTACTTTGGTCCCACCATGACATTACTGTATACCCCACTGTCGAACATTTTAAAAGTATAAATAAAATAAAATTTGTATCTTTTCATGGTGAAAAATTCTCATTAAGTCAAAGAAAAATGTGCTTTATGTGGATTTTCTTCCCTGTTTCGGCGCCTGAGACGTAAAAGCAGCAACAATATGTGGTTGGATGTAACAAAGTAATGTACTTACATATTATTTTGAGGTAATTGTACGTGAATAAAGTCCTATTTTATATTACTTTATACTTTTAAAGTGAAATACTGACCTTCTTACTCTGCTACATTCATCTGACAGCTGTAGTTATGAGTTTTTGTTACATAAAAAACAACTTTTCTGTACATCAAACACATCAAACAATCTAATAATATCACATATAATACATATATTTATTTACATTTGTTGTGCTGGCGCTTTTAACCAGCAGCAAAAAGTCTGGCTCTCCTCTGACCTGGTGAGCTGGTGACCGTCCGGTGAACCCGAGGTGACCCCAAACTGACCGGCCCCGTTCACCCCGTCCCAAACACAGACCACCACACTGTCACAAACTCGCTCACATACAGTAACCCTGTCTTCTTTCTGCTCTCCGTGTCCCCTTTTCTGTTCAAAAGAAAACCTTTTCCGCAAGAGGAAAACTCGCTGTAGAGCTCGTAGAATGAGGGGACACTTTACTTTAACCCCCCTTTATAAGGCATTTATAAAGAGGATATAAAACATTTAATGAATGAGTTATAACGCATAGGCCTCTCCTATGAACTGTGTTTCTACTGTATTATCATTCATTATGTGTTTATACACCAGCCTCTACTTGTGGGCGCCCACATGAGTTGTTGTTGAAAAAAAATACATGAATAAACACAACTACATTTAACCACTTATTAAATGTTTATACACGACTTGTAAATGTTAAATAACGGGGCTTTTAGAGAAAATGAAAACCAGGTTAATTCAAATTAATATTAATCAATGGATCTACTGTATTAAAGTTTATACATTTATCTGTTTCACGTCAGTTTTTGTATTTATTTTAATATTATCTTGTTTTTGTAAAGTAAAGTAAACTTAACACTCTCCTCCTCAGCTTTTACTTTGATTAGATGGGTTTATGGCCCTTTACTTATTTTATTTAACTATTAATTTTATTGTATTCATGCTCTTGTTGTTGGTCTATATCACTGTTTGTTTTACATTTATTTTATTAATTAATTGTCATAAATGTCACAGCTCGTGTGCCTCAGTACCTGTTGTTATTATCTTGTTCCAATTGCAGTGCCCTGTATGAAAGGTGCTGCACACAAATAAAGCCTGATTGACTGATTGATTGATTGATTGATTGATTGAAACCAGGCTGTGGAAAAGTAACATGTTAACAACAATGCAGTGGATTTATCTCATGCATGTCTGCCTATCTGTGCACCCTAATGTTTTTAAATGTTATTATGCTGTAACAGCTAAATGTAAAACAGTAAGATACTCGATTATATTTAATATATTACATAAAAGCTACACATTGCTGCCTTATTGGTTAAAGTCTTGGTGAGTAAACTTATTAAAGAAAGTATTGTTGAGGGTCTTGTAATGCCCCCTTTTTGAGGTTCCTTATTTTGACTTAACATAATTCTGTTTTGATAGTAAGCTGATATATTTCCCTTAGACATGAGGCCACAGATTCACCCAAACAACACGAAGACCACATCAGTTTTTCCAACTCACACTGCGAGCACCGGTGCTGCTGCCAGTCCGCCTCCATCAGCTCCGGGAAGAAGGCTGACAAGTCCTGCTCCTGCTCCTGCTCCTGCAGCATGCAAGCAGGGCTGGACGCGGTGTAGAAGTCCATGATTTCTCCGGGACCGAAAGCTTGAAATTCCAGATAATCGAACATGATCTGGTTTTCAGTCTCAGCGATGTCCGTCTGGAGATGTTGTCCACATGTGCAAGGCTCTCTCTCTCTCTGCAGCTTATATAAATAAATATATATATATATAATTTTAAATGCAAACGGTGTTTTAGCAGCAAAACATATCAAAAGCAGCGTGTGCGCTTCAGGGACCGACTTGCATTTCCCACAAAGTGTCAGAAATTGTTTGCATGTTTGCAGCGGACTGTAGTCCTCCTCCAGCAGAGAGGCAGCGGTTGAAACGCATCCAGATCTGGACGCTGTTTTGCATAACAAAGTTTGTCCCGGGACTTCTTCCTTCCTTATCTCTTCTTTATTGACGAATGTCTCAACTCAACCTGCTTCGTACCAGTTATGTCAGAGCGACCGATGGTGTTACCTAATGTATGCGAGTGAACTCTCCGTGAACCTCCGCCGCAGCTGACCTTCACATGACCCAGCCGCCGTCTGACATCAGCGGCGGCGGCGGAGGAGGCGAAGCACCGAAGACCCTCCACTCGAGGGAAAATATCAATCCTGTGGTGGATAAAAATAACCTCCGTCGATGTTTAACGTAAAAAAGTATCATAATTAATACAGAATTTAACGAGATATTGTCGTTTTTAGTGTGTTCGTCTTTGGCGACTACATTACCCACAATGCAACCCGACACCGACTGACGGTTGGAGATTCGCGGTTAATGTAGCTTTGAGCCGTTAGCCTCGGACAGAGATTCAGAGCCGACCACAGTTATCTGGTAAACTCACTTCTCTACACCTCCACATTTCTTTCAGTTTCATAATTGTAGTTTTAAATGAAGGCAGAATATTTAAGTTTATTAGACAGCAGCTGTTCGCTAACTTACTCGGAAAAGTTTGAAAATGAAAACGATCTCTGATCACGATAAAAGTCTACGTGCACCTGAACAGGTTGAGTAAATGTATACTAATCTATAAATATGTCTTATCTTAACAGTAAAGCGTGTTATTGTTCACATATTTACCGGAATTTTACCAAACGTCATAGTTTATTTTAACCATTTCAGACAAACCAGCGCATCCAAAAAAGCCTTTCCATCCATGTATTTGATCGGAAATGTATTTATTTTAAGTCCTGATGTTGAGTTTCATGGTCTCGAGTGCTAGCAGTGGTGTGCCTTGTTTTAAGCTTGGACGTAATGTCTTTTCTTTTAGAGATATTCAGGTTTTAGCCCTGGATTCATGGCTTGCCATAAAGGAGCACTTGTCTGTTTTAAATTCAAAGCAAAGTAGATTCGCTGATGTTCCAGTATTGGCATTTCATGATTAAAACCATGTGGCCTTTTAAGAAATCAATACTTTTTAGGCTCTGTTTCTCTTCATTCACGTCCACTTCAATTCTTGATCCTTGACTTTAAGTTAGAAATATTTGCAGTTAGGGGGATCCATAATTAAATCTACCGCAAGATAAAGTAGGTCAGCTGCAAGATGGGTTGGTGGGTGGGGGAAGGAAATCTGTTCTACTTGAAAATAATGGACCTAATTTACAACATTCATCAACTGGAAATGACTGAAAACAAGTCCCCTGCCTTTAACATCCTCAAACAAAAAAAGATATACAGAGAAAAGGATTTTAATGCATCGTCTAAAAATAAAAATAAAAAGAGTGTTACAGGCGGACGACGCCAAAGAAGAATGTTTTGTTTGAAAATATAAATACACTTGATCTCCTTCAATGCCACTGCTAAACCCATTGAGGCGTAGAGGCAGCACCGATCCAATGTTAAAGGAGGCTAATTACTCCCAGGATCTCCCACACTCCAGGGAGGCCAGGTCATCCAGAGGACAGGCATGTGAAACATTCCTGTAGCCTGCTGCTGGACCTCCCTCCCAGCTCAGTCTTCCCCTGTCCTCCTTTCTCCTCCTTCATCCATCCTCCCCCTGCTCCTCATCTTCCACCTCTTCCCTCGGTCCCATTTGTTTTCTACTCTCTGGGAGGAGTGCATCTATTCAGCCATTCATCACTCATTTTTTTGTGGCAGGGGGTTGGGAGGTACTGACTTGTTCAGATTAAAAACAGAGAGTCTACAGCCGAACTATCGGTCTTAACTATCTTTTATCTTATTCACTGGTTACTTTGGCACGTGTACGTCAGGTTAACTTTCCCACCTCCAATAAAGTGCAGCACACAACTGCTACGAATGAGACATCATCCATCATTCATCATCCTAGGGCCGCCCCCTATCAGTCGCCCGAGTCGACTTTTCATTAGTCGGATAGTTGCAGAAAATCCAAAACAACGTCAAACTCTGCTACTAGTACACACAATGTGAAAGTTATTTATTCTGTGTTTTGAACAACGAGACGTGTGTGACGCGATATGCTACGTTGATATAAATGAACTAAATGCTCAGTCCTGTTCTGACACAAACAATGATCATTAAAATATGCTTACACATTTACGAATGACTGTAAAGATGCAGGCTCCCCCTTGTGGAAATTAAGAATAAAACAGAAAAAGTCATGTTAGCGAGGCTTTTTCAAGACACTCAGGAGGATATTCACAATTATCCCGATAATGAAAATCCACCACAATCAACCAGTCCATATATTGTACCGTCCCTAATATTAATATATTATAATAGACTTAATATATAACCGTAACATTGAGATCAATTTACTTCATCTCCTTGTCATTTGGTGCAGTTCCCCAGCGTTTTCTCCGAATATGGCATTGCACCAAATGGTAGCAGGAGCAAAACAACCAACAACCTAACAGATCCTCAGTCTTCCTTTTGCTTCTTTACAACCAGTTGTAAACTTTTACTTGGAGCCTAGCACCATCGAGGAGTTATTTATTAGTGCAATATATCTCTTTATTGTCGCTGTCACATGAACTGCAACAGGAAGATACAGGGACTGGACAGGTTCAAAAGGGCTGTCTGTAAGTTAAACTCTTCTTTTGAAGGTATATTTGATTTTGCCTGGCCTATTGATGATCGATATTGCCATGATTTGTTTCAGTTGGTAAATCGGGGTTCAATAAGTCTGTCTTTTATTAGTTTATTCGTAATACTGAACTTTAAACAAACTAGATTAGCAGATTCAACTTGCAGTTAAGTTATCCATACTGACATCTATTTCTACTCACAGATAAATATTTAGTTTGCCAAAGTAAAGAAAACATTTTAAAATCAGTTTCATATTATGCCATTGGCTGGAAGCAAATAATAAAATAAATAAAATGATAATAAATAAATGACAAATACCCAGTAGTGGAATGCAACTAAGTACATTCATTCAAGTACTGTAAGTACGAATGCAAGGTGCTTAAGTATTTCCATTTCTTTATCCAACTTTATACTTCTACTCTGCTACATGTCAGAGACAAATATTGTGCTTTTACTTTACTATTACATTTATCTGACAGCTTTAGTTTCTTCTCAGATTACAATTTTCCATCCCCTTTCTGTCCAGTAAAAACCATGCATCTCCACATGTGCCTATTTGGGATTTTTTTTACAAACTGAAGGATTACGTGTTAAAAGATAGTTCCTCTCTTAAGCTTAATAAACTGTTTTAAAATGTTCTTGGATCAGCTGGAAAATACATTGTCACAAAGCTGAAAATGGCTATTTTTCTGAGGCCATGAATAACTTTTTAGAGATATGTGGTTCTCAGAGGACAGTGAGAACGAGCTACAAACATATGAACTTACGATCATACTGTACGTACATTTCCTTAAATAAGGTTTTGAATGCAGGACCTTTATTTGTATTTGAGTGTTTTTAAAGTGTGGTATTAGTACTTTTAATTATCTGATTACTTCTGCCACCTCTGTAAATACCTCTGGCTGGCAGAGAAGAATTGTGGCTGTGCATTACAGATGTTTTATTGTGTTACAATTAATGGATTAAGATCAAATGAAAAAAGCTGTTGTTCTTCCACAGCTGACAAGATGTTGAAAAGATTTCTCAGTTCCAGCAATGCAAATTTTCCCTTGTGAATTTTAAATGTCCTCCCCAGATCAGTGTTCCTTCAAAATGCAAAACTACAGTAGTCATTTTATTGGTAAGGCGATCTGATTTGCAAGTACCTTATTTACCTATAAAGGACACGGCACACTGCTTTGCTCGCCTGTTTGAGATTCACAAAGAAAGCGATTTGATTTGGTTATGGTCCTTATCTTCACGAATGCTCACAGACCTTTATCAACCTTTGTTAAACTTTTTTTTTTTCTCAAATAGAAAACAAACCACGCAGCCACACATTGACGCTATAAAAACGCTCACTGTACTTGAAGGATGTCTTAAAAGTAAATTAACAGACAATAAAAATGGATCAAGACGAGACAATTATACTAAAAACAACCAACAAAAAAACAAAACAAAACGAGCTGAGAGATAGGTTAACAGGTTAATGACAATCATTCAATCATGTGACATGGGAGATCCTCCTTGTAGTTGATAAAAGGTTGCCAAAAATAAAATAAAAAATAATAATAACAGCAAGCAGCACAAGGGCAGCAGGCTCAACTACAATCTCTGGAAACCTTTAAGATGAGAGAGCGTGGAAGAGTACAATCTGTTTTGCAAATATCTAATTTACACGGTACATTATGAAGCTTTGTTGGGCGGAAAAACAAAGACAGTGATTTGAATGAGATGAGGTCGTTATCTTCACAAATGATCACAGACCTTTGTCAACCTTTGTTAGACTTACGTTGCAGTCTAAGTGCTTTGTAAGGACTCGCACACAACATTGTTGAAAGTTATTGTCACTGGCCAGAGTGATTACAATATTAATCTGTCTTGTGCATCCTTGCTTTGGCCATATTGATTCAATATTGAGTTTAATTTCCTTGGAAGTAACCCTGCATTGTGGGAACAAGCTCTTTTAAGATATGTTTCATTGCAGTATGTCAAGTCAAGTTTAATTATATAGCACATTTAAAAACAAGCTGGCGTGCTGGCTCTGGGAAAATTCAGGCTTTACCTGCTGCCTATTGAAATGTGGTAATTTGAATACTATTGAAACAATGAAATCTAATAACCTAGTTGTCTAAATGAATTGTCAATAAACAAAATAAAACAACATAACTGATCAGCAACTGGTCATACACCACAAGATCTTTCACAATGAGTAACCCAAGAGTCTGTCTGGTCTCCAAACTACATTTCATCAGGAGTAATTGATAATACCATTAACAACAAGCACATCAGGTGAATTATAATTAGCATGATCAGCCAGTGTCAGTAATCAGTACACACATTATTAAACCATTAATCAAACTACTAGCAATCAGTGTCAGGACGATAAGAAATATTATATTCTGTCTATTTGGTATCAGTATAATTCATAAAGAGAACTGTATTCTGTACAAACTTTACTTTTTGTCTCCTAAACACGCTCGGCCTCCATTGTAGCTATGCTCTTTCAGTGGGAGAAGACGGTTGGTATCAAAGGCAGACTGTTCCAATAATTAAGATTTCTCACTTAAATAAGTACTGGTTGGTGGAGCAGATACACGCCAAATTGAATAAAGACTCATAGGACTGTTAATTCACTATCCATTATATGTGTGTATCTAAGAAGTTTTCTTTGGCTGTTACCAAAGTAACTACCGATTCGCTGCTTCTTGTCTGGTGCTGGCGAGAAAGGCTACCCGCGTCTGCCCTCACTGGCTGTAGCTCGTTGCATGGCTCGTCTCCGACGCGACTAGATGTGCAACCTGCTAGATATTTTTCTGGTGCCGGTGAGGCGTTAAGCAAACTTCTGTCAAGCCTGCGTGTCGCGTCGATGAACAGTTCACACAACACGATCCTCCTCGCGGGTCTGATGGAATAGAGGTAAGTGACATAATTGTATAATTTACTGAAAATGTATAATTATGTACTTGTATCACCTGTCTTTGGGCCAATACTGATTGTAAAATCTGGATAAAATGTAGTGAGCAAAGATGGATGATATTAATGAATTAATTAAAACCCTGGACAGTAGTATGTATGGCAGAACAGTAGAATAGATTGCATTAGATTGTACAGGTGTGCCTAATAAAGTGGCCACTGAGTATAAATACATGCAGTCATAGTGGGCCTCTTGTGTGATTTAGCATTTGACTCGCTTATTTCCAGTTCAGAGCTGGTTCAGATATAACAGAGTTTAAATGCAGCAGTGTGAAGTTGGACCTGATTGCTGAGTTTTATGTATGATAAACTTAGACACTGCTCTGCTGATTGAGAAGAACATCCCATAGAAATGCAGTACATTCATCTTCATTGTAAAATGGTAATTAAGGAAATTGGTGTCAGCTTTCAGAGTTTTGTAAGTCTATACTTTTCATACAAATATACCATATATTATTTTCCCATGCAACAATTCTTTTGACTGTCACTTGTTATAATCCTTAACATTTTTAATTAATTGCTTTTCATGATCTGATCATGTTTTCCTCATTAGCCATTAAATGTTTTTACATTCAGTAATTGTCTCACTATATAGTATTTTTTGACTGCCTTTCATTATTAAAACCTGTTTGTTCAGCTGCATTGTAAACAGATGCTCATTATTCTGATTTCAGTTTAATATTAAACTGCACTTGCTGTTACCATGGTAATTACAGGTGTCATCACAGCCCTAATTCAGAGTCACTTTGTAAGAAAAAAGTCCAAATTGGTCGAGATGATTGTGGGTAAACTTATCTCACAGTCAAGCCAAACTATCCAAAACTTTTATAGCATAACAAAGAAGCAGAGAAAAGAGCAAATAAGACACACAACCATAAAATCAACACAGCATAGTTTAATTACTTTTTTAAATTGCCTGCTACATACAAACATTTGGCTGTGACTAATGATTTATAACTTATCGATTAATCTTCATTATGACCTGTATTGTAAACGATACTGTTTGATACAATTTTACCGATGCATGGTATGTGATTTTTCAAAATAAAAAACCCCATTCATTACATTTAAAGGCAAATCATACGGCAAATACCGGCCATTAATGCCAAATTTATTACAAAAGCAAATATGAGTACATTTACATAAAAATGTCTGGACTGGGAAAAAATAAGAAATCACTCTAAATTTGTCTTAAATAAGCATCTCTACATATATGGCAGCCATTCCATTACAGTGTCTGTTCAATTCGACTTAATGAGGTACTGATTAGGTGATCACCTGAACCAAATCTTATTTAAAAAGGAAGTATAAAAAACACTGCTGTGGTCTTTACTATGCTCTTGCAATAGGACCAGCTGGATGGCAAAAATAGTGCTAGTAGTACCTCAAAAGTAATTAGAATCAAAAAATAACCATTAACCATGCCAAAGGAGTTGAAAAGAAACATTTTGAGTGTGGAAAAGAAGGGTTCAATTCAAAAATGCCAGTTGATAAGAACAAGGTCAAGCAGCAGACATTGGGGACAACAAAGACCGGCAGAGGGCGAAAACGACTCTCCACTGACCGGGATGACCGGCAACTTAATCGAATGTCACTCAACCACTGTGGGATGACATCAAGTGACCTAGAAAAGCAATGCAAATGGCAGCTGGGGTGAAGTGCACGCCGAGAAAGGTTCGAAACAGGCTCTTAAGGCCAGGGCTGAAGTCGTGCAAAGCTAAAAAATCTTTATCAATGAGAAAGAACAGCCAGGCTGAGGTTTTCAAAGTACCATAAGGATTGCACCATGGAGGACTGGACATTTTATAAGGAGTATGGTCTTGACCTGCTCTTTCTGAAAAGTGTCCTGAGATAACTTTTGTTATGAATTGGCACTATACAAATACAACTGAATTGAATTGAATTGAATTGAAAACTTTTGGAAATGAGGCAGCCGCCCACGTTTTGATTTATATAACTGTATTATCGATAATTTATAAAAGGAATTGATACCAAATGAGTAGCTTGTGAGTATCAAAGTATTGATCTACCAATCTCTAGCCAACCATAGCCAAGTCAAGTTGCAGCTCGCAACAAAAAGCCTAATTATCTCATTATATTATTATCTTCTATTCACTGCAGCTTTATTACACACAAGTTACTTAGTAACAACAGAGCAAAATAGGTTTACAAACAAAAATATATTAAAAATGTGAACTGCGTTGAGGTTCTGTTAGTTTGTCTTCATCTGTTTTGTGGGCTGAATCTTCCATTGCAGATTGAAGTCAGTCCATCCCTGACTTGTTAGCACTGCAGCAAGCTGAGGGGAAATATAATAAATATTCATTTTATCTCTAATTTATTGTGCCATCCTCTTTGGTTGTAGTTTCCTTTTCTTGTTCTTTATTTATATCTTCAAAAACCAGAAAAAATGTACCTGCTGGAGGATCTGGGCGTTAGTAGCTGGATCCGTTATGTCGGCGTCAGTCTGAAACTTCATCCGCACCGTGGTCTTCAGTTTTGAAACTGGGCAGTACAATGAACACATAAAAAGAGACACATTCAGTAAATGTTGAATGATAAAACTCCAAAGAATTTATTTGCGTTATTGAACAGTCACCTTGATGGCAAATGAAAGGTAACTTCACATCACAGTTCCCGTCTTCCCATGTATGTAGAAAATTCTCGTCTACACAGAACTTGTGACCACCAAAGTTATTTGGGAATCCAATTAGCCATTGTCTGAAGGAGCTTTGGGTGTTGTCGGACCAAGTCCATGGCACTCGGTACAGACCAATCCAAACTTCGGCTGGTGCTGCAGAATAGACCTCATTGTTTTCTACACTGTTCTCGATCATAGGAAGGTCTGTGTAGTGTTCTCTGCAGTATGCTTGAGCATCATTCCATGATTTTAGAGCCGAGATGAACACATAGGTTTTCTCAGTTTGGTTTGTAACTGCAATAGACAAAAATGAAACCATCATCATCTATTTTATTTAATCCTTTTTGTTTGTTGTTGTGTCACTGTTGTCTTCTCTGCATTTTAGGCTACAGCTAATCATAGCATAGATATCATAGTTTTTGTTTTTGCAGGTTGTGTAAAATTTCAGCAACATGCACAAAGTTTATTTTCAGTTTTTATTTTGGATGTGCTTGACAAAGACAAACACCTGCAAGGTGGAGCAGGTATTTTATTATTAGTGCTCAACAGTGTTGAACAAAATTGTAATTCAATCATCTTTACGTCTTTTTGCATTTTGTAGGTGTCTGTATCACGGGGACTCCACAGGTTACTTTTTTTACTTTCTGGGATTTAAACTGAACTTTTTCTGTGAAATGCAAGCCATTATGTAAAGAGTCAGACGTCCTCTCCAATCACTTCCTGTGACTGTAACCTGATGTTCCTGACGGCGCCATGACCAGGTCAATCCATTGATCATCTTCTTTTTCTCTACTCTCAGAGCTGATGGCTGTCTGGTAAATTCTTGGAACATAGATACGTCCCTGGTGGCGAACTATTATTTGTCTGAATAAACATAATCACCAGCTGCACAGAGCCAAGTTACCAAATAGGTGTGAGTGCAAAAGATGCCAACCGATGAAAACAGTGTGTAGGGTGGCAGAATTTGAAACTAGAAGGGGTTGAACGCTTCTCCGACTGTAAGTGCAGACCAAGAAAAATGAATAAGGGCCATCTTTGCATTTTTAGAAAGAAAACACTGATATTTGAGCAGTTGTGCTCATGAGTCTCCATCTGCTCGTTCCTTGTTTTTTTTATCATTTCTGCAGGTGCAAAGCAGACCAATGGGTTTTGAGGGAGGATTAGTAATGAATCTGCATAAAATCTATCGATAATACATTTGATGATCAGATAATTGCTTTGTCATTTCTTTCAGAACAAAATGCTTACTTTTAAGCCAGAATTGTACTGATTAATTGTAAATTGAATATCCTTTGGACTTTTGGTTGGACAAAACACTTTGAAGATCTCAAAATGAGCTTGAAAAGTTTTTTTTTTGCAACTTATTTGTCATCCTAAAAAACGGAACAAATTAACCAATGAAAATAATCGCGACTGTTGAAAAGTTTTAGTCCTGTAGCTGTGACATTTTCTATGAACAACAAAAAAAAAAGTTTTAATTAAGTATTTTTCTTACCATTGTAACAAACAAAACTCCAGAGTGACTTACAGTCCCTGTCATACCATTTTCCATTAGTGCCCATGCTCACGCAGTTTGCATTTGACCATTCATTGTTTGGTTGCCCTACTTTCCAGTTGTGGTAACCAGTTTTGCTTGTTAGACCAGTCGCTGACCATCTCCAGGAGTTGGTGTCATTGCCCATGGATACCTTCCAGGATTTTGGGTCATCCTTCAGTCCTATCCATGCCCATGCATAGAGAAAATCAGGTTTTAGCCTGCTTATGTCATCTGTGCTTTCGATGGTGGCCAGGTCAGTGTATTTCTCTCTGCAGTAATGCTGAGCTTCGGTCCAGTTCATTGGCATGTTAACATAGTAGTACTTTCGCTTGGGGAACTGAGAGCAGGAGTTGAAGCCGTATCCTGAGGGTTGATGATAGAGGACATATTTAGTATTTATTGAATCACTTACATGAATTATTTTGTCATGCGTGTCCATTTAATATTATCTTATACTCTCAATCCAATACTTATGCAGGTTAATTTCATTAAGAATATTAATTAATTAATATATGTATAGCTGATTATTTATATATATACACACACGTATACACTTAATAACTAATAAACAAAGTAGGCTTTTAAATAGCCTAACAAACTCTCTGTAATATTTTTTTCATCTTGTCAATCTGTCTGGTGCTACCTGGAGGGAATTTCTCTCTCCTAAAAGTGTCATGCAAAGTGCACCCTTTACCTGAGTTACCTGATTGAACTGTATTCTGCTGAATGTTTATTTTTCTTGTCTATCTGTGTTTTGTGTGGATTACATTAATAAATTACGTAGAAACATGAATTACAATCACAATTAACCGTTAAGCTGAATCGATCAACTTCTGCTGCATCCACACGATCAGCTAGGCACTGATGTCAATTAAGCCCTGTGTCAGTTCGCTAAATCACCCTCCACACACTGGTTGATAGGGTGTCTCAGCATACAACCTTTACAGTGGTTTGGCGGTCTGAGAGTTGTGTTATTGGAAAAGTTTCTGTTAACTGGCAAAGCACCTGTTGTCCTACTGCTGCTGTATGTTTCCTCAGAGGATGTTCGAGCTTGTGGCTTTCACAATGAAAGAAATCCTGGTGGCTGATGAGGCCTGATGATATTTAACTGATTTAAGTGTTAAAAAGTCATTTTAATTTCTAATTTCTTCACAAAAAACAACATTTTCTTTCTCACCCACTGCCCACTGTATTTTGTTTGTCTTTACCCATACCTGTATATTTATATTAATATATATTTTGTACATGTTTTTGCGGGTTACTCGGTGCAGCACTCTGCAATGGAGCACTGTGCACAAAAGTTTTGTGTGGGCGTATCTGATTGGCTGTCAGGTCCAGAAAAAGAGCATTCCTGTACTGGTAGAAGGTACTGTAGAAAAAGTACAGTCAAGTTTTCATAATTTTTTTATCGACTTGGTACCGAAGTATCGGTTCTTGTGACATCCCTAATACCTACAGGACACAACCTATAATGTTCCTCGGATTTAAAAACGCAATCAGCTCTCATGATTAATTATACAGATGACAACAACTTTGTTTCAAAACGTCTGTCAAAGGGGTTATGTCTTCAGTCATATTTACTTAAGAGATTTCAGTTTAGCTTGGAGAAAAATTTGACGACTTTCCAATGAACAATTAACTGGGAAATTTTTTTTTCTAGCTTCCTTGGTTCAATACATCTGTATCCATAGAGGCCATTGTAGAATACACTAAATATTTTTTGTGCTCATTATAAGACAAACATAAAGACATATTTTTGACTTCTGCACAAAATAACCGCCAGTTATGATAATAATTCCTCATTTTGATCTTTTATCAGTTCATACATTTCTGCCCCCTGTTAATGTACCGTGTCTGTTTACACTCTTAGGACTCTTTTAGGCTGTATGACTCAACAAGTTTACAATACGGTGGCATGGTGCATGCAAACTGAAAATTCAAAATACACTTTTCATCCATGAAATTAAGTGAATGACAAACATGACCTTACCAAAGAAGAGGAGAATCATAGTCACGTAAAAATCCATTTCTGGTTTTACTGCAAAGAAGAAAGAAATAGGTAAATAATACATGCATGACCACACAGGTGTTTCGTGTTATTCTAGTTGATTTTAACTTTTTCTCTGGTTGCACTGGGAGCGGCTGACCAAACTTCATGAATGAATAGGTTGGGTAAAGATGCAGTCCTAACATGTGCAACAAAGTAGGAGAAAGCGGCCCACTCCTGAGAAAAGGTCTAATGAAAAATAAGTGAAAACACCTGTGTACTTTAAGCTGTAAGCTGTCTATAGAGAAAAAATAGAACACAACAATGTACTTTTATAAATTACAAAGATATTTATAGTGTACTTTTTATTTTTGGGACCATCTTACTGTTTTTGGTGGTGCCCAGGAATCACGAGTTTGGTCATTTGCAGGTCCAAAGAATTCAATATTAAAACTGAATTAAAGTTGATTTAAAAAATGACATAAAAACCTTTACCACCACTTTTATGTGTAATAAAGACCTGCTTCTCACTGAAATAAAGTCAATGAAATGCTGTTAAAATACCATTCATATGTAAGGCAACGTTATACCAGTTTCTGTTTCCACGCATATACACCTTTTGACCTGCAAATTATCATAGCAGTGTTTTCACAAATGTGAAAAGAAACTTTTAAAAAGTCGATGATGTCAATGTGTAGCTGTCACCCTCTACTAGCTCTTAAACAGTTATTTACTATAAAGGTGCAATGGTTTCCCTGTAAATATGAAACTATAAAAGTACTTACGAGTTTAATATCCAGCTGTTGAATGTTCTTATAAGGTTGTGATCTTCTAAAAATACAGACCTATTCAGATGTGAAGGTGAACCTATATATAACCCTCTGAGACATGACTCATTGATACAATTTTCATATGCAAAGTGTGACTTTGGTGAAAGTTGTTCTTTTGGGCTTGGTTACTGTGCATCATGAATAATTTCTTCCTGGTCAGATGGAGTATTTAATAGTAGTGAAGCTTTTGAATTCAGACAAAAATCATTAACAAATCTTGTGGTTTGTTTGCTTTTCTTTCACGTTACAAACGAACAACACCAGAGACCCTGTGAAAGCCAGATAAACCAAACTAAATGGGAAAACTGGTTTGAACTGCACAAAGCAGGTTAGGTGTGCAAGAGGCCGTGTCTCGCCAAAAATGAATCCTGGTTGTCGTTTGTATTTAACCATGGCGACAATCTTTTCTTATCTTTAAGAAATTTAAACTTATTTGCCTAACCTTAACCCTAATGTAGTTATCATATATGTATTTGTAATCCAAATTGTTGGATGTGTCTGGCACATGTTTTGCAATGTTGAAAATCGTAAATTTCACTGTTGATTTCTCTTTCCATACTCTTCTCATATTGATTCAAAATTCTTTTCTCATATTAAAGGATGTTTTTCTTTATATTTTGCCAACATCAATATTGTAGTCTGCAATTACATATTCATAACTCTTTAAAATAGAGTCAACAATGTATACTTTAACTGCTTTTCTAAAACAACATTGGCAACAATACACAAACAGGGAGAAGAATATTGTATTTGTACTATTTTCAGCTGCACAGTAATGTGCTTTTGTATTAGGACTGTGTATGTAGGATGGACTCAAAATAAACTACAGTGACCATGTTCATTATATTGAGGGAATGTGTCACCCAGTGCATGTGTGGCCCAGAGATTTGTTACCAATACCAATAGCTTTCGTCACAGTCGGACTCTATGTCCCTTCCTCCAGCTGCATTCCCACTTCCCCAAGTCCCTTAGTGGCCATTTTCCACCAGTCCACCAGATGCCCTCCTTGCTTTCCAGATCCTGCCACTCCCTTGTGCCCTGCAATCCCTGCAATCACCTTATTACTCTGATCTGAGATTCCCCGCCCATGTCCCCCCTGGACCTCCTTCATTTATCAGTCACATTATATCGGCCCAGATCCTTTAAACATGTTTCTTTGTGTTTTTGCTTGTGAGCCAGTAATCTTAACACCTGTTTGGACCCTTTCTGACCATTTGTACCTGTAGCTGCCTGCCTGCCTTTCAGTACTTGTTTGTAAGTCTATATATGCCTTCACTTTGGCAGCAATATTTGGCCTCACACTCAGTTGCATTTTCTGCAAGTTTCATGGCCACTGTAGTTTCTATACACTTGGAAGGCTGAGCTGTATTGAAATGGTTGCAATCTGCAGCTTCACTTCTAGATGCCACTAAAGCCTCCGCACTGGTCCTTTAAGCAGGTAATAGGGAGGATAAACTGGACCATAGGGCTGCTCAATTAATCCAATAGTAATAACGATCATGATTTTGGCTTCCCATAAAACCATGTAACTGGGAATAACATGTCATAAGCAAAAATTTGTTTTACATTACATACATTTTCTTAACACATTATGTAAATGATTATAAACAGGAAAACAGGTGTGGATAAATGCTTTTCTTTATTTAAATCACAGCACACTCAACAAGAAAACATAACCTCAATTGTTTAATAAAAATGCTGGACGAACTGAATTAAATAAATCAAACCCAAATAACACAAGCAAAAGTGCGCACTGCTTCCAGGAGAGTTGTATCATTGCCTGGAGCTGGTGTGCTCTGTGAAACCATCTCGTCCTCTTTGCTTTTTAGCTGTGAAGCAGCAATTTTAGTGACAGTTTGCTAACCTACAACATAGCTAATGTTACTTAAATTACTTGGTGAGTCAAAGTGTAAGTTTGAGAGAGACCGAGAGCAGAGGTTGACAAGTGACAGAGTGAATGAAAAGAGGATGTGCCAAGTGTAAACCTATTATGTCATCACGTTGAGTACCGTTTTTGAGCCTCAAGTCTGGTGTTATGGATGTCGCCATGACCGTTTGTCGGAGCCAGCAGAGGCGACGTACTATGAGTTGTGCTGTACGCACCGGCTGCGCAATCTTAACTCGACAGTTTGATCTGAAAAAGCATACCCTGGTTTATCGTCTATTTTACTTTGCTTGGGGCTGCACTACCAGACAGGAACCTTATCAGATCTACTAAATTTCAGGTGCACTAGTGTAACCAAAGGAAATGTTCGCTCGAGGGTATTACATGTCTATTGTGGAATTAAAATGAGTCCTGTAAAATGTTGACAATGTTTGAATTATGAAGAAAAAATTTATGAAATAACATTTCATAAAATGAGCTGAGATTGAATAATTTAGTAAATATTTCATTTTTAAAAATGTTAACATTATTTAGCAAGATAAGTAAATTGAGAACCAATTCTATTTTTTAACATAATTTATTCAAATTATATGATAATGATTATTTCATAATATTTTGGGGTTCCATATTTCATACGCCTAACCATAACCATAAAAGGTTAATAATGCTGGACTCACTACAACCGGATTTAGTAGATTTCAGATGTTTGACCTGCCACACACGTTATTAAAATTCCTCTTTATGTTGTGATGTTCACCCAAAAACATATTTGCTGTTATATATCAGCTGCATATAAATGTAATTTCTTGGATACAGGGTTACAGGATAACACAACATCAAGTCAATGTGCAACACAAAAAGCAAAATGCACAACTATCTCACATTATTCTATTATTACCTATTGTAGTCTTCTAATGGTTAAAGCTTGATTAAGAGCTCAACAAAGTACTTTTATCATTATTTAGAAGAAAGTTGTAACTTACGTACAATATTATTGGTGAAATGTGTAATCCAACCATCTTACTTTACTGAAACATGAAGGTTAACTTTGTGGTTTGCAGACAAAAATGTTTTAAAAGTCTAAAAGGGTCCTGTGAGTTTCTCTTCCTATTTTTTGGGCTGAATCTTCCATCGCAGCTTGATGTCAGCCAGTCCCGAACCTTTTAGCGCTGCACCAAGCTGAGGAGGAATAAAAGAAATGTACAGATGTTTTCTCGCTTTTCTGTGCCATTTCGTACAACAGTAGACTCTGTATAGTGTCTTTCTCATCCTCTTTACTTTTCCTACCTCAAAGAAACAGACAGAATGAGAAGAAGAAGAGTTTTACCTGTCTGAGAATCTGGTTGTTAATAGCTGGATCTGTCATGTCAGCGTCAGTCTGAAACTTCATTTTCACCACGGTTATCATCGATTTTGTATCTGGACAATCTAATAAACATATAATCACCAACAAAAAGAGACACACTGTGAATTAGAATCCTTTTTTTGTTTTAAAACATTTTTTTGTGTTCAACATTCACCTTCATGGCAGATGAAAGTATACTTGTAGTCACAGACACCGTCATCCCATTCATGTGTTCCTCTCTCAGCTGCACAGTTCTGTTTACCAATGTAGTTATTTGGCTCTTTGCTTTTCCAGTTCCTGAATGAGCTGTTGCTGTTATCAGACCAAGTCCATGGCAGTCGGTACAGACCAATCCATACATTAGCATTGGCTGGCTTTGCGTTTAGGACATTTGCATTTTCTACAGAGTTTTCAATCATAGGCAAGTCTGTGTGGTGTTCTCTGCAGTAACTGCGGGCCCCACTCCACGTCTGCAGTGTTGAGATGAACACATAGGTTTTGTCATTTTGGGTCTCTGCAATAGACAGAAGTGAAGCCAGTGTAACAGTTAATGAAATAACTTATTAAAAAAATATTATTTATTTATTATTTGATAATAATTTTCAGGTTATAAAATACGAGCATATCCTGTAAGGAGTAGCTTGACATTTTGGGAAAACACTAGAGGTTAATAATAACAAAAAATATTGCATTGCAATATTTTATTTTCTGATATTGTATTGAAACTGAAAAATACTGTATTCATTTTTGTGGTTAAACCCCCAGCCGCTAGATAGCAGTGTTATAAACGTAAACTGAGGGCTTTGATGTTGGACGTTACAGCAACTATGACAAATACAAATATGCAGTTCCCACTGTTCTGCATAAAAAATTATCTTTTTAACTAGATTTTATGTGTATGGTAGTTTTCCTAAAATAAGTTTTTATTAAATTGCAATATATCGCCTAGCCTATGACAAGATATTGAATCGCAACCCCTGTACCATAATACATATCTTATTGCCAGATCCTTGCCAATAAACAGCCCTGAAAAATGCCTCTTTCGCTTTCTTGTTGAGAGTTACATGATAAGATCGATACCATCATCATATCTTTTTGATCATTATGGAGCTGGAGCCAGCTGGTTGGCCTAGTTTAGCATAAAGACTGGAAAACTTAAGTCTAAACCTTCAAGGGCTTTTTTCTGTTTGCGTCTGCACCGCTGATAAGCCGGTTAGTATGTCCACATCCTTTGTGCGTGACATACAACAACTGTTTCTATGTCTACAATACAACAACGTGGAGGACGGTGCGTTTATCTCCGGCTATGGTCAAGGGCTAAAATCCATTAAACAGATCTTTTCTTACCAGTATAACAAACAAAACTGCTCAGGTGGTCACAGGAAGTATCATTCCAAGCTCCGTCAGAGTTCATCACTGTGCAATACTCTATTGAATTCATATTATTTGGTTCGTCATAATTCCAGGGTGCATAATCAGTTTTGCTCGTTTCATCAGTTGCCGACCATCTCCAGGAGTTGGTGTCATTACCCATGATTACCTTCCAGGATTTTGGGTCATCCCTCAGTCCGATCCATGTCACGTCTGTGTCTAAAGCAGGTCTGTTCAACCTGCTTATGTCATCCATGCTTTTGATGGTAGCCAGGTCGGTGTATTTCATTCTACAGTATTGCTGAGCATCGATCCAGCTCATTTTCAAGTTGACATAGTGGAACTGACGAAGGACGTGAGAGGAGGGGATGCAAAACCCTGGGGATTGATGATAGAGGGCATAGAAACGTTTAGACTGGTATAATTATTAAACTATGTTGGCCAAAAGAGAGCACAACCGACATAAAAAGCAAATAAACACTTCAAATGAAGAGAGGCCAGTGAAACATCATCCTCATAGAAGTTACTCTTTAAGAGAAAACAAGATGGAAACACATTCACTAATGTAACAACACGTGTGATTCCCAGAAACACACAGCCAATACGGCTTCAAGCTGTGCACAACACTGAACGTAGTTACAGCACAACAGAAATTGCCTGGGACTCATAAACATGCTAGTCATTATTAAAAGCTAAAATTGTTTTAACAAATAAATAAAGAAGAATTTGTAAAAATGTTGAATATGTTTCTCAGGAGTAGAGATGTGAGTAAAAATGTCCACTACTTGATGAAGTCAATTTCAGAAATATTAAAATATTCCTGCAAATGCATAATGTCGTTAAGTTCAATTGTTTTTATTAATGTTCATAATTATCCTATACATTTCACTTAAACAGCTGCAAGAAATAACCTTATGTGCTTTATAGTCTGTATTAGTGATTTACTCTGAAACTGCATGTACACACAAATCATGTACCCTTATGGACTTATCTTACCAAAGAAGAAGAGAATCAGAGTGACCTTACGCTCCATTTATGACGTAACTGCAAACAAAGAGAAAATAGGTATAATAATATATACTGTGTATCATAAACTTCAAAGACAAAACACCACATAGTTTTCAGTTATTCTGGCTATATAGACCTCTGCTCTGGTTGTAAATGGGCAAAGCCAGGCTGGGAATTACGTAAGGTTTCCAAACTTCACAAATTAACAGGAATGCAAAAGTGCAAATCAACGTGTGCAATAAAACTAATATTAGAGGGAAAGAGTAGTTTGGCCGTGCTCCATTCTGGCACGCAGCTTGTTTTATAGCAGTAAGTCAGGGTCAGTTTATTTGTATAGCACATTTCAAAACAACAAAAACATTGATCAGTGCCTTACACAGAGATTAAAGAGCAAGCAATTGTAGGTAATGCGATTCTAATCCAATACACTTGTTTCCACAGGTTTTAAGTGTTGGTATAGACCGTACGGTGAATCTTTGGTTTCGGCCTCTCCAAGCCATGTAAAATATATGTTTTGTAGTGTAAACTGCTGTGGGTATGTTTGGTATTTTTACGTGCCGCTCAGAGCCAGATTCAGGTTGTGGCAAGTGCTGTTGCATGAAAACCACATCTAATAATCAACAGTAATCACCAGTTGGGCTACTGAGAGGAGGTTTAATTAGGCAAAATAAGTGAGAAACCCTGTGAAGCTTCAATAAGCCTTATTGTGCAACCAGACAACATTTAGAGAAAAGAGCACAGCCAGGATCACAAAAATGTCCTTGGGGGTGAATATTAATTATCACTCTTTAGACGGAGACACAAAATGTGTCTCATCTGTGTACTGACCGATACTGAACATGATCAGAGATTAAATATCATTAAGCTTTAAATTACAAAAAATGTAAATACTGAAAGAGCCATTGAAGCAGTTAGGAATGAAAACATGGAATTAAATAAATTAATTAAATGAAAATTAAATTATATTTCCCAGAAATATAAAGGCATACTCACAAGTTTAAAATTTAGATGTTGGTTGTTGAGATCTGAACTCTTTGCAGTAAATCTTCCAAACACACAGTTGGCTGCTAATGCCTTTTTATACATAGTGTGTATTATAGATGGCTCTTGCTATTTTCATATGCAAATCATGACCTTGGCAAAGGTGCATACCATGATATAACACACACACGCAAGCATGACACACACACACACACACACACACACACACACACACACACACACACACACACACACACAGTAGATGTTGGGTAAATCAACATCTATGCGAACATCTATTTGAAGCAAAATTCTACTTTTTGTCCCCACCATTCAAAATGCATTGTGCTTGTTGTTCACTTTGATGTTTAAAGTTTTGAGTAGAAGTTTTCACATTAATTTGCTGAAGGGGCAACATTTCTCTGTGCTCAACATAAAAACTGCCATTTGCTTTTTCAGCGTAACCAGGATTACTTGATAATTAAGATATATTGGAAGTTTCTAGTTGCACTTGACATTTATAATGGATAATACATACAAGTAGAAATCATGGTTCACCTAGAATATTTTGTTTTGTAAAACACATTTTATTTGAAAGAACTCATTAACAAACAATCACACATGTTATCAATGAGGTCTGAGACATCTGAGGTTTATGATGAAACTGAACTATGAGCATACAAATAGATCAAATAAGTTAAAATGTAAATATTTACTCACAGTAAATTGAACTCAGGTTTTACTCAAATCAAACCTTCCCACTAATCTTTCTGACTTCATGGGGTCAAGGTTTGACACCAAATAGTTAACTACAGCCTCATTACTAAGAAATAACACAGGCTAATATTTAGCTATATTAACTTATTTCCCATAAGGGTCAATGGGATGAAACCAAACTTTGATGCTCAAGTGCTATAATAAGGTAACTGAACTTTTTAGTGGAAAAACCAAGAGACAAATTATTATTAAAGTATCTGTACCTTTATCTTAAAACTTGTCTGGATTAGATCTTAAACAAAAGCGATTTAACAAAGTGATGACAGTAATAAAGTCAAATCAGTCAGTAAGAATCTTTATTTATCATGTCCAAAAAATGTGTTTTCGCAAACTTAAATATTGTGTTTACTATATAATAAAACCCTACCATAAATTCTACCTTTATGTAGTTTATAATGTTCAGTATTTGTTTTGACTGTTCAATTCAATTATATGTTTATTCCTGAGGTAATATTTAAAGGTGGTGTTGTAATGGAAGTGTTTTTTTTTATAATTTCTATTTACATCACTCTAATTTACAAGAGTCTTAGAAACACCTCAGAATATAATGCAGCATAGTATTGAATTTATAGTTTTAGAGTGTTAAAAACTTAACAGTACAGGCATCATAAAAGAAGTCTTTATAACAGAACAGTAATAAAGTGGCCACTAATAAATACATGCAGTGGAGCTCTTGCTGTTGCGTTGAACATCTGACTAGTTGTGTAGAGCTCTGTCAAAAGAAACTTAGTGTTTGTATGATGAACTTACAGAGCACACAGCTGATTAAGAAGAACATTGCATAGAAATGCAGTACTTTTATCTTCATTGTAAAAGTGTTTTTTATCCACACTTCTTACAAGAACATTTTTGCTATACAATTATGTTTCCTTAGAATCCACTACAGTGTCAAATATATATCAAAAATGTGGAATGCATTGCGGTTATGTGAGTTTGTCTTTCTCCTGTTTCCTGGGCTGAATCTTCCATTGCAGATTGAAGTTAGTCCATCCCTGACTTGTTAGCACTGCAGCTAGCTGAGGGGAAAATAAAAGAAATATTCATTTATCTCTAATTTATTGTGCCATCCTTTTTGGTTGTAGACTGTAGTTTTTTTTACATCTTGAAAAAACAAACAAATAACAGAATCTTACCTGCTGGAGGATCTGAGCGTTAGTAGCTGGATCGGTTATGTCAGCATCAGTCTGAATCTTCATCCTCATCGTGGTCTTCAATTTTAAAACTGAACAGTACAACAAACATGCAGTCACAAAACAAAGAAGCAGACGCATTACATTTTCATTGATTCATTGTGTTATTGAACAGACACCTTGCTGGCAGATGAAAGGTTTCTCTCTCACACAGTTGAAGTCTTCCCATTTATGTTGAACATCCTCGCATACACAGAATTGATTACCACCATAGTTATTTGGTTCTTTAATTCCCCAGATTTGGAAGGAGCTTTGGGTGTTGTCAGACCAAGTCCATGGCACTCGGTACAGACCAATCCAAACTTCGGCTGATGCTGCAGAATACACCTCATTGTTTTCTACGATGTTCTCGATCATAGGAAGGTCTGTGTAGTGTTCTCTGCAGTATGCTTGAGCATCTTTCCATGTTTTCTCATCCGAGATGAACACATAGGTTTTCTCAGTTTGGTTTGTAACTGCAACAGACAGAAATAAAGCTAGTTATTCAATTATTTATTTGTAATGAGGCTACATTCAGTCTTAGTTAGGGCTTGGGAATGTGTTTGATTTATTTGAATTTAATTTATGTTTTTGCAAGTTACATTGTGTAGTTTATCTTTAGTCTGAATTAACATAGCTGATAGTTCGCTAAATGTCTAGATTAACGACAGTCCTGTAAACTGTGGAGTGAGAGGTAAAGGGTCATGGCAGTCGATTGATCAGTGTGCAGATTTTACTTTGTTCAGTCTGTCTCTGCTTGCTGGGTAATTGTATGAAGATATCCATCTGATGTCTTGTCAAGAAACATAAACAGCAGTAGATGAACTGGCAGATGTTTCTGTTCTATATGTGCTGAAACTGATAAAAACTATAGAGGGGGGCAGAATTTGAGTCTGGGGGGATAGAAAGCCTTCTCTGAACATGAGTACAAACCAAGAAACTACCTAATTAAGTGTCATTCTTGCATTCTTAGAAAGAAAACACAAATGTTTGAGCAGGCATTCAAGACCCACTTCATGCAACATAATTGTTTTCTTATTGGAAGATGCATGCTTATTTGGACTTTTGGCAATTTGTATTGGTAACTGCTCAGATCACTTGTGCAAATGAGTCTCCATTTGCACATTCATTGTTCTGATTGAAAATGTGGTGGACATTTTTACAAACTATTTATTAATGAAAATAATTTTAATTGTAGCAAAGCTTCATTCCCGTAGCTGTGACATTTTCAAAGAACAAATGCCGTCAGTCTGTCCCTGACAGATTAAGTCAGTAAGTAAAATCCATGAACTCAAAATCTTTTCTTACCATTGTAACAAACAAAACTCCTGAATGAATTACAGTCCTTGTCATACCATTTTCCATTAGTGCCCATGATAACACATTTGGCATTTGCATTTTCACTACTTGGTTCCTCTACATTCCAGTTGTGGTAACCAGTTTTGCTCGCTTGACCAGTCGCTGACCATCTCCAGGAGTTGGTGTCATTGCCCATGGATTCCTTCCAGGATTTTGGGTCATCCCTCAGTCCTATCCATGCACAGTTATAGGAAAAATCAGGTTTCAGCCTGCTTATGTCATCCATGCTTTCGATGGTGGCCAGGTCAGTGTATTTCTCTCTGCAGTAACGCTGAGCTTCGCTCCAGCTCATTAGCTTGTTAACATAGTGGTACTCTCGCAGGGGGAACTGAGAGCAGGAGCTGAAGCTGTATCCTGAGGGTTGATGATAAAGGACATATTTAGTATTTAGTGAAACATTTACATGAATTAACACAATTAAAACCAGTCCCAATGGCAGCTGTGGCTCAGGTGGTAGAGTGGATCTTCTAGAAATCGGAAGGTTGCTGGTTCCTGGCTCCCCATGTGTAGTCGAAGTGTCCTTGAGCAATATACTGAACCTCAAATTGTTCCCAATGGTTTTGCTGTCAGTGTGCGAGTATGAGTGTATGACTCTGCCATTATGGTGTGAATGGGTGAATGTGACAAGTTTTGTAAGGCGCTTTGAGGTAGAGCAGAAAAGCGCTGTATGAATACAAGGTGCAATATGGAAAAAAACTAAAAGCTTTGCTGTATTAGTACTACTTAACTGACCTAACTGCAGCATTTTATATAGTAGATCACTCTTTTATATAGACACAGTCTGGTTGGCCTCTCTGGTACTGTTTGTAATTGGTTTAAATCTTATCTTAACGACAGAGAATTCTTGCATCGTGAGCATTGATGAATGTTAATCTAGAAAGCTATAAACTGAACTGTGTTGTCCCCCAAGGTTTAATTTTAGATCCTACCCTTTTTAACCTCTACGTCCTGCCACATGTCATCAGGAGGCACAGCATCAGTCTCCATAGCTACGCTGATGACACACAGCTTTACATAGCCGCGCCACCTGATCACACAGGGCCAATAAATGCCCTTTTTATTTATCTTTAAATTTTTCTATTTTAGATATCAAGCCATGGATGGTAGAGAAATTTGTACAGCTCAATCAAAAAACTGAGGTTTTGGTCATTGGTACTGAAGCTCAGAGAGAGAAACTCAATGTGAAACTGCAAACACTGACCTTAAATCCCTGTCAACAAGTAAAAAACCTTTAAAAAAAGTATAGGTAGTTTCAAACCTCAAATTAGAAACATAACAAATAATGCATTTTATCATCCTAAAAACATTAGGCCATTTGTCTCTCAAGCCATTACAGATACATTAATGCACACTTTTATTACATGCAGGGTGTATTACTGTAGTGCTCTACTTCCTGGTCTCCCCAAGAAGAGTATAGCTCAGTTATTGTTACTTCAAAACTAAGCCGCATGTGTGTGGATGAGGACCAGAAAGAGAGCACACATACACCTGTCCTAAAGTCTCTGTATTGCTTCAGAATTGATTTTAAGATCCTTTTATTGGTGTATAAAGCTCTTAGTGGTCTTAATCCTACTTATTTGTCAGATTTGATTTTATACTAGGAACTTTTATACTATGAACTACTATCATTCCCAAAGCCAGAACAAATGGGAGGTAGGGTATTTTAATGTGTGAAGCACTTTGTGTTACATTTTGATTGTATAAAAAGTGCTATAGAAATAAAGTCTGATTGATTGATTGATTGATTGATTGATTGTATCCGGTCCATTTAACATTTAATATAATTGTATATATTATATATATATTTAATATCCAAAAACATTATCTACAGATCACCATCAAAAATTAAAATACAGTAGCATTGATGTAGATCGACCATGGACTGACAACTGTCACTGTTAGGCTGTAAGGCTACACAGTGTTAAATGTCTACCTAAATTAAAATACTAAAATGTATACAAAAATTGTTCTCACTGGGACTGGGAGAATTTGCATTTTTAATGTACTCCTACAAATTCTCTCAAGTCCTCAACAAATAAAGCAAGAAAGAAAAAGATTCCTGTTTGTGATAAGAAAAATGTCTTCAAGTCGAAATTAACAATAAATATTTGCTGTGCTCATTCATATAAGTTTTCATAGTTTTTTTCTGTACTCACTGAAAGCTGATTCAGACTCTTCTAGGCTGTATGACTCAACACGCTTACAATATGGTGGCGTGATGCATGTGAACTGAAAATCCAACACAACACACATTTCATCCATGAAATTAAATGAATGACACACTTGACCTTACCAAAGAAGAGGAGAATCAGAGTCACGTAACAATCCATTTCTGATTTTACTGCAAACAAAAAGGAAATAGGTAAATAAAACAGGCATGACCACACAGGTGTTTCCAGTTACTCTGATTTGGACTTTTGCTCTGGTTGACACTAACACATTATGTAAGGTGACCAAACTTCATGAATGAATAAGTATGATAAAGACGCAGTCCTAACAGGTGCAACAAAATATAAGAAAGAGGAAGATGTCACACTCCAGAGAAAAGGTCTAAATAAAAATAAGTTAAAACACCTGTGTGCTTTAAGCTGTAAGTTGCGTATAGAGGTACCTTGAAACACAACAATGTAAGTACAAATATATGTGTGGTGTACTTTGTATTTCTGGCACCATTTTACAGGTGGTCCCCAGTAATCATGATTTGGGTGATTTTCAGGTCCAAAGAAGTGAATATTAAAACTGGATTAAAGTTGATTGAACATATTTTTCACCACCACTTTGATGTGTAGTTAAAACCTACTTTCCACTGAAGAAAAGCCATTTAAATGCTGTTAAAATAACATTCATGTGTTAAGCAAAGTTATCCTAGCTATTGTTTAGACGTCTTTTGGCCTGCAAATTATTAAAGCAATGTTTCAACAGTATTAAAGTAAAAAAAACATGAGAAACCTTTAAAAAGTTGATTTCAAAACTCAATGCAGTTCAATGGGTACTGTAAATATAAAACTATAAAAGTACTTACAAGTTTAACGTCTGGCAGTTGAATGTTGTCACAAAGCTGAGATCTTTTAAAAACACAGACCTTCACATGTGAAGATAAACCTATATATACCCCTTGGAGACAAGACTCACTGATACTATTTTCATATGCAAAGCATGACTTTGGTAAAAGTGGTTATTTTGAGGTTGGCTACTTTAAGCATAAAAAGTTTGACTTTTATCTCACATTGTTTTGTTTGTTCAGCTTAAGTGGCCACTCTCAGTATGCAAATTAAGTGTCATCACATTTTGCAACCTTTTTTACAGCTGCATTAATTGATTTTCTTATTACTCGGGGGCTGCTTTCCATAAGACATTACAGGGATTCAGAAAAGAAAAAAGCAATATAAATAGATACAGTTCATTTGGTGCACTGGATTTAAAAGATTAGAATAAAATGGATAAAGGGAAAGAAAAATATATGGTGAAATAGATTAAAAAAGATAACACAGGAGGATCCAAATTAGAGTGCAGTACAGTGCGACCCAGACACATTATTTGTAAAATATTTATAGTTGCTTAAAGACTAGAAGTCCATCCAAGGAGCTGCCTTCAGTGTTCTACCAGTGGAAAACCTGCCATGACGTAACATGTAGAATTGGTATCCCAAATCAAATCATGTTTAGTGCTTTGTGTCATCTTGATCAGCTGGTTTCACCAAGCTGTAAAAGTGAGGCACAAATTTTTACTATATAACTTTTTGATAGATAGATAGATAGATAGATAGATAGATAGATAGATAGATAGATAGATAGATAGATAGATTATATACATAGCACAACTCTTTCCTATTGCAGGGGTGGCTTTGGCTCAGGAGGTAGAGCAGGTCCTCCACTAATATTCCCCCTGCAAGTGTCCTTGGGCCCCAAGATGCTCTTTGTGTGTGTGTGTGTGTGTGTGTGTGTGTGTGTGTGTGTGTGTGTGTGTGTGTGTGTGTGTGAATGGAAAACTTTATGTAGACATGACTTGATTTCTTATTCAAACCAGTAGAATCAAATGTAAATTGATTACTAGTGTCTCTGCTGCTGCCCAATTTGCCTTTGTTGTACCACAAGTTAAGTTGATGTAAATGATGCCTGCCTTGTGAGAGTGGAAAAGAAGAGTGAACTCGACCATAACTTGATGTTTTTTGTCCTTTCCCTTGTCATTTTATTTCTGATTTGAAACATCGATGCTACAGAGCAAACTAAACCGCCCAACACCACAAACATGAATTGGCAAATTGTAATTTTAAAACAAACTGTGATTAAGGTGTTGTATTTCTTGCTGCACTTTCATCGACTTGTGCAATTGCAAGCTTCATTAAGTCATTAGGGATAACAAGCCTTATCCACACGTGGCTCAAAGAATCCAACCAAAATATGAGTGAAATTCTTCATAAAACATAAAACTGACGAAGAAACTTAACAGAGCAGACAGAGAGGGAAACAGAAAGAAGCAGTGCAGGTAAAGTCGTTGCATGTGCAGTAAAAGGTGTAGCCAGTGGTTTAGTCTACGTGATACGCAGGTATATGCCGTATACTAGAGTTTCGATTCTCTGCCCGAGCCCGAGCCCAAACTTGAGGTTGGGCCGATATTTCTCACCACTATCCTCGGGCCGGGCCGATCCACACGATCCACGGGCGTGTGCATGGTTTTTGTGTGGACACATGGTTTATACATCTGTACCCAGGTCTTAGAAACACCTCTAAATATAATGTAGCATAATACTGAATAAACAACTCTTTTACAGTGTAAAAAACCTGAATGGTATAGTCATCAAAAAAGTAGTCTTTATGACAGAATAGTTTTAATGGATTGCATTAAATTGTACAGGTGTGCCCAATAAAGTGAGTATAAATCCATACATTGTAGTTAAAGTTAGTATTAGTTGTAGTTTAGAGCGAGTCAAAAGAGTGTCAAAAAAAACAATCTCAACTGGTTTGAGCTTTCAGAGTTTTATTAGTCTATACTTTTCATAAAAATGCTCCTTATATTGTCGTACATGTTTCCCATACAATTCATGCACTACAGTGTCAATTATATGTAAATTATATTGCCTTGTCTCTTGTCTCTGGACAGCCAGTTTTCAGCTAGTTCAACTGTCACTTGTAATCCTTAATATTTTTTAATGAACTCAAACCCTGTTTTTGATGGGAATTGAACAATCCACCCTCTGATTAGATGAACCACAACAGCCACTGTTACTGGTTTTAATTGTGTAAATTAATCTTGAGGCTTACAACTTTATTGGAGTGTTCATGGATTACCTTGATTATAAGTCACTTTATCTCACAGTCAAATCAACCCCCCAAAACATTTATAACATAACAAAGAAGAACAATATAATTCTCAGCAATTAAGACACACAACCCCTACACAGTTTTCAACTGCCTGCTACAGCCAAACATACAAAAGAAAACACTGAATGTAGCATTTTTGTTTTTTTTGTGAATAATGATTAATGACTTGGGCTCTTCAAATATTTTGCTTTGTCTCAACAAAACCCCAAATTATTAATTTTCCAGACACATAGGGCAAAGAAAAACAAATCATTGATGAATTTACTCATAATTTCAGCTTTACATGGCATTGTTTCTTACATAGTTACTCAGCAAACCATATAAAATCTTAAATCAATGTGCAGCATGCTACAAAAAGTCTAATCATCTCATATTATATTGTTATCCTCTGTTCGCTGCAGTGTTATTACATACACAAATTACTTGAGTAACACAAGAACGTCTACCATTTAGTAGGTCTACAAACAACAATATATTAAAAATGTGAAATGCATTGAGGTTCTGTGAGTTTGTCTTTCTCCTGTTTCCTGGGCTGAATCATCCATTGCAGATTGAAGTCCGTCTGTCCCTGACTTGTTAGCACTGCACCTAGCTGAGGAGGAATCAAAGAAATATACATTTTTATCTCAAATTTATTGTGCCATCCTCTTTGGTTGTAGACTAGTTTTCTGCATCTTCAGAAAACAAGAAACAAAAACAGAAAGAACTTTACCTGCTGGAGGATATGGACTTTAAATGCTTATTTTTAAGCCAAAGATTTACAGCTAAATAGTAAATTGAATATCTTTATCTTTTTTTTTTTACTTTTTTTCTGACATTTTCTGTCATTTAGACTAAATACTTTCATCCTGGTGACAAGACGCAGCTCCCCAACTAAGTTTGATGCTATTTTAGTTTTTCTGTGACTATCCGACTAAGGAAAAGTGTGTTGACTAAGACTCTTCATATCAACTAACATTTAAGTTGACTATTAGCAGGCAGCCCTAGTATCATTGTTCATCCTTGCATTTTGTTATCAGTGTCTGAATGAGTGTGAGGTAGACCAGAAAAAACACTGTATGAAAAGAAGGTCATTTAGCATTTAACATAATTATAAGGTTTTCAAAGAATAAATATCCGAAAACATTATGCACAGATCTCTAGCATGCTGGCATGGCTGTAGCCTCTGTGTTGCTAAAGATTAGTACAGATTAGTAGACAACATGCCTCACTCAGTACAATTAGATTATACAGTCAGACCCTTTTATTTGTCATCAAAAGGTATAATTACAAATAAGTGAAAACACCTGTGTGCTTTAAGCTGTAAGTTGTGTATAGAGGCACCTTAGAGCACAACAAAGTAAGTACAAAAACATTTGTGATGTATTTTGTATTTCTGTGACCATTTTATTGTTTTTGGTGGTGCATAGTAATCAGGATTTGGGGGATCTGCCGGTCCAAAGAAGTGAATATATTGAAAAAACGACCTGCTGCCCTCTGAAATAAAGCCATTTAAATACTTTTAAAATAACGTTCATATGTAATGCAAAAGCTGTCCCAGTGTCTGCTTAGAACTCTATACTCCTTTTGACCTACAGCAATGTTTCAACACATATTGTTTCACACAAATTACTTTAAAAAGCCTCTACCAGCTCTTAAATAAACAATTGTTTACTATTAAGGTGCAATGGTTTCCCTGTGAAAATGAAACTTTGAAAGTACTTACAAGTTTAATATCCAGCCGTTGAATGTTGTTATAAGGTTGTGATCTTCCAGAAATACAGACCTTCACATGTGAAGGTAATACTATATATAACCCTTGGATACGTGACTCATTAAAACTATTTCCATATGCAAAGTTGTTCTTTTGGGCTTCGTTACTGTGCACCATGATTATCCTCCCTGTGGCAGACCAATCATTTCTTCCCAATCAGATGGATTTAATAGTAGTGAAGCTTTTGAATTCAGACAAAAATCATTAACAAATCTTGTGTTTGGTTTGCTTTTCTTTCATGCTACAAACAAACCACACACCAGAGACCCTGTGAAACCAGACCACAGTTTGAATGACAACTTACAGCACCTCCAAATAAACCAAAGTAAATGGCAGAATTGGCTTGAACTGCACAAAGCAGGTTAGGTGTGCAAGAGGCCATGTCTCGCCAAAAATTAATCCTTGTTGTCGTTTGTGTTTAACCACGACGACAATCTTTCTGTGATCTTAACTTGTTTTATTTGCCTAACCTTCACCCTAATGTAGTTATCATGTATGTATTTGTAGTCCAAAATGTTGGATGTCTTTGGCTCATGTTTTGCAATGTTAAAAATCTCTCTTTCCATACTCTTGTCAGTGATTCAAAAGCCAAAGAGGTGGGCATCTTTCTATATTTTCCTTTATATTTTGCCAATATCATCAATAATATAGTTTGCAAAGACATATCCATACATCTTTAAAATAGAGCCACCAATGTGTACTTTCATTGCTGAAGTATTTTCTAAAACAGATTTTTTTTAGCAGATACATAAACAGGAAGAAGAGTATTGTATTTGTACTATTTTCTACTATTTTCTGCACATTAATGTGCTTTTGTATTAGGACTGTGTATGTAGGATGGACTCCAAATAAACTATTGTGACCATGTTCATTGTATTGAGGGAACGTGTCCCAGTGCATGTGTGACTCAGTTTTCGTCACAGTCTGACTCTATGTCCCTTCCACCAGCTGCATTATGACTTCCCCAAGTCCCTTAGTGGCCATTCTCCACCAGTCCACCAGATGCCCTCCTTGCTTTCCAGATCCTGCCACTCCCTTGTGCCCTGCAATCCCTGCAATCACCTTATTACTCTGATCTGAGATTCCCTGCCCATGTCCCCCCTGGACCTCCTTCATTTATCAGTCTCATTATATCGGCCCAGATCCTTTGATCATGTTTCTTTGTGTTTTTGCTTGTGAGCCAGTAATCTTAACACCTGTTTGGACCCTGTCTGACCATTTGTACCTGTAGCTGCCTGCCTGCCTTTCAGTACTTGTTTGTAAGTCTATATATGCCTTCACTTTGGCAGTAATATTTGGCCTCACACTCAGTTGCATTTTCTGCAAGTTTTATGGCCACTGTAGTTTCTGTACACTTGGAAGGCTGAGCTGTATTAAAATGGTTGCAGTCAGCAACTTCACTTCTAGATGACACTAAAGCCTCCGCACTGGTCCTTTAAGCAGGTAATAGGGAGGATAAACTGGACCATAGGGCTGCTCAATTAATCCAATAGTAATCACGATCATGATTTTGGCTTCCCATAAAACCAAGTAACTGGGAATAACATGTCACAAGCAAGAATTTGTTTTACATTACATACATTTTCTTAACACATTATGTAAATGATTATAAACAGGAAAACAGGTGTGGATAAATGCTTTTCTTTATTTAAATCACAGCACACTCAACAAGAAAACACAACCTCAATTGTTTAATAAAAATGCTGGACGAACTGAATTAAATAAATCAAACCCAAATAACACAAGCAAAAGTGCGCACTGCTTCCAGGAGAGTTGTATCATTGCCTGGAGCTGGTGTGCTCTGTGAAACCATCTCGTCCTCTTTACTTTTTAGCTGTGAAGCAGCAATTTTAGTGACAGTTTGCTAACCTACAACATAACTAATGTTACTTAAATTACTTGGTGAGTTCTTGTGTGCAATATACCATGGTATTTGTCATTGTATTGGATTTCTAAAGAATTGCTTACCCCACTTTTAACTTGAGTTAGTTGTTAGTCGTTGTTAAAGACATAACCCCCTCCCCAGTTGCGATTAGGGGGGAGAAGGTAGAGAAGGTGGACACCTACAAGTTCCTGGGGGTGACACTTAACAATAAACTGGACTGGGAGGACAACACTGAGGCCCTCTACAAAAAAGGACAGAGCAGGCTGTTCTTTCTGAGGAGGCTCAGGTCCTTCAACGTGTGCACTCTGCTACTACAGATGTTCTACCAGTCTGTAGTGGCCAGTGTCATCTTCTTTCTGGTGATTTGTTGGGGAGGAGGCATCGGCACTAGGAGCGCCAACAAGCTGAGCAAGCTGGTGAGGAAGGCCAGCTTGGTGGTGGGGATGGAGCTGGACAGTGTGGAGGCTGTGACTGTGACTCTCTACACTGAGCTCAGGCAGCTCAGGAGCCCTTTCAGCCACAGATTGACCCAGCCCCGAGCCTCAAAGAGGTTTGGAGGCTTGTTTGTTCCATCAGCCATCAGACTCCACAATGCCACAGCACCCAGTACCTCCAGCCCCAGCAGACTAAGACTGGTTTAAACTCCAACCTACAATGCACAAACTTTTTGCAACTATTTATATTTAATTTCCACGTGTACAGTTTAGTTTGAGTCAAACTGCTCATATATTTGCACACCATTCATACTTGAATATTACATAGTGTATATACTTTTATTTACAGTCTGATATGTCTTATATTTTCTATAATATTTTGTAATATTTTATTTTGTGATATTTTAGGTACTCTCTTTGGCACTACTTTGCCCTATGCTGCTTTGTCAATCTTGAATTTCTCCTAAGGGGATCAATAAAGGAACATCTTATCTTAATGAGTATGATTTGTGGTTACTATGTTTTTAGAGACCCAACCAAGTGTAAACCTATCACGACATCATGTTGAGTACTGTTTTGAAGCCTCTAGTCTGGTGTTATGGATGTTTTTCGCCATGATGGTTTATCGTAGCCAGCAGAGGCGACGTACTATGAGCTGTGCTGTACTCACCGGCTGCGCAGTTTTAACTCACTGGCCTGGTCACAGCTAAACAGTACACTACAACATATGAAATATGTTTCTGTAACGAGTTTAGGTGAGAAATAGGCAATGCAGCAACTTTCGGATACGTATTTGATCAGCGCTGCCTAGTTCGACAATTTGATTGAGTTGGACGGGCTAACTGAGATCATTTTCAGTAGCGACTCCCAAAAACATACCCTGTTTTATAATATAAATCTAAATATATAATATTTAATGATGATTTAACAATGATGGTCTGGCTGTATTTTCTTAAATTATTATTATTAACAGAATTTATTCAAATTATATGATGATTATTTAATGATGTTTTTATTTATTCAAGATTTAAATTTTAACCTAACCATAACTGAAAAAAAGCTTAATAATGCTAGTTTCACTACAACCCCATTGTAGAAGATTTCAGATGTTTGGGCAGAAAACAAATTAAAATTAAAATGAAAATTTTACTGATGTGTTTTTTTTAACATATTTGCTGTTATATATCAGCTGCATATAAATATAATTTCTTGGATACAGGGTTACAGGATAACACAACATCAAGTCAATGTGCAACACAAAAAGCAAAATGCACAACTATCTCACATTATTCTATTATTACCTATTGTAGTCTTCTATTGGCTAAAGCTTAATAAAAATACACAGACTACTTGATTAACAGCTCAACAAAGTACTTGAATAATCATTTAGACTAAAAAGTTAAAATGTACGTATAATATCATTGGTGAAATGTGTAATCCAACCATCTTACTTTACTGAAACATGAAGGTTAACTTTGTGGTTTGCAGACAAAAATGTTTTAAAAGTCTAAAAGGGTCCTGTGAGTTTCTCTTCGTATTTTTTGGGCTGAATTTTCCATCGCAGCTTGATGTCAGCCAGTCCCGAACCTTTTAGCGCTGCACCAAGCTGAGGAGGAATAAAAGAAATGTACAGATGTTTTCTCGCTTTAGAAAGACTCTGTATAGCGTCTTTCTCATCCTCTTTAATTTTCCTACTTCAAAGAAACAGACAGAATGAGAAGAAGAAGAGTTTTACCTGTCTGAGAATCTGGTTGTTAATAGCTGGATCTGTCATGTCAGCGTCAGTCTGAAACTTCATTTTCACCACAGTTATCATCGATGTTAGATCTGGACAGTCCAATAAATATATAATCACCAACAAAAAGAGACACACTGTGAATTAGAATAAATGTAAAAGAATATTTCACCTTCATGGCAGATGAAAGTATACTTGTAGTCACAGACGCTGTCATTCCATTCATGTGTTTCTCCCTCAGCTGCACAGTTCTCTATACCACCGTAGTTATTTGGCTCTCCGCTTTTCCAGTTCCTGAATGAGCTGTTGCTGTTATCAGACCAAGTCCATGGCAGTCGGTACAGACCAATCCATACATTAGCATTGGCTGGTTTTGTGTTTAGGACATTTGCATTTTCTACAGAGTTTTCAATCATAGGCAAGTCTGTGTGGTGTTCTCTGCAGTAACTGCGGGCCCCACTCCACGTTTGCAGTGTTGAGATGAACACATAGGTTTTGTCATTTTGGGTCTCTGAAATAGACAGAAGTGAAGCCAGTGTAACAGTTAATGAAATAACAATTATTTAATAATAATTTTCAGGTTATAAAATACGAGCATATCCTGTAAGGAGTAGCTTGACATTTTGGAAAAACACTAGGGGTTGAAGAAAATAACGAAAATTATTGCATTGCAATATTTTATTTTGTGATATTGTATCGAAACTGATAGATAGCAGTGTTATAAACGTAAACTGAGGGCTTTGATGTTGGACGTTACAGCAACTATGACAAATACAAATATGCAGTTCCCACTGTTCTGCATTAAAAATAATCTTTTTAACTAGATAAACCATTTGCAACTGGCCTCAGTCAGTCTGCCTTGAGTGAAGTTGCCTCTCTGGTCATTGATTTTATATGTAAATTGTGCCATCTCTAGTTTGAAAGGAATTGAAAGATAAAATGTAGCTGGCAGACATTTTTCGACAAAGGTAGTGAAGGTTTGTTTTAGATATTTTGGCTGCTTGCAGATGCTCTGTCTGTCCATCCATTGCAGAATAACTGGGTTTGAAAATTAATCAACTAAGTTTTGATATGGAATTATTTGTTTGTGTCATTTATAAAGCACACTTGCCAAATACACTCTGGTTTTAGTGAGTCGTCGTTGAAGATGTTACCTTCAATTCCTGATGGCATTTTTTTCACTTGTTTAGGTCTCAACAATAAGTAATCGGAAAAATAATTTTCAGATGAACTGATGATAGATCATTCAGACTGAAGCAAGTCAACTCAGTGTGAGGACAGCCTTAGATGTCACCAGAAGAGGTGCTGGGAGAGCTAAGATGCACCTGCAACACTCATACTGTGGCTGTGTCATTTTGAATGAAACGTCCCTGACAGGTTAAGGCCGGAGATATACTTTTTAACTAAGAGTTTGAGTACACACGATGGCTGCGTCATGCATCCTGCGTCTGTTTGGACGGTTGTTTGTGCATGTCCTCAGAAATTCAAGTGATTTGTCTGCACACAAATGCTAATTAAACAGCAATTATATCTGAGCCTAAAATCCATTAAAAACAATCTTTTCTTACCTTTATAACAAATGAAACTGTACAGAGTTTCACAGTTAACATCATTCCAACCTCCGTCAGAGTACATCACTGCGCAATGCTCCTGTGAATTCTTATTATTTGGTTCGCCATAGTTCCAGGGTGCATAATTAGTTTTGCTCGTTTCCTCAGTTGCCGACCATCTCCAGGACTTTGGGTCATCTCTCAGTCCGATCCATGTCAATCCTGTGTCCAAAGCAGGTCTGTTCAACCTGCTTATGTCGTCCATGCTTTTGATGGTAGCCAGGTCGGTGTATTTCATTCTGCAGTATTGTTGAGCGTCGATCCAGCTCATTTTTAAGTTTACATAGTGGAACTGACGAAGGACGTGAGAGGAGGGGATGCAAAACCCTGGAGATTGATGATAGAGGGCAGAGAAATGTTTAGACTGGTATAATTATTAAACTATGTTGGCCAAAAGAGATCACAACCGACATAAAGAGCAAGTAAACACCAGCAGAAAATCTTATTTTTTTGCAGACCTCCATTGGTTTAACTTCTCACCCATCAGTGATGCAGGGTGAGGTCAGGTGTGCAACAGAGTTCAAACTTTCAGCCAGAGAGGCCAGGGAAAAATCATCCTGATAGAAGTTACTCTTTAAGAGAAAGCAAGCAAATGATGGAAACACATTCACTAATGTAACAACACGTGTGGTTCCCAGAAACACACAGCCAATACAGCTTCAAGCTGTGCACAACACTGAACTTAGTTACAGCACAACAGAAATCGCCAGGGACTCATAAACATGCTCGTCATTATTAAAAAGCTAAAATTGTTTAAACAAATATAAAAACTGTTGAATATGTTTCTCAGGAGTAGAGACATGAGAGTGAAAATGTCCACTACTAGATGAATATTTGTCATGTCACTGCAGCAAATATGGTTAAATTTTAAGCCACAAAAGTAGAACTGAAATGATAAACTGGTCAGGGTAGAGGACACTCTTAACTCTAATGTTCAGGATTCATAGAGAGGAGGAAGGCTGTTTCAGTTGATTTTGCTGCTGGTCAGACAAAACAAGACATTTGAAGGTGACACCTTGATCTCGGTTGTAACCTATATATTTTGTATGTTCAGAAGATACATAAGAAATGTGTAAGTTACATATCAACAATTTGTTCTTTATTTACTGTTTTTTAATTTAGCTTTACTGCTTTAATTAGCCACACTTAAATATTGGCCAATAATATTGTAGCTATATTGATATTGGCGTATTTGTTGGCCTATAAGTCACAAGACAAAAACAAAGACCAAAAACAAATTCAACAAAAAATTGTGTAAATAATACTCTTGATCTTACCAAAAAAGAAGAGCCCCAGAGTGACCTTACGCTCCATTTATGACACAACTGCAAACAAGGAGACAATAGGTATAATAATAAAATATATATATATATATATATATATATATATATATATATATATATATAGTATATCATAAACTTTAAAGACGTTTTCAGTTATTCTGGCTATAAAGACCTCTGTTCTGGTTGTAAATGGGCAAAGCCAGGCTGGGATTTAACAGGAATGTAAAGGTGCAAATCAACGTGTGCAATAAGACTAATATTAGAGGGAGGGATGAGGTTGGCCGTGCTCCATTCTGGCATGCCGCTTGTTTCAAAGCAGTAAGTCAAGGTAAGTTTATTTGTATAGCACATTAAAAACAACAAAAAATGTTGACCAGTGCAAAGAGATCAAGGAGTAATGTCATTCTAATCTAATACACTTGTTTTCACAGGTTTTAAGTGTTGGTATAGACCAGTGGTTCTCAACCGGTGGGACACTCTCCCGGGGGGGCGCGAGTAGGCTGCAGGATGGGAGGAAAAAAAAAATCATGAAAATTCAACCCATGTCGAAATGCAGCTTGCAAAAGGTTGAGAACCCCTGGTATAGACAGTACGGTAAATCTTCTATTTCTTTTCAGCGTTTAGTATATGTTACATGCCGCTCAGAGACAGATTCATGTTGTGGCATGTGCCATTGCAGGTGCTGGACTGTGTAAAAACCACATCTAATAATAAACAGTAATCAACAGTTGGGCTCCTGAGAGGAGGTCTAATTAGGCAAATGTTTATTGCCAATGTTTGTCCATCAGTCCACGGAGAAATCTCTTGTAGACAAGGGAGCGATACAACTCCCTCCACTGACAAAAGCTTCAATAAGCCTTATAGTGCAACCAGACAACATTTAGAGAAAAGAGCACAGCCAGGATCACAAAAATGTCTGTGAGGGTAAATATTAATTAGCACTCTTTGGACAGAGACACAAAATTAATTTAATTTAATTGAAGTACTGGAAAGCTAATGTAAGCAGTTAGAATTGAAAACAAGGAGGTGTAGTATCTGAAGGCTTATTTGAAGGCTTTTAAAGTTAAATTACATTTTGGTATAAGTTCAAATTATATTTTGTTACCATATGTAGTGTTAGAAGTTCATGGGGTTCAATGACATCATTCTTACTATGAAATGTTTAGGTTAGGGGCCTCGCAATGGCCTCTGACCTCTACTTTGAAAACCCCCATCTCCCCTTATTACCTTACATATTTGGATTGGATCCAGATGTTTCTTTTTATCTTTGGAGTAAACAACAGGCCTATATAAACCTATGTTCGATGCAAAGTAGACAGAGTTATTCCTTTGGCTGGATGCTCTCCAAGCTCCGCGGTGCTTGTATTGATGCTGAACTTTTCGTAATAAATCTTTAAATACAATCAAGACGGTGTCAGCGGGCTTCTCTTCAACACATCTTCACATCTATCTAATATACAACAAGAATTTGGCGTCACGAACTCGGGACGTGCTGTGACCTGCTGCCTCGCTGACGACTTCAACGTACTGACTCACGCATCAGGCTTTTAAATGAGAGAAAAAAACCTATGCTGAGAGTATTGTAAACTTCAGTTGTATTAATTCCCCAGAAACATAAAGACATACTCACAGGATTTAAATTCAGATGTTGGTTGTTAAGGGCTGAACTCTTGGCAGTAAATCTTCAGATCACACAGTCGGCTGCTTATGAATCTTGTGTGAAGTGCGCATTATAGATGGATCTTGCTATTTTCATATGCAAATCATGACCTTGTCAAAGGTGCATGCCGGACGTAACACACACACACACACACACACACACACACACACACAAACACCCTACATTCAAAATGCATTTTGCTTATTGTTACTTCACTCTGATATTTAAGTTTCACTGTGCAGAGTTCTGACACTAGAAGACTGTTAAAATATAATAATAATATATCAGAAACTATTGGATGGATTGCCTTGAAATTTTCCACAGTCATTCTTCATGGTCCCCTAATGACTTTGCTGATCCGCTGACTTTTCATTAAGCGCCATGAGCAGATCAAATGTGTCAAATACTGGTTGGTTTTTCGACCAAATACCAGTAAAACTAATATCATTCCTATCAGCCACAACTGTACTTACAAATGTTGGTATGCTAACATGCTAAAGTACAAGATGGCAATCAACACTAACTGTTGTTTGGAATTGACATAGATGGCATTTGAAGTATTGGTGACTTTATTACTCAAATAGAAATTGATAAATAATGGGATTAATCCCCCTTTGTGAGGTTTGTTTGTTGCTACTCCAGATGTTTAGTTTTTGTAAGTTTACTCAAAGAACAGACCCTTTAATTTGTCATCTCTCAGTACATTATTCACAGTCACAAAGAGGAAGAAGTTTCAGATTAAAGCAATTTCATTTCAACAAAAAACTAACTACATAAGTAAAAAGGTTAATTTTTAAACCTCAATGTGTAGCTGTCACCCTCTTCCAGCTCTTAAAGGTGCAGTGGTTTTCTTCTTACAATTCCCTGTAAATATAAAATGATACTTACAAATTTATAATCCAGCTGTTGGATGGTAAATGGTACTTGTATAGTCTAGTCTTCCGACTACTCAAAGTGCTTTTACACTGGATGGCATATTCGCCCTTTCACACACATTCACTCAGTGATGGTAAAGCCCATTGAACAGAAACTATCTCATTCATACACATTCACACACCAATGCACGGCATCGGGAGCAATTTAGGGTTAAGTATCTTGCTCAAGGATACTTTGACATGTGGCACCAGGAGCCGGGGATCAAACCAACAACCTTCCGATTAGGGGACGACCCGCTCTGCCCCTGCACCACAGCCGCCCCTGTATCTTGTTATAAGGTTGAGATCTTCCAAAAATACAGATCTTGACATGGGATAGTAAACTTTGCCTATCACCCTCAGAGAAACATGACACATTCATACAATTTTCATATGCAAAGTGTGACTTTGGTAAAAGTCACTGTGGGGATTGGTTACATCTCGAATATCCTACCCCTTGCAGATCATTCAGGTCAATTGGCCACTCATTATAAAAATGGAGCGTCGCACATTTTGTCCAACCTTTGTTACAGTTGCATTGACTGAATAGTTTGGGCCACTCTGGCAAGTCAAGTTTATTTGTTTAGCAACTTTCAACAACGAGGCAATTCAAAGTTTACATAAGATACAAAAGGCATCAAGAAAAGAATCACTGGACAATATAAAAAGACAGAGCTAAAGTAGTTAAAGTTAAACAGAGAATAAAAATGAACAGAAAAGTCTTAAAACCTTGACTTAAAACAAGAAACAATTTGAGCAGACCTCAAGATTTTCTGGGGGTTTATATGTGATTCTTACATTTCATTCCAACACCAGAAGACAGGAAATAAGCAAGCAAATCTTGTTGTCTTATTCAAACCAGTAAAATGTGATGTAAATTGATCAGTAGCGTCTCTGCTGCTTTGACCACAAGTTAAGCTCCGTGCAAAGGTTAGGTCATGTAATATGACTGTCTGTAAATGATGTAAATGATATAAGTGATGTGTGCGAGAGAAAAGTGAACTAGGCGATAAGTTGTACTTTTGGTCCTTTCCATTCTCATTCTACACCTGATTTGCAACATCAGTGCTACAGAGTAAACTACATCACAAACATAAAAAACAACAATTATGAATTTGTCATTGTAAAACATTAGCGGGTCTTAGTCTGAAAAAAAACATTTAATTCAGTTTCCTCAAAAAAGGCTTTAGAAGAAGTTGAAAAATGCAATTTTGTTTTTCATTCAGTTCCACGTTGATTTTGATCATTTCAGTAGGCGACGACATGAACAACAAGCCTTTCACTTCAGTGAATTGCCGCGATTTGTTAATAGTAGGCTATAATATGTAATAATAATAATAATCGAAGATGACGTCATTAGGGGATAAGGTTTTGTACCTTGACATAGTTAAGAAAGGTCACATTTACACTAATTACAATTACAAAGCTAACTTGAGAGGGCTAAATAACCTATGCTTTCATGGTTCAACTTGATCATGGGTCACTTTATCTCACAGTCAATCCAAACCCCCAAAACATTTATAACATAACAATGAGCAACAGTGTAATTCTCAGCAATTAAAGACACACCACCATCAAATTACACAGCTTTCCAATCCCTGCTACATACAAACATACAATGGAAACAGACGATGATGATTAATGACTAATCGATTAATCTGTACATTCTTTTTTTGATTAATCATTTGGTCTTTTATATTTCCGAAGAATTGTTTAAAAATGCACCTTAAAATTTCTTCAAATCCAAGGTCAGGGTCTTCAAATCTTGCTTTCTCTCAACAAAACCTCAAATTATTAATTTTGCAGACACATAGGACAAAGAAAAGCCACTAATTGATTCATTGACCTATAATTTCCGATTTACATGTTTGTGCATCAGGCATCATTGCTTACATAGTTATTCAGCAAACCATATAAAATCTTAAATCAATGTGCAGCATGCTACATAAAGTCAAATGATCTCATGTTATATTGTTATCCTCTACTCGCTGCAGTGTTATTACATACACAAATTACTTGACTAACAACACAAGAACATCTATCATTTAGTAGGTCTACAAACAACAATATATTAAACATGTGGAATGCATTGAGGTTCTGTGAGTTTGTCTTCCTCCTGTTTAGTGGGCTGAATCTTCCATTGCAGATTAAAGTCAGTCCATCCTTGACTTGTTAGCACTTCACCTAGCTGAGGAGGAATCAAAGAAATACTAATTTTATCTCTAATTTGTTGTGACATCCTCTTTGGTTGTAGACTCTAGTTTCCTTTTGATTTTGTTCATCCTCTGTCATTTTACATCTTCAGAAAACAGAGAAAGAATTTTACCTGCTGGAGGATCTGGGCGTTAGTAGCTGGATCGGTTATGTCAGCATCAGTCTGAATCTTCATCTTCACCGTGGTCTTCAATTTTAAAACTGAACAGTACAATAAACATGCATTCACAAAAAAAAGAAGCAGATGCATTACATTTTCATTGATAAAATACCAAATAATTTATTTGTGTTGTTGAATGGTCACCTTGATGGCAGATGAAAGGGAACTTCTCCAAACAGATGAGGTCATTCCATTCATGCAGATTACTCTCAACTGTACAGAACTGGTTACCACCATAGTTTTCTGGTGATTTCTCTTTCCAGAATGTGAAGGAGCTTTGGGTGTTGTCGGACCAAGTCCATGGCACTCGGTACAGACCAATCCAAACTTCGGCTGATGCTGCAGAATACACCTCATTGTTTTCTACGATGTTCTCGATCATAGGAAGGTCTGTGTAGTGTTCTCTGCAGTATGCTTGAGCATCATTCCATGTTTTCTCATCCGAGATGAACACATAGGTTTTCTCTGTTTGGTCTGTAACTGCAATAGACAGAAATAAAGCCAGTGTTATGAATTATTGCTATTGTTTTGCAACATTGTGATAATGAAGAATTTAAAACTTGCACATAAAGTTTATTTTCAGCCTAAAAACAATATAGCTGATAGTTGGCTTAATTCGTTTTTCTAGAGTCATGTCAGCCCTGTAAACTGTGGTGTGATTAGTTACATGCACTGTGTGGTGACGCCCGTTGTCCCCGCCTGTCTCAGGCTATCGTTCGCATAAGGACTCTTCATGTTGATACGAACTCTCATTTTGTCTTTTGAAACAACGCATTATCTCTGATGTGAGAGGTACGGCCATGCTCTGCTAATGCTGACGTTCCATAGCTTAGTGGGAAAATATGTTTTGCATGTGCTTAACGAAGACAACCACCTGCAAGGTGGTGCAGGTATTTTATTATTAGTTCTCAACTATGTTGCACAAAAGTATAATTCAGTCATCTTTTAGTCTTAGTTACATTTTGTAGGTGTAGGTATCACTGGGACTCCAAAGAGTGATTTGTTACTTTGTGGAATTTAAGTTTTTTAAACATTACTTAAAGAATCACATCTCTCCTCCAATGACTTCCTGTGACTGTAACCTGATATCCCTGATGGGCCCTTTACCAGGTAAAAAAAATAACTCCAGGTCGCTAACATTGATCATATTCTTTTTCACTACACTTGGACCTGATGGTTCTCTGAACCTCAGTGTGGTCTGTCTGGAGACACAATGAAGAAAGAATAAAGTTGTGGAAGGGACCTATTGTTGCATTCTTAGAAAGAAAACCCACTTGAGTCTGTCCCTGACACATTAAGTCAGTAAGTAAAATCCATAAAATCTTTTCTTACCATCGTAACAAACAAAACTCCTGAGTGAATTACAGCCTGTGTCATACCATTTTCCATTAGTGTTCATGACGACACAGTTGGCATTTGCCATGTAACTGTTTGGTTGCCCTACATTCCAGTTGTGGTAACCAGTTTTGCTTGTTTGACCAGTCGCTGACCATCTCCAGGAGTTGGTGTCATTGCCCATGGATTCCTTCCAGGATTTTGGGTCATCCCTCAGTCCTATCCATGCCCACGAATAGGAAAAATCAGGTTTTAGCCTGCTTATGTCATCCATGCTTTCAATGGTGGCCAGGTCAGTGTATTTCTCTCTGCAGTAATGCTGAGCTTCGCTCCAGCTCATTAGCTTGTTAACATAGTGGTACTCTCGCAGGGGGAACTGAGAGCAGGAGTTGAAGCTGCATCCTGAGGGTTGATGATAGAGGACATATTCAGTATTTAGTGAATCGTTTACAATTAGGTGAAGAATTAGACAACTTTCCAATGAACAATGAACTGTGACGAAAATATTTTTTTTTATCTTCCTTGGTTCAACAGATATGTATCCATAAAGGCTATTTTAGAATAAACTAAAATAAATATTATTTGTTCTAATTAAGTTTTCGTGTTTTCTGTTCTAACAGAAGCTGATTCAACAGTTATTATTAGTATTTTAAAGACATGATATTTTGATTTCTGCAGAAAATAACAGCCAGTGATGATAATAATTCCTCATTTTGTTCTTTTATCAGTCAAATAAATCTCTGTCCCCTGTTTATATATTATGTCTGTTTGTACTCTTGGGACTCTTTTAGGCTGTATGACGCAACAAGCTTACAATACGGTGGCATGGTGCATGCAAACTGAAAATCAGATCACACATTTCATCCATGAAATTAAATTAATGACAAACTTGACCTTACCAAAGAAGAGGAGAATCATAGTCACGTAAAAATCCATTTCTGATTTTACTGCAAAGAAGAAGAAAAAAGGTAAATAATACACGCATGACCACACAGGTGTTTCCAGTTGCTCTGGTTGATTTGGACTTTGGCTCTGGTTGAAACTGGGAGAGGCTGGAAATAATGTAAGGTGACCAAACTTTATAAATGAAAGTATGATAAAAATGCAGTCCTATTTAAAAAAATAGGAGAAAGAGGAAGATGTCACACACAAAAAAGTGAAAACACCTGTGTGCTTTGTGTAGAGAGCCACCTTTAAACACAACAAAGTAAGTACAAAGATATTGGTAGTGCACCTTGTATTTCTGGGAACATATATTAAATATTAAAATATTAATAAATATTAAAACTGGAACACTTTCACCAACACTCCAACGTATAATCAAAACCTGCTTCCCACTGAAATAAAATAATTGAAATGCTGTTCTAATAACATTCACATGTAAAGCAAACTTATCCCAGCTTATGTTTAGATGTGTGTACCTCTTTTGCCCTTCAAATCAACAAAGCAATGCTTACGATTTTCTGATCAAAAAGAAGCTTCAGATTAAAGCAATTTCATTTCAACAATAACTTATGTGAAAAAACAGGAACAACTTTATTAATTCAAAGTTAATTCAAAAACTCACAGCAGTTCAATGTTTAGCTGCCCCCCTCTACCAGCTCTTAAATATACAAATGGATGATTTTTTCCCCTGCAGTCCTTGTTTATCGTAAAGGTGCAATGATTTTCTTACAAATTCCTTGTAAATATAAAAGTATACTTACAAGTTTAGAATCCAGCTGTTGAATGTTGAGACCTTGCAGAAATATAGTACACATATATAGAGAGTATACAGCCCTTAGAAAGATGAGCCACACACTATTTTCATATGCAAAGTGTGACACTGGTAAAAGTCATTCTTTGGGGGTTGTTCATATCATGATTGTGAGACCAATGCAGACCAATAATTTAGAACAGCTGATTAAAAAAGTCATTTTTTCCTCATTTTGTTCAAGTTTAGAATAAACAACAAAATAGATCAATAGGAGAATAATAATTACAAGGCTGTTGCAGTGCAATGCAACATATGAATAATTATAATACAATATAATATAATTAATATAAGGCAGCTGTGAACAGATTAATCTTAAACCTTGATTGGGGGTTGTTGAAAACCTGCCATGCAAAATCGTAAAACTGGTATCAAAAATTGCAATGTGTTTCCTTTCCTTGTGATCCTTGAATTTAAGATGCCAGCAGCATGTGAAATCTGTCTCTGCACAACTTGAGGTTCCTGACTTTCCAAAGACACAGAAATTCATTAACATTATGTGGACACCCAGACTTCACAACCATATGTGATTGTTTACACATTTCATTACAACACCAGAAGACAGGAAATAAGTAAGCAAATCTTGTTGAGCTGATTTCTTATTCAAACGAGTAATATGAAAAGTATATATGTCCTTGTGTATGACAGTGAAAGTCAAGAGCGAGAGAGAGAGAGAGAGAGAGAGAGAGAGAGAGAGAGAGAGAGAGAGAGATTATTAACATTCAAAAAAGAATAGCTCAATTTTGGTTACATCTTAAAGTTAGACCCCTAGACACACTGAGATTTCAGGCACTACAAACCCAAGATCTGAACCTTCAAAAGTGTCCCTTGTGTCAGCTGGTCCTGAGACTAAATAACACCCAACAATGATCAACCTCAGACCAGTACTGCTTTCTAACCACTAATCAGAGTAAACCAAATTATTAGATTAAAAAAGATGCTTATCTGGAACATTGGACAAACCAAAACTCAAAACAAATTATATTTGCTGTTCATATTAAGTTGAAATGTATACAATTAGAGACAGAGAGAGAACCGGGTCATAACCTTTCACTTTTAGTCCTTTCCATTCTCATTTACATCTGATTTGCAACATCAGTGCTCCATCACCATCACTTTTCGTAGCCGATAATGTCAGATTTAAAATACAATTGCAGGCTGTTGGGAAGTGTTACATACTTAAAAACTAAAAGTTGGATTGTTGCGACAGTGGATTGGGCTGCAGATGGCTGTTCAATGTTTTTGGACTTCAAGGTGTACAAAAAACACTGCTTTCCTTTAGCAAAAACATAAGAAAAACACTTTTCATCAATTAATCAATTTGTTTTGAGTTTTGGTTTGTTTAAGATCTTGGGTTTGTAGTGCCTGAAATCTCAGTGTGTCTAGGGGGCTAACTTTAAGATGTAACAACAACTGAGGTATTCTTGGAATGTTAATAATGTTAATAATACCTCTCTTTCTCTTTCTCTTCGTCTCTTCGTTTGAATAAGAAATCAGCTCAACAAGATTTGCTTGCTTTTTTCCTGTCTACTGGTGTGAAGTGTCAGAAACCTCAAGTGCTGCAGAGAAAGATTTTACATGCTGCTGACGTCATAAATTCAAGGATTAGTTCCCTTCTCGTTATTGGAAAGAGCTGTCCTTTTTGATCGAGATGACTGAAAACACAATTCAACATTTCAAACCCCCAGACAATTTGAGGTCTGCTCAAACTAATATGACAAGTCTATTATGTTCATGTTCATATGACATAGAGAGAGCGAGAGAGAGAGAACTGGGCTTTAACTTTTCCTTTCCATTCTCATTGTACGTCCCATTTGCAACATCAGCGCCACATCACCTACATCGCAAACAACACTTAGCAAATTGTCATTTTAAAACATTAAAATATATGTGCAAGCTTTCCATAGGTCTGGGAAAGTTGAAAAAGTTAAAAAGTTTTAAATTGAATTCACAAAAGTCTTGATTTTTTTATCATGTCTTTCGTACACGTGTTACACACTTACCAATTAAAAGTGAGATTGTTGCCGCGGTGCATTGTGCTGCAGGAGGCTGTGAGTGTTTTTTGGAGTTTAAGGCGTCACTTAGGGATGTCACAATACCAAATATTTTGTTCAGTCAGGACCACTTTTGTAAAGAGAACTTTTATTTCCAAAGCAGAATATTACATTTGGCAGTATGGCTCTGTTCTGGGACCTCCCTGCCCTTCCATGTGCATACATGGAAACGTTTAAGACAAGGAGAGCAGCAGCAGAGACCCCCCAGGGTACAGAACAGAGCAAGCATCAACGACAATCAGAAAATGATATTGATTAATTAGATACAACATAAAAAGGAGGAGCTGGGGTGGAGGTGGGTTGCAAAATGGCTTGCAGAGGAAGCAACAAAGTTGGGCAGGCTAAAGCAGATTAAATAAGGCGCCATGAATGACATTTGCCAATTGGATGCTTGAGGGAATCAGCTGAGCCATCAGCTGATGTGTGTTTACAATTAGCTGTGATCAGCTGATGTAGCTGGAATTGAGAGCTGAGCTTGACTTTGTGGCCTGCCTGAACTAACGCTGTGCTTAATTAGTCGGTACCAATACCAATGTAATTCCACGATTCTCCATACCAACTCTATACCACAATAAAAATGACCCAATCTATTAAATTTTTTCAATTTTATTTGTATAGCGCCAATTCATAACAGAAGTTATCTCAGGACACTTTTCAAACAGAGCAGGTCTAGACCGAACTCTTTAAAACATTAATTACAGAGACCCAACAGTACCACCATGAGCAAGCACTTGGCGACAAGGGCAAGGAAAAACTGCCTGTTAAAAGGCAGAAACCTAGGACAGATCCTCCGGCTCTAGGTGGGTGGTCGTCTGTCTCGACCAGTTGGGGTGAGAGAGAGAGAGAGAGAGAGAGAGAGAGAGAGAGAGAGAGAGAGAAGACAGACAGACAGGTGCACAGCAACAACAGTATTGGCAATGGCAATCTAGCAGGACCATGGTGTCTAAAATGTCTTCAAATCCAAGGTCACAGTATTGTAGTATATCATTACAGTACAGTATATACAGTATATAACTTCAGCTTTACATGTTTGTGCATCAGGCATTATTGATTACATAGTTACTCAGCAAACAATATAAAATCTTAAATCAATGTGCAGCATGCTACATAAAGTCAAATGATCTCATGTTATATTGGTATCCTCTATTCGCTGCAGTGTTATTACATACACAAATTACTTGACTAACAACACAAGAACATCTATCATTTAGTAGGTCTACAAACAACAATATATTAACCATGTGGAATGCATTGAGGTTCTGTGAGTTTGTCTTCCTCCTGTTTTGTGGGCTGAATCTTCCATTGCAGATTGAAGTCAGTCCATCCCTGACTTGTTAGCACTTCACCTAGCTGAGGAGGAATCAAAGAAATACTAATTTTATCTCTAATTTGTTGTGACATCCTCTTTAGTTGTAGACTGTAGTTTCCTTTTGATTTTGTTCATCCTCTGTCATTTTACATCTTCAGAAAACAGAGAAAGAATTTTACCTGCTGGAGGATCTGGGCGTTAGTAGCTGGATCGGTTATGTCAGCATCAGTCTGAATCTTCGTCCTCACCGTGGTCTTCAATTTTAAAACTGAACAGTACAACAAACATGCAGTCACAAAAAAAAGAAGCAGATGCATTACATTTTCATTGATAAAATACCAAATAATTTATTTGTGTTGTTGAATGGTCACCTTGATGGCAGATGAAAGGGAACTTGTCCGAACAGGTGATGTCATTCCAATCATGCAGATTACTCTCGCCTATACAGAACTGGTTACCACCATAGTTGTCTGGCGATATCTCGTTCCAGACTTGGAAGGAGCTTTGGGTGTTGTCGGACCAAGTCCATGGCACTCGATGCAGACCAATCCAAACTTCGGCTGATGCTGCAGAACAGACCTCATTGTTTTCTACAATGTTCTCGATCATAGGAAGGTCTGTGTAGTGTTCTCTGCAGTATGCTTGAGCATCATTCCATGTTTTCTCATCCGAGATGAACACATAGGTTTTCTCTGTTTGGTCTGTAACTGCAATAGACAGAAATAAAGCGTTATAATAAATTATTATTTTTCTTGTGTCACAGTGTTCTTATCTGTGTAATGAGACTACATCCAGGTATAGTTAGGACTGGGCGATGTGGAATTATTTGCTTTTGTCTTTCTGGGATGTGATCAATGTCAACATCATGAGACTGAGCTCTCGTTTTGTCTTTTGAAACAACGCATTATCTCTGATGTGAGAGGTACAGCCATGCTCTGTTAATGCTGACGTTCCATAGCTTAGTGGGAAAATATTTTTTGCATGTGCTTAACGAAGACAACCACCTGCAAGGTGGTGCAGGTATTTTATTATTAGTTCTCAACTATGTTGCACAAAAGTATAAGTCAGTCATCTTTTAGTCTTAGTTACATTTTGTAGGTGTAGTTATCACTGGGACTCCAAAGAGTGATTTGTTACTTTGTGGGATTTAAGTTTTTTAAACATTACTTAAAGAATCACATCTCTCCTCCAATGACTTCCTGTGACTGTAACCTGATATCCCTGATGGGCCCTTTACCAGGTAAAAAATAACTCCAGGTCGCTAACATTGATCATATTCTTTTTCACTACACTTGGACCTGATGGTTCTCTGAACCTCAGTGTGGTCTGTCTGGAGACACAATGAAGAAAGAATAAAGTTGTGGAAGGGACCTATTGTTGCATTCTTAGAAAGAAAACCCACTTGAGTCTGTCCCTGACACATTAAGTCAGTAAGTAAAATCCATAAAATCTTTTCTTACCATCGTAACAAACAAAACTCCTGAGGGAATGACAGCCTGTGTCATACCATTTTCCATTAGTGTCCATGATAACACAGTTGGCATTTGCCATGTAACTGTTTGGTTCCCCTACATTCCAGTTGTGGTAACCAGTTTTGCTTGTTTGACCAGTCGCTGACCATCTCCAGGAGTTGGTGTCATTGCCCATGGATTCCTTCCAGGATTTTGGGTCATCCCTCAGTCCTATCCATGCCCACGAATAGGAAAAAATCAGGTTTTAGCCTGCTTATGTCATCCATGCTTTCAATGGTGGCCAGGTCAGTGTATTTCTCTCTGCAGTAATGCTGAGCTTCGGTCCAGCTCATTAGCTTGTTAACATAGTGGTACTCTCGCAGGGGGAACTGAGAGCAGGAGTTGAAGCTGTATCCTGAGGGTTGATGATAGAGGACATATTTAGTATTTAGTGAATCGTTTACAATTAGGTGAAGAATTAGACAACTTTCCAATGAACAATGAACTGTGACGAAAATATCTTTTTTTTTATCTTCCTTGGTTCAACAGATATGTATCCATAAAGGCTATTTTAGAATGAACTAAAATAAATATTATTTGTTCTGATTAAGTTTTCGTGTTTTCTGTTCTAACAGAAGCTGATTCAACAGTTATTATTAGTATTTTAAAGACATGATATTTTGATTTCTGCAGAAAATAACAGCCAGTGATGATAATAATTCCTCATTTTGATCTTTTATCAGTCAAATAAATCTCTGTCCCCTGTTTATATATTATGTCTGTTTGTACTCTTGGGACTCTTTTAGGTTGTATGACTCAACAAGCTTACAATACGGTGGCATGGTGCATGCAAACTGAAAATCAGATTACACATTTCATCCATGAAATTAAATTAATGACAAACTTGACCTTACCAAAGAAGAGGAGAATCATAGTCACGTGAAAATCCATTTCTGATTTTACTGCAAAGAAGAAGAAAAAAGGTAAATAATACATGCATGACCACACAGGTGTTTCCAGTTGCTCTGGCTGATTTGGACTGATTGGCTCTGGTTGAAACTGGGAGAGGCTAGAAATAATGTAAGGTGACCAAACTTCATGAATGAATAAGTATGATAAAGATGCAGTCCTATTTAACAAAATAGGAGAAAGAGGAAGCTGCTGTTCTAATAACATTCACATGTAAAGCAAACTTATCCCATCTTATGTTTAGATGTGTGTACATCTTTTGCCCTTCGAATCAACAAAGCAATGCTTATGATTTTCTGATCAAAAAGAAGCTTCAGATTAAAGCAAGTTCATTTCAACAATAACTTATGTGAAAAAACAGGAACAACTTTATTAATTCAAAGTTAATTCAAAAACTCACAGCAGTTCAATGTTTAGCTGCCCCCCTCTACCAGCTCTTAAATATACAAATGGATGATTTTTTCCCCTGCAGTCCTTGTTTATCGTAAAGGTGCAATGATTTTCTTACAAATTCCTTGTAAATATAAAAGTATACTTACAAGTTAAGAATCCAGCTGTTAAATGTTGGTACAAGGTTGAGACCTTCCAGCAATATAGTTCTTCACATGTAATGATTTGATTTATATCTTTGGTTACAGCCCAGAGAAAGGCGAGACACTATTTTCATATGCAAAGTGTGACATTGGTAAAAGTCATTGTTTGGTGGTTGTCTACATCATAACTGTCCTACCCCTTGTAGACCAATACTTTAGAACAGCTGATTAAAAAAGTCCCTTTTTTCTAATTTTGTTCAGGTTAGGAATAAAAAACAAAATAGATTAATAGGAAAATAATAATTACAGAGCAGTTACAGTGCAATGCAAGATATGAATAAATATAATACAATACAATAAAATTAATATAAGGCAGTGGTGTACAGATTCATTTAAATCTTGATTTAAAAAAACAGTTTATTAAGCAGACCTTAAATTGTCTCAAAAATTGCATTGTGTTTAGTCATCTCGTTTAAAAAGCTCAGCTCTTTCCAATAACAAGAAGGGAACTAATCCTTAAATTTACGATGTCAGCAGCATGTAAAATCTGTCTCTGCACCACTTGAGGTTTCCGACTTTTCAAAGAAACTGAAATTCACAAGCATTATGTGGACAACCAGATTTCACAACCATATGTGATTGTTTACAAATTTTATTACAACACCAGAAGACAGGAAATAAGTAAGCAAATCTTGTAGAGCTGATTTCTTATTCAAACGAGTAATATGAAAAGATATATGTCCTTGTGTATGACAGTGAGAGAGACAGAGAGAGAGAAAGAGAGAGCGATACAGAGGTATTATTAACATTATTAACATTCAAAAAAGAATACCTCAGTTGTGGTTACATCTTAAAGTTAGACCCCTAGACACACTGAGATTTCAGGCACTTCAAACCCAAGATCTGAACCCTTAAAAGTGTCCCTTGTGTCAGCTGGTCCTGAGACTAAATAACACCCAATAATGTTCAACCTCAGACCAGCACTGCTTTCTAAACACTAATCAGAGTAAACCAAATTATTAGATTAACAAAGATGCTTGTCTGGAACATTGGACAAACCAAAACTCAAAACAAATTTAATTATTATCTGGCCCTAAACCATGAATATCAATTGGCAGAGTATCTCCTTACTGTCAGAGATACAAAGCAGAGACAGATCCTGACCAAATACACGCTCATTGGCCATGGTTGAGCCATAGAGAACGGTCCTGGCTGCCAACAAAGGAAAGATTTGGTCACTGCACGACAAATATATAAAAATATAATAATATTAGATTGAAATTCTTTAATAAATTGAATTCAATAATTCCAAACTGCAAAGTGTTAAATGACAATGAAAAACAAAAGATTATATTAGAAGAGGAACATAATATATGGTGTTTGTGACTGACTTTTTATTTTAACAATTTTGTTTGGCTGCATTGTAAACAGATACACCAGTTTCTCTTACTTTGTATTTCTGGTTCTGATTTCAGTTTAGTATTAAACTTTTTGTGGGCTTCATTGATAACTGGAAGCCTTTTTGGGGAAAACCTGGTCTGATTAGGAGAGACGGCATCCACCCCACTTTGGATGGAGCGGCTCTCTTATCTAGAAATATGGCAAAGTTTATTTCTAAAACCTGACAGTCCAGAGTTGGGACCAGGAAGCAGAGCTGCTGTCTTACACACTTCTCTGCACTTTCTTTAGAACAGTCACCCACCCAAAACCCCATAGAGACTGTGTCTGTCCCCCGACCACCTAAATTATTTAAAGGAATAAAAACAAGAGGAGTTCAACATAAAAATCTAATAAAAATTATTAATAAAAACTCCTCAGTGGCACAAAATAAGAGAATGAAATGTGGGCTGTTAAATATCAGGTCTTTGTCCTCTAAAGCTGTTTTAGTGAATGAATTAATATCAGATTATGATATTGATTTACTTTGTCTTACTGAGACCTGGTTGTCCCACGAGGAGTATGTTAGCCTAAATGAATCCACCCCACCCAGTCATATTAATACTCACATTCCTCGAGGCACTGGCCAAGGAGGTGGAGTAGCAGCCATATATGATTTGAGCGTTTTAATGGACCCTAAACCTAAACTAAATTATAATTCATTTGAAAGCCTTGTTCTTAGTCTTTCTCACCCAAACTGGAAAACACTGCAGCCAGTTCTATTTGTTATAGTGTACCGCGCTCCTGGACCGTACTCGGATTTTATATCTGAATTCTCAGAGTTTCTATCAAGTTTAGTCCTTAAATCAGATAAAGTAATTATTGTAGGTGATTTTAATATTCATGTGGATGTTGACAATGACAGCCTTAGTAATGCATTTATATCATTAATAGACTCAATTGGCTTCTGTCAGAGTGTAAATAAACCAACTCATTGTTTTAATCACACTCTTGACCTTGTTCTATCATATGGCATTGATATTGAACATTTAACAGTCTTCCCACATAATCCTTTCCTATCTGACCATTATTTAATAACTTTTGAATTCATGTTGTTAGATTATAAGCCATTAGGCAAAACTTCCTACAGCAGTTGTCTATCTGACAGTGCTGTAGCTAAATTTAAGGAAGAGATTCCTTCAGTGTTTAATTCAATGCCATGTCTGAATTTAACAGAGTCCTATAACAACATTAGTCCCTCTGAAATTGATAATCTTGTCGATAGTGCTACAGGCTCACTACGATCAACATTAGACTCTATCGCTCCTATAAAAAGGAAATTATTAAAACATAGGAGAATAGCACCTTGGTATAACCACCAAACCCGCCAGTTAAAACTAATAGCTAGGAAATCTGAAAGGAAATGGCGCTCTTCCAAATTATCAGAATATCGCTCAAATTGGCAAGATAATCTTAAAATTTATAGAAAGGCCCTCCGTAATGCCAGAGGAGCCTATTACTCAGCACTAATAGAAGAAAATAAGAATAACCCTAGGTTCCTCTTCAGCACTGTAGCCAGGCTGACAGAGAGCCACAGCTCTATTGAGCCACATATCCCCATAAACTTAAGTAACAATGACTTCATGAGCTTCTTTTATTATAAAATTATTACTATTAGAGAGAAAATTAATCACCAACTGCCATCAACAGTTATCAGTGGCTCTCCAAGTTCAGGGACTTCTGCCAATGTAAACTTAGATATATATTTAGACTGTTTTTCTGCTATTGATCTTCATCAGTTAACTTCAATCATTTCTTCATCGAAGCCATCAACCTGTCTGTTAGACCCGATCCCAACTAGGCTGCTTAAAGAAGTTGTTCCCTTTATTGGCACTTCTTTACTGGATATGATTAATCTTTCTTTATTATCAGGATATGTACCACAGTCCTTTAAAGTAGCTGTAATTAAACCCCTTCTTAAAAAGCCCACTCTTGACCCAGGGGTTTTAGCAAACTATAGACCAATCTCTAACCTCCCCTTCCTCTCTAAGATTCTGGAGAAAGTAGTCGCCAAAGAGTTGTGTGACTTTCTACATAACAATAGTTTATTTGAGGATTTTCAGTCAGGATTTAGAGTTCATCATAGCACAGAGACAGCTCTGGTTAAAGTTAATAATGACCTTCTGATTGCTTCTGAAAATGGACTTGTCTCTGTACTTGTATTATTAGATCTTAGTGCTGCATTTGACACCATTGACCATAATATTCTTTTACAGAGACTTGAGCATCAAACTGGCATTAAAGGAACCGCACTAAGCTGGTTTAAGTCATATTTATCAGATCGCTCGCAGTTTGTACATGTTAACGATGAATCTTCAATAAATACTACAGTTAGTCATGGAGTTCCACAAGGTTCTGTACTTGGACCAATACTATTTACTTTATATATGCTCCCTTTAGGCAACATTATTAGGAATCACTCCATTAACTTTCACTGTTATGCAGATGATACGCAGTTATATCTATCAATCAAGCCCGATGAAATTAATCAATTATCTAAATTACAAACATGTCTTAAGGACATAAAATCCTGGATGACCTGCAATTTTCTGATGTTAAACTCAAAAAAACAAAATTCTTGTTCTTGGCCCCAAAAACCTTAGAGACTCACTGTCTAAAGATATAGTTACTCTAGATGGCATTAACTTGGCCTCTAGCACCACTGTCAGGAATCTTGGAGTTATCTTTGATCAGGATTTGTCATTTAACTCCCACATAAAGCAGACCTCTAGGACTGCCTTCTTTCATTTACGTAATATTACAAAAATTAGACACATCCTATCACAGACAGATGCAGAAAAACTAATCCATGCATTTGTTACTTCAAGGCTGGATTACTGCAACTCTTTATTATCAGGTTGCCCCAATAAGTCTATTAAAACGCTCCAATTAATTCAGAACGCTGCAGCATGAGTACTGACAGGAACTAGAAAAAGAGTTCACATCTCTCCTGTACTAGCTTCTCTGCATTGGCTCCCTGTAAAATGTAGAATAGAATTTAAAATCCTCCTCCTCACCTATAAAGCTCATCATGGTCAGGCCCCTTCATATCTTAAAGAGCTCATAGTACCCTATTACCCCACTAGAACACTACGTTCTCTGAATGCTGGGCTACTTGTGGTTCCTATAGTCTCTAAAAGTAGAACAGGAGCCAGAGCCTTCAGTTACCAAGCTCCTCTCCTGTGGAACCAGCTTCCAGTTGTGGTTCGGGAGGCAGACACCCTCACCACATTCAAGAGTAGGCTTAAGACATTCCTCTTTGATAAAGCTTATAGTTAGGGCTGGATCAGGTGAGTCCTGAACCATCCCTTAGTTATGCTGCTATAGGCCTAGACTATCGGGGGATTTCCCATGGTGCACTGAGCTACTCCCTTCCTCTCTCTTTCTGCACTCATTCATGTCCCTTTAATGCATGTTACTTACTTCACTTCTTCCCCGGAGTTCTTGTGCTTTCTCGTCTCGCAGGTTCTTGTCGATCCTTGTGGAGCCTCCTGCCATGGTCCTGCTGGATTGCCATTGCCAATACTGTTGTTGCTGTGCACCTGTCTGTCTGTCTGTCTCTCTCTCTCTCTCTCTCTCTCTCACCCCAACTGGTCGAGACAGACGACCACCCACCTAGAGCCGGAGGATCTGTCCTAGGTTTCTGCCTTTTAACAGGCAGTTTTTCCTTGCCCTTGTCGCCAAGTGCTTGCTCATGGTGGTACTGTTGGGTCTCTGTAAATAATGTTTTAAAGAGTTCGGTCTAGACTTGCTCTATTTGAAAATTGTCCTGAGATAACTTCTGTTATGAATTGGCGCTATACAAATAAAATTGAATTGAATTGAATTGAATTGAACTTGCTGTTACCATGGTAATCACAAATCATGGTGTCGTTGAATCAATCAGGACTAAAATCTTCAGGTTTACAACTTTAATTGGTGCCATACAGACTCACTTTGTAACAAAACAGTCTTCATGGGTCAACTTGATTATGGGTCACTTTATCTCACAGTCAATCCAAACCCTCCAAAACATTTATAACATGACAAAGCAAAAATGTAATTCTCAGCAATTAAGACACACAACCTTAAAATCAACACAGCTTTCCAATGCCTGCTACATACAAACATACAATGGAAGAAGACGGTGCCCATTATTTTTTGGATTAATAATTAAGTCTTTAAAATTTCCAACAATAGCCAAAAGAATCCCTTAAGATTTCTTTAAATCCGAGGTCAGGGTCTTCAAATGTTGCTTAACAAAGCCCCAAATTATTTATTTTGTGGACACATAGGCCAAAAAACTCTAATAATTGATTCATTGACCTATAATTTCAGATTTACATGTTTGTGCATCAGGCATTATTGATTACATAGTTACTCAGCAAACAATATAAAATCTTAAATCAATGTGCAGCATGCTACATAAAGTCAAATGATCTCATGTTATATTGGTATCCTCTATTCGCTGCAGTGTTATTACATACACAAATTACTTGACTAACAACACAAAAACATCTATCATTTAGTAGGTCTACAAACAACAATATATTAACCATGTGGAATGCATTGAGGTCCTGTGAGTTTGTCTTCCTCCTGTTTTGTGGGCTGAATCTTCCATTGCAGATTGAAGTCAGTCCATCCCTGACTTGTTAGCACTTCACCTAGCTGAGGAGGAATCAAAGAAATATTCATTTTATCTCTAATTTGTTGTGACATCCTCTTTAGTTGTAGACTGTAGTTTCCTTTTGATTTTGTTCATCCTCTGTCATTTTACATCTTCAGAAAACAGAGAAAGAATTTTACCTGCTGGAGGATCTGGGCGTTGGTAGCTGGATCGGTTATGTCAGCATCAGTCTGAATCTTCATCCTCACCGCGGTCTTCAATTTTAAAACTGAACAGTACAACAAACATGCAGTCACAAAAAAAAGAAGCAGATGCATTACATTTTCATTGATAAAATACCAAATAATTTATTTGTGTTGTTGAATGGTCACCTTGATGGCAGATGAAAGGGAACTTGTCCAAACAGGTGATGTCATTCCATTCATGCAGATTACTCTCGCCTATACAGAACTGGTTACCACCATAGTTGTCTGGCGATATCTCGTTCCAGATTTGGAAGGAGCTTTGGGTGTTGTCAGACCAAGTCCATGGCACTCGATACAGACCAATCCAAACTTTGGCTGATGCAGTAGAACAGACCTCATTGTTTTCTACGATGTTCTCGATCATAGGAAGGTCTGTGTAGTGTTCTCTGCAGTATGCTTGAGCATCATTCCATGTTTTCTCATCCGAGATGAACACATAGGTTTTCTCTGTTTGGTTTGTAACTGCAATAGACAGAAATGAAGCCAGTGTTATGAATTATTGTTATTGTTTTGTCACAGTTGTCTTCTTGGTGTAATGAGGCTACATCCAGGTATAGTTAGGACTGGGCGATGTGGAATTATTTGTTTTTGTCTTTCCAGGATGTAAAAAAATGTCAACATTGTGATAATGAAGAATTTAAAACTTGCAGATAAAGTTTATTTTCAGCCTAAAAACAATATAGCTGGTAGTTGGCTTAATTTGTTTTCTAGAGTCATGTCAGCCCTGTAAACTGTGGTGTGATTAGTTAAATGCACTGTGTGGTGACTCCCGTTGTCCCCGCCTGTCTCAGGCTATCGTTCGCATAAGGACTCTTCATGTTAATACAAGCTCTCATTTTGTCTTTTGACACAACGCTAAACTCTGATGTGAGAGGTACGGCCATGCTCTGCTAATGCTGACGTTCCATAGCTTAGTGGGAAAATATGTTTTGCATGTGCTTAACGAAGACAACCACCTGCAAGGTGGTGCAGGTATTTTATTATTAGTTCTCAACTATGTTGCACAAAAGTATAAGTCAGTCATCTTTTAGTCTTAGTTACATTTTGTTGGTGTAGGTATCACTGGGACTCCAAAGAGTGATTCGTTACTTTGTGGAATTTAAGTTTTTTAAACATTACTTAAATCATCACATCTCTCCTCCAATCAGTTCCTGTGACTGTAACCTGATATCCCTGATGGGCCCTTTACCAGGTAAAAAAAATAACTCCAGGTCGCTAACATTGATCATATTCTTTTTCACTACACTTGGACCTGATGGTTCTCTGAACCTCAGTGTGGTCTGTCTGGAGACACAATGAAGAAAGAATAAAGTTGTGGAAGGGACCTATTGTTGCATTCTTAGAAAGAAAACCCACTTGAGTCTGTCCCTGACACATTAAGTCAGTAAGTAAAATCCATAATATCTTTTCTTACCATCGTAACAAACAAAACTCCTGAGTGAATGACAGCCTGTGTCATACCATTTTCCATTAGTGTCCATGATAACACAGTTGGCATTTGCCATGTAACTGTTTGGTTGCCCTACATTCCAGTTGTGGTAACCAGTTTTGCTTGTTTGACCAGTCGCTGACCATCTCCAGGAGTTGGTGTCATTGCCCATGGATTCCTTCCAGGATTTTGGGTCATCCCTCAGTCCTATCCATGCCCACGAATAGGAAAAATCAGGTTTTAGCCTGCTTATGTCATCCATGCTTTCAATGGTGGCCAGGTCAGTGTATTTCTCTCTGCAGTAATGCTGAGCTTCGGTCCAGCTCATTAGCTTGTTAACATAGTGGTACTCTCGCAGGGGGAACTGAGAGCAGGAGTTGAAGCTGCATCCTGAGGGTTGATGATAGAGGACATATTTAGTATTTAGTGAATCGTTTACAATTAGGTGAAGAATTAGACAACTTTCCAATGAACAATGAACTGTGACGAAAATATCTTTTTTTTTATCTTCCTTGGTTCAACAGATATGTATCCATAAAGGCTATTTTAGAATAAACTAAAATAAATATTATTTGTTCTGATTAAGTTTTCGTGTTTTCTGTTCTAACAGAAGCTGATTCAACAGTTATTATTAGTATTTTAAAGACATGATATTTTGATTTCTGCAGAAAATAACAGCCAGTGATGATAATAATTCCTCATTTTGTTCTTTTATCAGTCAAATAAATCTCTGTCCCCTGTTTATATATTATGTCTGTTTGTACTCTTGGGACTCTTTTAGGCTGTATGACGCAACAAGCTTACAATACGGTGGCATGGTGCATGCAAACTGAAAATCAGATCACACATTTCATCCATGAAATTAAATTAATGACAAACTTGACCTTACCAAAGAAGAGGAGAATCATAGTCACGTAAAAATCCATTTCTGATTTTACTGCAAAGAAGAAGAAAAAAGGTAAATAATACACGCATGACCACACAGGTGTTTCCAGTTGCTCTGGTTGATTTGGACTTTGGCTCTGGTTGAAACTGGGAGAGGCTGGAAATAATGTAAGGTGACCAAACTTTATAAATGAAAGTATGATAAAAATGCAGTCCTATTTAACAAAATAGGAGAAAGAGGAAGATGTCACACACAAAAAAAGTGAAAACACCTGTGTGCTTTGTGTAGAGAGCCACCTTTAAACACAACAAAGTAAGTACAAAGATATTGGTAGTGCACCTTGTATTTCTGGGAACATATATTAAATATTAAAATATTAATAAATATTAAAACTGGAACACTTTCACCAACACTCCAACGTATAATCAAAACCTGCTTCCCACTGAAATAAAATAATTGAAATGCTGTTCTAATAACATTCACATGTAAAGCAAACTTATCCCAGCTTATGTTTAGATGTGTGTACCTCTTTTGCCCTTCAAATCAACAAAGCAATGCTTACGATTTTCTGATCAAAAAGAAGCTTCAGATTAAAGCAAGTTCATTTCAACAATAACTTATGTGAAAAAACAGGAACAACTTTATTAATTCAAAGTTAATTCAAAAACTCACAGCAGTTCAATGTTTAGCTGCCCCCCTCTACCAGCTCTTAAATATACAAACGGATGATTTTTCCCCTGCAGTCCTTGTTTATCGTAAAGGTGCAATGATTTTCTTACAAATTCCTTGTAAATATAAAAGTATACTTACAAGTTTAGAATCCAGCTGTTGAATGTTGAGACCTTGCAGAAATATAGTACACATATATAGAGAGTATACAGCCCTTAGAAAGATGAGCCACACACTATTTTCATATGCAAAGTGTGACACTGGTAAAAGTCATTCTTTGGGGGTTGTTCATATCATGATTGTGAGACCAATGCAGACCAATAATTTAGAACAGCTGATTAAAAAAGTCATTTTTTCCTCATTTTGTTCAAGTTTAGAATAAACAACAAAATAGATCAATAGGAGAATAATAATTACAAGGCTGTTGCAGTGCAATGCAACATATGAATAATTATAATACAATATAATATAATTAATATAAGGCAGTGGTGAACAGATTAATCTTAAACCTTGATTGGGGGTTGTTGAAAACCTGCCATGCAAAATCGTAAAACTGGTATCAAAAATTGCATTGTGTTTCCTTTCCTTGTGATCCTTGAATTTAAGATGCCAGCAGCATGTGAAATCTGTCTCTGCACAACTTGAGGTTCCTGACTTTCCAAAGACACAGAAATGCATTAACATTATGTGGACACCCAGACTTCACAACCATATGTGATTGTTTACACATTTCATTACAACACCAGAAGACAGGAAATAAGTAAGCAAATCTTGTTGAGCTGATTTCTTATGCAAACGAGTGATATGAAAAGTATATATGTCCTTGTGTATGACAGTGAAAGTCAAGAGCGAGAGAGAGAGAGAGATTATTAACATTCAAAAAAGAATAGCTCAATTTTGGTTACATCTTAAAGTTAGCCCCCTAGACACACTGAGATTTCAGGCACTACAAACCTAAGATCTGAACCTTCAAAAGTGTCCCTTGTGTCAGCTGGTCCTGAGACTAAATAACACCCAACAATGATCAACCTCAGACCAGTACTGCTTTCTAACCACTAATCAGAGTAAACCAAATTATTAGATTAAAAAAGATGCTTATCTGGAACATTGGACAAACCAAAACTCAAAACTAATTATATTTGCTGTGCATATTAAGTTGAAATGTATACAATTAGAGACAGAGAGAGAACCGGGTCATAACCTTTCACTTTTAGTCCTTTCCATTCTCATTTTACATCTGATTTGCAACATCAGTACTCCATCACCATCACTTTTCGTAGCCGATAATGTCAGATTTAAAATACAATTGCAGGCTGTTGGGAAGTGTTACATACTTAAAAACTAAAAGTTGGATTGTTGCGACAGTGGATTGGGCTGCAGATGGCTGTTCAATGTTTTTGGACTTCAAGGTGTACAAAAAACACTGCTTTCCTTTAGCAAAAACATAAGAAAAACACTTTTCATCAATTAATCAATTTGTTTTGAGTTTTGGTTTGTTTAAGATCTTGGGTTTGTAGTGCCTGAAATCTCAGTGTGTCTAGGGGGCTAACTTTAAGATGTAACAACAACTGAGGTATTCTTGGAATGTTAATAATGTTAATAATACCTCTCTTTCTCTTTCTCTTCGTCTCTTCGTTTGAATAAGAAATCAGCTCAACAAGATTTGCTTGCTTTTTTCCTGTCTACTGGTGTGAAGTGTGGGAGTCCACATAATGTTCATGAATGTCAGTTTCTTTGGAAAGTCAGAAACCTCAAGTGCTGCAGAGAAAGATTTTACATGCTGCTGACGTCATAAATTCAAGGATTAGTTCCCTTCTTGTTATTGGAAAGAGCTGTCCTTTTTGATCGAGATGACTGAAAACACAATTCAACATTTCAAACCCCCAGACAATTTGAGGCCTGCTCAAACTAATATGACAAGTCTATTATGTTCATGTTCATATGACATAGAGAGAGTGAGAGAGAGAGAACTGGGCTTTAACTTTTCCTTTCCATTCTCATTGTACGTCCCATTTGCAACATCAGCGCCACATCACCTACATCGCAAACAACACTTAGCAAATTGTCATTTTAAAACATTAAAATATATGTGCAAGCTTTCCATAGGTCTGGGAAAGTTGAAAAAGTTATAAAGTTTTAAATTGAATTCACAAAAGTCTTGAATTATTTATCATGTTTTTCGTACACGTGTTACACACTTACATATTAAAAGTGGGATTGTGCTGCAGGAGGCTGTGAGTGTTTTTTGGAGTTTAAGGCGTCACTTAGGGATGTCACAATACCAAAAATGTTGTTCAGTCAGGACCACTTTTGTAAAAAGAACTTTTATTTCCAAAGCAGAATATTACATTTGGCAGTATGGCTCTGTTCTGGGACCTCCCTGCCCTTCCATATGCATACATGGAAACGTTTAAGACAAGGAGAGCAGCAGCAGAGACCCCCCAGGGTACAGAACAGAGCAAGCATCAACGACAATCAGAAAATGATATTGATTAATTAGATACAACATAAAAAGGAGGAGCTGGGGTGGAGGTGGGTTGCAAAACGGCTTGCAGAGGAAGCAACAAAGTTGGGCAGGCTAAAGCAGATTAAATAAGGCGCCCTGAATGACATTTGCCAATTGGATGCTTGAGGGAATCAGCTGAGCCATCAGCTGATGTGTGTTTACAATTAGCTGTGATCAGCTGATGTAGCTGGAATTGAGAGCTGAGCTTGACTTTGTGGCCTGCCTGAACTAACGCTGTGCTTAATTAGTCGGTACCAATACCAATGTAATTCCACGATTCTCCATACCAACTCTATACCTCAATAAAAATGACCCAATCTAGTTATGATATCATCTCATAATCCTATAGCCAAAAAGCAGATTCCCCTGAAAACAAAAAAAGGTATGCAACATTTCCAGATACATTATTTAAACAGTATGATTTGTTAAAGGACTCTGAAAATCAGTCCAAAGTGTTTAAATGTCCCCATCTTTAAATTTTCTTGGTAGTTAGTGTTGCTTATAACAAATAGTTTCTGGAGGGTTCATCTTGATCAGGCACAAGCAGCCTTTTGGAACGCCCTCAGTTGTGTGTGAATGCATGTACTTTATAGGTGATATGGTGATGCTTATGAGGTGAATACCACATTGTACTACCCACTACAATAAACTAAACAATGGGAAGATACATTATGTGGCAAACACTGTACATACTGCTGTAACAAACTGCTTCCATGATGCTGACAGCCTCCTCTTTTCATTGTCACGTCATTTGTTACATTTTCAAGAACTGTTGAGTTGAGCTGCAGGCCGCGCCCCTCTATGCCTGAGTGCATGAGGTGAGGGTGTGTCTCAAACCAGATGTTGGTTTAGTACTTATTTTTGAGATTAATTTCTAGTAGTTAAAAATTAAGTATTTGAGCTTGGGTTATGGTGATTGATTATGGTTTCTACATTTTCTTAAAGGCCTATTTGTGTTTGTATTAAAGCTTTTCACCTGCTATTGGCCTCGGCAACTTTCAAATAAAAGAAAGAAAGCTGAATCTTGGTCATTGAGTGAATTCCAGTAACAATCTTCTGAAGCAAGCTGCCTTTTCAAGTGGGGGCAAACTGAATGTTAAATCTCATGAGTGAGGGCCACTTGACAAAAAGACACTGGTGTTTTTAAACATTTTAATTCTGTTATTTTGTGTTAATTTAGTGAACAGGCAAAACACTACAAGTCAAAACAGAAAAGATATTATATATGGAGGACTTTAGAGGTCCTGCAAATAAACCACATCATTAATTATATATACTTATATCAGGATACTTATAAGTATATAATTATATCTTAAAACATGTCTAGCGTAGAGAACCTAAACATAGACAATGTAACAAAGCTAGTGATAAAGTGATATGGTAATAAAGTAAAATCAGTCAGTAACAACCTACAGAGTATATATGTACAGGGATTGTTTTGCAGGTGTCAGTATAAAAAAAGTAAAACAATAGAGTAAAATAAAATAACTGAAGATAAAAGTGTTTAGAGTCTAATAAAACCCTGCCATACATTTTATATTTATAAACTTTTATACATGTGTTCTCAGGTCTTAGAAACACCTCTGAATAATATAATGCAACGTAGTACTGAATTAACAAGACCTGTATTATGTAGGCATTATAAAAGTAGTCTTTATGACAGAATTGTATTGGATTGCATTAGATTACACAGTTGTGCCAAATATAGCTGCCACTGAGTATAAATGCATACATTCATATTCGGGCTCTTGCTGTGTCAAAAAAAACTGCAGTACATTCAGGGTGCTTGGATAGTTCGCCTGGTTGAGCTGGTACCTCATGTGGGGGGGGGCTGAGTCCTTGCTGCAGCTGCCATGGGTTTGAATCTGACCTCACTCTACCCCCTTTCCTGTTGGTCTACAGCTGTCCATCTGGTAAAGGGAATCACTACAGTGTCAGTAATATTTAGATAATATTATCTTCTTCTTGTCTTCTTGTTTTTGGACTATCAGCTATTTGTGGAAGTTTAACTGTGACTTGTTATAATCTGTAACATTTTTAATGAAATCAAGCCCTGTTTTTATGCTTTTTATGATAAACATTTTTCCTCAATAGCCATTAAATGTATTTACATATTAACATTACTGTACCAGTTTGTCTTATGTTGTATTTCTGATTCTGATTTCAGTTTAGCATTGAAGTGAACTTGCTGTTACCATGGTAATCACAGGTATCGTTAAATCAATCAGGACTAAAATCTTGAGGTTTACATCTTTAATTGGTGCCATACAGAGTCACTTTATAACAAAAAAGTCTCCATGGGTCAACTTGATCTCACAGTCAGTCCAAACCCCCCAAAACATTTATAACATGACAAAGAGCAACAATATAATTCTCAGCAATTGAGACACACAACCTTAAAATCAACACAGCTTTCAGTTACCTGCTACATACAAACATACAATGGAAACAGACTGGTGATTAATGACTGAATTAAATATTTATTTATTATTATAATTATTATTTTTTTATTAATCATTTGGTCTTTAAAATTTATGAAAATAGTAAAAAGAATCCCCTTAAAATGTCTTCAAATCCAAGGTCACAGTATTGTAGTATATCATTACAGTACAGTATATACAGTATATAATTTCAGCTTTACATGTTTGTGCATCAGGCATTATTGATTACATAGTTACTCAGCAAACCATATAAAATCTTAAATCAATGTGCAGCATGCTACATAAAGTCAAATGATCTCATGTTATATTGGTATCCTCTATTCGCTGCAGTGTTATTACATACACAAATTACTTGACTAACAACACAAGAACATCTATCATTTAGTAGGTCTACAAACAACAATATATTAACCATGTGGAATGCATTAAGGTTCTGTGAGTTTGTCTTCCTCCTGTTTAGTGGGCTGAATCTTCCATTGCAGATTGAAGTCAGTCCATCCCTGACTTGTTAGCACTTCACCTAGCTGAGGAGGAATCAAAGAAATACTCATTTTATCTCTAATTTGTTGTGACATCCTCTTTGGTTGTAGACTCTAGTTTCCTTTTGATTTTGATCATTTTACATCTTCAGAAAACAGAGAAAGAATTTTACCTGCTGGAGGATCTGGGCGTTAGTAGCTGGATCGGTTATGTCAGCATCAGTCTGAATCTTCATCCTCACCGTGGTCTTCAAATTTAAAACTGAACAGTACAATGACCATGCAGTCACAAAACAAAGAGGCAGATGCATAAGATTTAATAATAGATAAAATACCAAATAATTTATTTGTGTTGTTGAATGGTCACCTTGATGGCAGATGAAAGGCAACTTGTCCGAACAGGTGACGTCATTCCATTCATGCAGATTACTCTCAACTGTACATAACTGGTCACCACCATACTTATTTGGTTGTCCCTTTTTCCAGATTTGGAAGGAGCTTTGGGTGTTGTCAGACCAAGTCCATGGCACTCGGTACAGACCAATCCAAACTTCGGCTGATACTGCAGAACAGACCTCATTGTTTTCTACGATGTTCTCGATCATAGGAAGGTCTGTGTAGTGTTCTCTGCAGTATGCTTGAGCATCATTCCATGTTTTCTCATCCGAAATGAACACATAGGTTTTCTCTGTTTGGTTTGTAACTGCAATAGACAGAAATAAAGCGTTATAATAAATTATTATTTTTCTTGTGTCACAGTGTTCTTATCTGTGTAATGAGGCTACATCCAGGTATAGTTAGGACTGGGCGATGTGGAATTATTTGCATTTGTCTTCCTAGGATGTGAACAATGTCAACATCAGGAGAATGAGCTCTCGTTTTGTCTTTTGACACAACGCATTATCTCTGATGTGAGAGATACGGCCATGCTCTGTTAATGCTGACGTTCCATAGCTTAGTGGGAAAATATTTTTTGCATGTGCTTAACGAAGACAACCACCTGCAAGGTGGTGCAGATATTTTATTATTAGTTCTCAACTATGTTGCACAAAAGTATAATTCAGTCATCTTTTAGTCTTAGTTACATTTTGTAGGTGTAGGTATCACTGGGACTCCAAAGAGTGATTTGTTACTTTGTGGGATTTAAGTTTTTTAAACATTACTTAAAGAATCACATCTCTCCTCCAATGACTTCCTGTGACTGTAACCTGATATCCCTGATGGGCCCTTTACCAGGTAAAAAAAATAACTCCAGGTCGCTAACATTGATCATATTCTTTTTCACTACACTTGGACCTGATGGTTCTCTGAACCTCAGTGTGGTCTGTCTGGAGACACAATGAAGAAAGAATAAAGTTGTGGAAGGGACCTATTGTTGCATTCTTAGAAAGAAAACCCACTTGAGTCTGTCCCTGACACATTAAGTCAGTAAGTCAAATCCATAAAATCTTTTCTTACCATCGTAACAAACAAAACTCCTGAGTGAATGACAGTCTGTGTCATACCATTTTCCATTAGTGTCCATGCTAACACAGTTGGCATTTGCATTTTTACTATATGGTTGCCCTAAATTCCAGTTGTGGTAACCAGTTTTGCTTGTTTGACCAGTCGCTGACCATCTCCAGGAGTTGGTGTCATTGCCCATGGATTCCTTCCAGGATTTTGGGTCATCCCTCAGTCCTATCCATGCCCACGAATAGGAAAAATCAGGTTTTAGCCTGCTTATGTCATCCATGCTTTCAATGGTGGCCAGGTCAGTGTATTTCTCTCTGCAGTAATGCTGAGCTTCAGTCCAGTTCATTAGCTTGTTAACATAGTGGTACTCTCGCAGGGGGAACTGAGAGCAAGAGTTGAAGCTGCATCCTGAGGGTTGATGATAGAGGACATATTTAGTATTTAGTGAATCATTTACATAAATTAACACAATTAAAACCAATTACAGTGGTGGTTGTGGCTCAAGTAACCAGGTGGGTTGTTCAATTCCCGGCTCCCCTGTACAGTCAGAGTGTTTGCTATTGTCTAATTTTCCTTCATACCACATACTTTCCTTCAGAATTTGCATAGGCGACATTTAAATTATTGGTAAAAAACAAAAAAAAGTAAAACACTAATAAATAATGGGATTAATCGCCTTCAGTAAGGTTTTCTTGTTGCTTCTCAAAAGTTTACTCAAAAAAGATAAGGGCAATAAGGTTACAGTAGGACCTTTTAATTTGTCATCTTTCAGTACATTCTTTTATGTCAGACGTTTTGGGTCATCATCAGATCGTAACTTTCTTAAGTTGCAACTGCCAGTGATCTCACATGGGTAATACCTACAGGACATCACCCATAATGTTCGGTCTCGACCTGCTCTGTTTGAAAAGTGTCCTGAGATAACTTCTGTTATGAATTGGCGCTATACAAATAAAATTGAATTGAATTGAAAATAATGCCCCTGGGTTTACAAAATGCACACTGAGTTAATCAGCCCTCTTGATTAAATACACAGATTATTATCATCCCTAGGCCATCCTAGAAAAAGAAAATCAGCTTGCAAAACACTACAGAATGATGTGGATTTAGAAGATAAGATATTCCTTTATTGATCCCATGTAGGATTAATTTAAGAAGTGGGTATACACAAAGCAGACTGAAAAGTATGTGAGTATACTTGGTACAGCCTGCACTACACCACTGGTTATGTCTTCAGTCCTTTTTACTTTACATTTCAGAATTTCACAATTTTTGTGCTCATTCATTTTTAACACTTTTTATATACTTATTAAAAGCTGATTTAGTGTTTGTAGATATTTTTTTAATTCAGTACACAATTGTTGTCTTCCGCTAAAGATAACTGCCAGTTAATTATTTAATAATTGTTCTTCCTTTTTTTAAATCTCATCTCACACATTTATTCGATGTGAATGACAAACTTACCAAAGAAGAGGAGAATCAGAGTCACGTAACAATCCATTTCTTATTTTACTGCAAACAAAAAGGAAATAGGTAAATAAAACATGCATGACCACACAAGTTCAATTCAATTCAATTCCATTTCATTTTTATCACAGCAATTCTTAACAAAAGTTATCACAGGACACCTTTCAAATAGAATACTATTTACAGAGACGCAACAGTTCCCAGTTAAAATCCAGTTGTTCTGGCTGATTTGGACTTTTGCTCTGGTTGAATATGGGAGAGGCTGGACATTATTTAAGGTCACCAAACTTCATGAATGAATAGATGTGATAAAGATGCAGTCCTATTTAACAAAATAGGAGAAAGAGGAAGATGTCACACTCCTGAAAAAAATAAGTGAAAACAAGTTGTGTATAGAGCCCTGTAAATATAAAAGCATAAAAGTACTTACAAGTTTAAAATTCCACCATTGAATGTTGTTATGAGGTTGAGATCTTCCAAAAATACAAACCTTCACATGGGATGGTAAACTTCGTCTATCACCCTCAGAGAAACATTACACATTGATACTATTTTCATATGCAAAGCGTGACTTTGGTGAAAGTCATTCTTTGGGCGTTGGTTAATCATGATAAAGATTAGGGTTAATTTAGCATAAAAACGTCATCTTTTTCATCGTGTTTTATTTGGCGAAGTCAAGTTTTGCAGGTTACTTTACATAGGACATAAAAGTCTTCCGACCAGTCAAAGCACTTTTGCACTACATGCCACATTCACCCTTTCATATAGTCCATCGAACAGAAACTAACTCATTCAGGCACATTTACACACCAATGACTCAGCATCGGGAGCAATTTAGGGCTCAGTATCTTGCTCAAGGATACTTCAACATGCAGCCGGAGGAGCCAGGGATCGAACCAACAACTCACAATTAGTGGACGACCTGCTCTACCTCTGAGCCACAGTTGCCCATGCGTGAGGCAGTATAAAAAGACAATCAAGTTAATTTAATATGATTTTGAAGAGTAAAATAAAATAGGATGTAAAAATAAAAGATAAAACAGATAAAATAGGAGAATAAAAGTTTTAGCACAGTTACCGTGCAGTGCAAAATATGAATAAATTGTTAATAATTAAATAATAATAATTACTTATTTATATAGCACCTTTTAAAAACAAATGCTTTGGCAGACAAAGGTAAGGTAATGGTAAGAGGTGGACAGGCGCTTTAAGGTAAAATTTGGTGTGTTGGCGATTCAACCCTCAGCTCCACCCCCCACAAGGGTCCTTGGGCCCCAAATTTCTCCCGATGCTGTGTCATCAGTGTGTGTGTGTATGTGTGTGTGTGAATGGGTGAATGTGACATGTACTGTAAAGGGCTTTGAGTTGTCTGATGACTGGAAAGGTGGTAAGTAATTAAGTGCAGTCTATTTACCACTCAGCAAGAAGCGAACTAATCCTTGAACTGATAATGTCACATAAGACATTGAGGCGCTCTCAAAGACATCAGTGTTTTTTGTAGTCTCATGTGAATTCTGGTATCACCCTGTGCAGAGAGTATTAACTTCATGATAATGGCTCATGGCACAATAATAATCATTCTACTAATTTAGCTGAATTTTGGTTTTATGAAGCTTTACGAAGATAAGATTTTTGACTTTCCAAAGACACAGAAATACATCAACATCATCGAGGCAGACACTCACAGTTTAGTTTTATAGTAGTAGTATATTTAAGTTTTATAACTATGTTTGGGAAGAAAGACCACGCCTCTCACTTGTCTCATTTCCGCTCAAAATGAACTGAAGCACACCATATCCGTTCACTCCCCCCTGAACCCTTTCTTTTATCCATTATGTGCAATAAACCTTTCTACTTCCATATGTTCATTGCCGTGGTCTTTTCTAGTGAAACACCCGTATGGGATTGTGGATCGTTTCATTCCAACACCAAAAGACAGTAACTCTTGTAGGTGTGATTTCTTATTCTAACCAGTCATTGTAAATTGATTGGTGTCTCGGCTGCTGCCGAATTTGCTTTTGTTTGACCTCAAGTTAAGCTCCCCATGGAAGTCAGGTGATGTACTGCACTTTTATTGAATTAAACACATTATTGCGTCTAATTTGAGCTGTAATTGCAAGCTTTCTGCAGTGCTAGAAAAGTATTAAAAAGCAATGAATACATTTTTCTTGAAAAAGGCATTAGAATTTCATCCTAAATATGTTTTCGTGTCTTCTGTAGGATATAATGTCGGCTATAAAATATTTTTGCATCCAATCGTAGGCTGGTGGGCGGCATTACTCGCTAACAAATGAAATCAGACCCTGTTTTTGATATGCATTATGTCCTCAATGTATTTACATTCAATAATTATCTTACTACATATCGTTTGTGACCAGCTTTTAATAATATCAAGTTTGTTTGGCTGCACTGTAAACAGATACACCATGTATGTATTTGTATTTCTGATTCGGATTTCGGGTTAAGTATTAAAGTGAACTTGCTGTTACCATGGTAATCACAGGTGTTGTCGAATCAGTCAGGACTAAAATCTTGAAGTTTACAACTTTAATTGGTGCCATACAGACTCACTTTGTAACGAAAAAGTCTTCATAGGTCAGCTTGATTATGGGTCACTTTATCTCACAGTCAATCCAAACCCCCTAAAAAACACTTATAACATGACAAAGAGCAAAAATGTAATTCTCAGCAATTAAGACACACAACCTTAAAATGAATCAATGTGCAGCATGCTTCAAAAAATCTAATGATCTCATGTTATATTGGTATCCTCTATTCGCTGCAGTGTTATTACATACACAAATTACTTGACTAACAACACAAGAACATCTATCATTTAGTAGGTCTACAAACAACAATATATTAACCATGTGGAATGCATTGAGGTCCTGTGAGTTTGTCTTCCTCCTGTTTTGTGGGCTGAATCATCCATTGCAGATTGAAGTCAGTCCATCCCTGACTTGTTAGCACTTCACCTAGCTGAGGAGGAATCAAAGAAATATTCATTTTATCTCTAATTTATTGTGCCATCCCTTTTAGTTGTAGACTGTGGTTTCCTTTTGATTTTGTTCATCCTCTGTCATTTTACATCTTCAGAAAACAGAGAAAGAATTTTACCTGCTGGAGGATCTGGGCGTTAGTAGCTGGATCGGTTATGTCAGCATCAGTCTGAATCTTCATCCTCACCGCGGTCTTCAATTTTAAAACTGAACAGTACAACAAACATGCAGCCACAAAACAAAGAGGCAGATGCATAAGATTTAATAAAAGATAAAATACCAAGTCATTTATTTGTGTTGTTGAATGGTCACCTTGATGGCAGATGAAAGGGTACTTCTCCAAACAGCTGATGTCATCCCATTTATGCAGATTATTCTCGCCTGTACAGAACTGGTTACCACCATAGTTATTTGGTTGTCCCTGTTTCCAGACTTGGAAGGAGCTTTGGGTGTTGTCGGACCAAGTCCATGGCACTCGATACAGACCAGTCCAAAATAGGGCTGATGCTGCAGAACAGACCTCATTGTTTTCTACGATGTTCTCGATCATAGGAAGGTCTGTGTAGTGTTCTCTGCAGTATGCTTGAGCATCATTCCATGTTTTCTCATCCGAGATGAACACATAGGTTTCCTCAGTTTGGTTTGTAACTGCAATAGACAGAAAGGAAGCGTTATAATAAATTATTATTTTTGTTGTGTTACCACATTACACTCTGAGCAATGAGTCCACAATCACTTCCTGTGACTGTAACCTGATATCCCCGATGGCCCTTCACCAGATCAAAATAACTATTTTTCTCTACACTTGGACCGTATGTCTCTTTGAACCTCATTGTGGTCTGCCCAGAGCAGATGGAATGAAGGGGCAGGCAGGGAGCCTTATAATTATTGGTAAGACTCACCATCCCAACCTGTTGATGCCTTAATTACATTAGAAGTTGTACATTGATATGGCACATAATGGCAATATGAGAAAGGGTCCTGTGTTCCCTGTGTTTAGGGTTAGGGTAGGCGGTTAGGGAACAGAGGACCCTTGGAACATAGATGCACTCCTGATGGAGAACTGTTTGAAACAATTGAACATGAAAGTTGTTTTTTTTCATCTGACTAAACATGACACAAGCTGATGAAAACAGTGTGTAGGGAGCAGAATTTAAATCTAGGAGGGGTTCAACGTCTTCTCTGAACTTGGCGCAGACCAAGAAACTACTTGAATTAGTGCCATTCTTTGTAAGAAAACACTGATGTTGAAGAGCCACTTCATACAACATAATTGTTTTCTACAAAGGTATTGGAAGATGCAAGCTTATTTTAGCTTTTGCTCACATCAGTCCTGCTCACGAGTCTCCATCTGCACATTCATTGTTCTCCTGATTGGAAATGTTGTGGTCGTTTGTATTAAAAAATATTCATTTTCTGACATTTCACCAACTATTTATTTATTATCTTAAAAACTCAAGATTAGATGGATACGGTTAATCAATAAAAATGATTATAATTGTGGCAAAGCCTCAGTCCTGTAGCTGTGACATTTTCCAAGAACAAATATTTTCTTACCATCGTAACAAACAAAACTCCAGAGTGAATTACAGTCCGTGTCATACCATTTTCCATTAGTGCCCATGCTCACGCAGTTTGCATGTGACCATTCACCGTTTGGTTGCCCTACATTCCAGTTGTGGTAACCGGTTTTGCTTGTTTGACCAGTCGCTGACCATCTCCAGGAGTTGGAGTCATTGCCCATGGATTCCTTCCAGGATTTTGGGTCATCCCTCAGTCCTATCCATGCATAGTTATAGGAAAAATCTGGTTTTAGCCTGCTTATGTCATCCATGCTTTCAATGGTGGCCAGGTCAGTGTATTTCTCTCTGCAGTAATGCTGAGCTTCGGTCCAGCTCATTAGCATGTTGACATAGTGGTACTCTCGCAGGGGGAACTGAGAGCAGGAGTTGAAGCTGCATCCTGAGGGTTGATGATAGAGGACATATTTAGTATTTAGCGAATCGTTGAATTAACGTTGAAAAACATGAATTCTAATTATAATTAAGCAGTTGGTGCGTGAGTATGTGTGTAAATTTCACGGACATGGCCGCGACCACGTTCCGACCTGTTCTAGTTAATGCTGTAAATTCCACCAGAAGCTCCACAGCATGGTCTATTTTTGACAGAAGCTGTGACCCACTCATGTCAAGCAGCACAGAGCAGATCGCACTGGCAGGAAGTCACAGAAAGAGAAATACTGCGTGCAGACTCCGGATCGATTTCACGCTACATAAACATTTTGGCACCAGGCCAGAAGTCACATCAGTCACACGCAGGTTAAATAAGATTTTAACCGGAGAAAAACACTGTTTGGTATCATTTTTCAGGACAAAATACCAGAGTAAACAACGCTGGCAGGCAACACACTCTGCGGACACTGTCAAAGCATTTCAAGGTAGTCCAGAAAGCATTGTATGAATACAAGTCCATTTCGCGTTTAATATAATTTTAAGGGTTTTAAAGAATAAATATCCAAAAACATTAACTTGTGATCTCTATCAAAAATTATAATACAATATCATTAAATCCAAGCGACTCATTCACATTGTTTATGAACTTGTGGTAAATGTCCTGAATGAGACCTGCCAAAGTTGGCCAGTATTGCCTAAACAACATCATTAATTTTATTTCTGTCAATAAAAGTTAGTCATGATATTAATAAAAAATATGGTAAGTCAAAATGTTGCCTTACTGGTGGCTTTTGGGTTAAGGCACTGAAACATTTATTGTATTCAATCAGATTCTAATATACAATATACATTTGTGATGATGCTTGGTGAAACTGTATATATATATATATATATATAAGTTACACTATATATAGACTTATAGTGAAATTTGTAGAAAACAATTCTAATTTGTATTACAACATCAGTATTTGGTAAAATTGGGTTAATCTTTCTTCTTCCAAGCAAGGTCAGTCTGTCGATCAGCCCACCACTTTGGTCAAGCCTAAAATGTCACAATAACTATTTGATGGATTGCCTTGAAATTTTCAATCTTCAAATTTGACAATCTTCATGGTCACCAGAGGATGAATCCTTATGATTTTGGTGATCTGCTGACTTTTTATGAAGCATTAAATACTGGTTGGTTTATGACCAAATACCAGTAAAAGTAACATCATTACCATCACCCACAGCTGTACTTTGTCCTAAGCACAAGTATGAGTGCCTGAAGTGCAAGATGGCAATCATGATACATATTATACCTGCCAAACATCTTCATGTTATCATTATCATTGTGAGTATATTCGCATGCTGACATTGTCATTTTGCTCAAAACACTACTGTGAATAGGTACAGCCTGACAGAGCTAGCATTTTTCAATTTTTAAAGATATTGTGTAATTTTCCTTCATTACATGCACTGTCCTTCAGAATTGACATAAATGGCATTTTAAGTATTGGTGACTTTATTCCTCAATAGAAAGTGATAATAATTGGATTAATCCCCCTTTTTGAGGTTTTCTTGCTGTTGCTCAAGACCTTTTCTCAAAAAAGACAGAATCAACTAATAACAATAAGACCCTTTAATTTGTTATCTCTCAGTACATTATTTTTTAAGATCAGAACATTCTTCCACTCAGTTCTCATGTGTACTATCTACAGGACACCACCCACAATGTTCCTGGGAATGCAAAACGCAGTCAGCTCTCACGAATAATTAAACAGATGACGAAAACTTTCAAACTTTTGTCAAAGAGGTTATGTCTTAACGTCGTATTAACTTAAGAGATTTCAGTTCAATTTGGTGAAATATTATACAACTTTTTGATGAACAATGAACCTAACTGTGACAAAAATATCTTATTTTATCATCCTTAGTTAAACACATATGCATCTATAAAGGCTGTTGTAGAATGAACTAAAATAAATATTGGTTTTGCTCATTAAGTTTTTAGGTTTTCTTTACTAAGTGAAAGCTGATTCAACAATTAACTGATATTTTAAAGATTTTATATTTTGATTTCTGCAGAAAATAACAGCCAGTGATGATAATAATTCCTCATTTTGATCTTTTATCAGTCAAATAAATCTCTGTCCCCTGTTTATATATTATGTCTGTTTTTACTCTTGGGACTCTTTTAGGTTGTATGACGCAACAAGCTTACAATACGGTGGCATGGTGCATGCAAACTGAAAATTAAAATACACATTTCATCCATGTAATAATGAAAAACTTTATCTTACCAAAGAAGAGGAGAATCATAGTCACGTAAAAATCCATTTCTGATTTTACTGCAAAGAAGAAGAAAAAAGGTAAATAATACATGCATGACCACACAGGTGTTTCCAGTTGCTCTGGTTGATTTGGACTTTGGCTCTGGTTGAAACTGGGAGAGGCTGGAAATAATGTAAGGTGACCAAACTTCATAAATGAATAAGTATGATAAAGATGCAGTCCTATTTAACAAAATAGGAGAAAGAGGAAGATGTCACACACAAAAAAAGTGAAAACACCTGTGTGCTTTGTGTTGAGAGCCACCTTTAAACACAACAAAGTAAGTACAAAGATATTGGTAGTGCACCTTGTATTTCTGGGAACATATATTAAATATTAAAATATTAATAAATATTAAAACTGGAACACTTTCACCAACACTCCAACGTATAATCAAAACCTGCTTCCCACTGAAATAAAATAATTGAAATGCTGTTCTAATAACATTCACATGTAAAGCAAACTTATCCCAGCTTATGTTTAGATGTGTGTACATCTTTTGCCCTTCAAATCAACAAAGCAATGCTTACGATTTTCTGATCAAAAAGAAGCTTCAGATTAAAGTGGAAATTCATTTCAACAACAACTTTATGTGGAAATTCAAGAACAGCTTAGTTAATTCAAAAACTCACAGCAGTTCAATGTTTAGCTGCCCCCCTCTACCAGCTCTTATATATACAAATGGATGATTTTTCCCCTGCAGTCCTTGTTTATCGTAAAGGTGTAATGATTTTCTTACACATTCCTTGTAAATATAAAAGTATACTTACAAGTTTAGAATCCAGCTGTTGAATGTTGGTACAAGTTTGAGACCTTGCAGAAATATAGTACACATATATAGAGAGTATACAGCCCTTAAAAAGACGAGACACACACTATTTTCATATGCAAAGTGTGACATTTGTAAAAGTCATTCTTTGCGGGTTGTTAACTTTGTGAATGTCCAACCTTTCCTTGTGATCCCTGAATTTAGGATGTCAGCAGCATGTGAAATCTGTCTCTGCACAACTTGAGGTTCCTGACTTTCCAAAGACCGAAGAAATTCATTAACATTATGTGGACACCCAGACTTCACAACCATATGTGATTGTTTACACATTTCATTAAAATAAGCAATAAAAAAAAAAAATGAGCAAGCAAATCTTGTTGAGCCTATTTGTTATTCAAACAAAGAAACGAAAGAGAAAGAGGAAGACAGAGAGAGATTATTAACATTACAAAAAAGAATACCTCAGTTGTGGTTACATCTTAAAGTTAGACCCCTAGACACACTGAGATTTCAGGCACTACAAACCCAAGATCTGAACCTTCAAAAGTGTCCCTTGTGTCAGCTGGTCCTGAGACTAAGTAACACCCAATAATGTTCAACCTCAGACCAGTACTGTTTTCTAACCACTAATCAGAGTAAACCAAATTATTAAATTAACAAAAGATGCTTATCTGGAACATTGGATAAACCAAAACTCAAAACTGATTATATTTGCTGTGCATATTAAGTGGAAATGTATAAAATTAGAGACAGACTATCACTTGTCGTAGGCGGTAATGTCTTTAAAATACAATTGCAGGCTGTTGTTACACACTTGGAAGTGTTACACACTTAATTATTATTGTGTTAAAAACCAACAAACATGACGCTAACTTGAGAGGGATAAACCAACCCATTGGCCAGCAATGTAGCATTGTGTCGTCCTATATAAATACCATCTTATGTGAGAGAAAATGTGTGTATATTTTGGACACATGGTTTACATCTTTCCCTGGGTCCTCTGAATATAATGTAGTATAATACTGAATTAACAGTTCTTTTACAGTGTAAACAAACTGAACAGTATGAGCATCATAAAAGTAGTTTTGTACAGACTTGTATTAGATTGTACAGGTGTGCCTAATAAAGTGGCAGTGTCAAAACAAACTCAAGTTTACCTGAGTTTTATGTATGATGAGCTTCAGAAATACACCACATATAAATGCAGTACATTCATCTTCATTGTAAAATGGTAATTAAGGAAACTGGATTCAGTTTTCAGAGTTTTATTAGTCTGAACTTTTCATACAAATGTACATCATAATCTGTACTCAAACATCTTTCCCATACAATTGTGTTTACTTTGTAGTTTCCTTTTGATTTTGTTCATCCTCTGTCATTTTACATTTTCAGAAAACAGAAAGAATTTTACCTGCTGGAGGATCTGGGCGTTAGTAGCTGGATCGGTTATGTCAGCATCAGTCTGAATCTTCATCCTCACCGTGGTCTTCAATTTTAAAACTGAACAGAACAATGAACATGCAGTCACAAAACAAAGAGGCAGATGCATTACATTTTTATGGATTATTTGCGATGTTGAAGGGCAGATGAAGGGTTTCTTGTAATGACAGTTATCATCTGTCCCTTTATGTAGACTAGTCTCAGCTGTACAGAGCTGGTTACCACCACAGGTATTTTGGTGAAAGTCATTCTTTGGGCGTTGGTTAACCATGATAATTGTTAGGGTTAAGTTTTGCAAGCTGCTTTACGTGGGACATAAAAAGGGATTAAGAAAAGAAGCATGAGGCAATATAAAAAGTTATTTCAACTGGATTTTAAAGAGTAAAATAAAATAGAACATAAAAATAAGATAAAATAGTGGAATAAAAGTTATAGCACAGTTACAGTGCAGTGCAAAATATGAATCAAAAGTTTCTAATGTAATAATAATACCACCTAACCCTAAATAATAATAATACTTTATGTATAATATAAAAATAAAGTAATTAATAATTACAAAATAAAATAGAATAAAATGAAAAGATGACATCACATAAAGTCTAGAAAAAAGAATCTCCTCAGTTCAAAAGTCGAGGGGCCCTGATGACAAAAACATGGTCACCTTTAGATTTCAGCCTAGAACAGCCACCTGAGTGTATGGGTGAATGTGACATGTAGTGTAAAGGGCTTTGAGTGGTCAGAAGACTGGAAAGGTGCTGTATAAGTGCCACTCAATCCTTGAATTTATAATGTCACATAGGACATTGTCATACTCTCAAAGCCAGACACCCACACTTTACACCCATATGTGATTCTTGAACATTTCATTACATTACATTTCACAACACCCAAAAAATCTTGTAAATTAGATTTCTTTTTCAAACCAGTCAATGTAAATGAAGTGGTGTCTCTGCTGCTGCCTCATTTGCTTTCGATTTACCTTGGAAGTCAGGTGACGTACTATCAAAGACTGAGAAAATGATGTAAATGGTGTGTGTGTGTGTGTGTGTGTGTGTGTGTGTGAGAGAGAGAGAGAGAGAGAGAGAGAGAGAGAGAGAGAGAGAGAGAGAGAAGAGAAAGAGAGAAAGAGCCTTTCTCATTTTACACATGAAAACTCATAATAAATACATTATAATTGTCCGGATTTTTCCATTATTTAGCCCCCCGAAAAGGCTTACCAGGAAGCACACAATGTTATGACTCGTGTTTGTCTTTAATTTTATTTTAAATCAAAAAACAACAGGTCATAAACCTGAAATACAAACAAATAATGACAATATATTATTCAAATAATGTAATATAATAATAATGTAAATAATGAAATCAAAGAAGCCTTGCAACACCAACAAAATGTGGCAAATCTGGCTCAAAACAACATTGACTACATCACCCAGAATGCCTAGCGCCAGAGCAGCATGCACACAGCGACTCTCCGCCTTCACTGGTTGCTATGGACATAACTAACATATCTGAGCATTTAAGAAACTTAAATCACTCGTTCCCATTTTAATTGAACACATCTGACCAACTTGCTTCTTTTTTTTTGCTAAAAGTCTCAACAATGATGTAGTCAGTCAGTTACCATAATGCTGACTGCTTTCTTATGTCTGTTCATGATTGTCACACTAACTTCTCAAAGTGAACACAATCATGAGCTTTTGATGCTAAAAATGAGACGCGCAGCACTTTTGAAATCTCTACCCTGCTTTTCTCACATTATAAAGTGTAATTTGTTACCTTTTTTTAAAATGTTACAACACCAGAAGAGCAACAGTAACAATTCTTCACCGCAGTAAAACACACACGTTTCATTATTTTATATTCACTTAAGCAAAAACACCACAAGTCAAGACAGAATATATATTGGATGACCTACAAATAAAGCACTTCCTTAATTGATATTTAAGTAGACAATAAAAACAGGAATTAAAAAATCCTAAGACCCACTGAGTTCTTGCTTAACTTTTAAACATTTTCATTTTTTATTACCAGACTCAATTTATACTCAGTGGATGTGACTGTCTCATTATTTATAAATCCAAATAAAGCATTATGAGAATGTACAATAACAGTGGTGGAAAAAAAGAATGATGAAAACAATTTTAGGTCTTATCAGATTCAATTTAAAATAATACATATTTATTTTATAGTTTATATATTAGTTCTAACTCACTGTATCACTCAACATTACCTCTAAGACAAACACACAGGAAGTGTCAAACACGTTAACATCTAATGGAAATTCATTCAAAACTGAAAGCAGAAAAGTTGCATCTTTACACTGCAAATGCAACACTGTCACCACAAAGAAAATGTGCATACAGAGGCTGAGCTTTTCTTAAATCTGGTCAAACATTAGCAATTACTTTGTTTCCAGAGTAACTTACACAGTAACAGTAAACTTTCTTTGTATCAACAACGTTGTGGTGTATCATTCTGGGAGTTGTTCTCCCAGGGTCAACAAGTATCTAAAAGGCAAGATGAAAGCATTTTGTTATAAAGAATATTGATTAATCGTGTGTGTGTGTGTGTGTGTGTGTGTGTGTGTGTGTGTGTGTGTGTGTGTGTGTGTGTGTGTGTGCATGTATCATTGTGTACCTTTAATGCCCTCTTCTGTCTGCTTCACAGCAGTTTTCGTCCAGGTCAGTTTGATGTTCGGCATTCCCAGATTAACAAATGCTGCACCCAACTAAAGAAGGAGAAAGATAATACTTGTTGTTAGATAAATCTAGATCTAAAAACAATTTCCTCTCTCCATCCATCCATCCATCCATCCATCCGTTATCATCCACTTATCCAGGTTTGGGTTGCGGTGGCGTCGGGTGATCCAGACACCCCTCTCACCAGCAACATTTTCCAGTTCCTCCATGGAGATACTGAGGCATTCCCAGGCCACAAGAGATGTATGATCCCTCCAGCGAGTTCTGGATCTACCCCAGGGTTTCATGCCAGTTGGACGTGCACGGAAAACCTCCAAAGGAAGAAGCCCGAACCACCTCAGCTTTGACAGGAAAGAGCAGAGGTTCTACTCCAGATCTCCTGTGCTCCTCACTTCACATTTTAAGGCTGAGACGGTTCAGTACAGCCACATCGCTGCTGACACCTCACCAATCCACCTGTCCATCTCACGCCCCATTTTATTCCCACCCCTAACCCTAACCCTAACCCACATCACTCCTGAGATTTTTTAACGCCTTTGCTTGGGAAAGGAACTCACTGCAAAGCTGGGGGGAGCAATGAGGTCCTGACTCTCATCCTAGCCGCTTAACACTGGGCTACAAACCGCCACAGTAGATACTGGACACATCGGTCTGATTAGTAATTAGTTACACGTACTGTAATATTATTACTAGTAATGGCTTACTGCCGAGCACTGGTTGTAAGTCATTTCCAAGTCCACAAAACACATTCAGACTGAATGGTCAAACTCCCATAACCCCCATAGATAGATAGACAGACAGACAGACAGACAGACAGACAGATAGATAGATAGATAGATAGATAGATAGATAGATAGATAGATAGATAGATAGATAGACAGACAGACAGACAGACAGACAGACAGATAGATAGATAGATAGATAGATAGATAGATAGATAGATAGATAGATAGATAGATAGATAGATAGACAGACAGATAGATAGATAGATAGATAGATAGATAGATAGATAGATAGATAGATAGATAGATAGATAGATAGATAGATAGATAGATAGATAGATTATTTATCCATCCATAAAAACTCTGCAAGGGTGAAAAGCTGATCGGGTTTGGTCGGAGCCTAGTCTCCATCACCCAGGAATAAACTTTCCCAGGGAGGGAAAAGACACACACACACACACACACACACACACACACACACACACACACACACGATACCTGTCGCTTTAGCTCCACACTGTAGGCTGGATCATCAAGTTTTGCCTTTGACTTGAACTTCATCCTCACCACTATTTTGTGTGAGTTGTAGACTGCACAGGGTCACAAAAAACAGGCATGTTTCAGAAAAACACAAAAAAATTAGGTTTGGTTACAAAGTACAAGGCAAGAAGCAAAACCTTTCACAATAAAATTAAGATGTAATCTATAGAGTGTACATTTAAGGCGTAAAACTATAATATGGTGATTATTGCTTTCCCAATTAAAAGTTGAGTTACCTTGTTAAAAATGAATATCACAAAGCAAGTAATCTGATTGATCTCATTTTATACACCAAACGAGTGAATAATCTGCAAATTAATGGATTATCAATAATTGTTAGTTTCGGCCACCTTGGTTTAACATACAAAAATCCCAAACTGAAGATGTTTGACTAACAATGCAGAAATAGCAACGAGGGCCTAGAAACAAAAGTATTTCCAGAATACAAAGCAAGAAGCATGTAATCTGCAAAATCAATCCTTCAACCAGTTCAATATACCTTCCATGCAATGTGTAATAGAACAGCTCAGCACATGTCACTTCTGGTGTCTAACTCGAGCTTTAACACAAGGGAAATGTTTGAGTGATTCATACTTCTATAGCAGAAGAAAGGGTATGTTGCACTGCACTGCTCATCAGTCCAGGTTCCATCTTTGACCACTACAGCCGCACAACTTTCTTCCACGTATGGTTTGTCAGGTTGTTCAGGTTGCCATTTGAAAAATGAAGCGTATTCTCCGTTGTCTGACAAGTACCAGTAGTTATTTCTGTAGAGGCCGATCCATGCGTCTTTTACTCCCTTTGAATTCATGATTTGTTGCATTCCAGAATTTGTGGTTTCATCAGGGACAGCGGCCAGAAGGCTATATCTGTCACAGTAGTATCTGGCCTCATTCCAAGTCATTTGTGCGGGAGGAATGTAAAAGTTTCCTTATCAACAAAAATAGAAAATAGTTATGAATAGGTTTCCAATGTACCATGAGCAAATGCATTTAGACCACAGGTAAGTATTAAGTAAGCATAACAAAACATGTATTACCAGTACAATGTACGTAACACGGCGTGTGAATCCAAAGTAAAGTTGTGCTTACACGGAAAAAAACCGACAGCTGTCGCTAATTACTGTTAATTCTGTGGCTCAATAACATATAATAATAATGTACTTGTAATCGTGTGCTCTGTGCAAGCCGAGGACTTCATAGAACATTGGTGAGGGCAGATATACCACTCTAACACCACAGTGAGTGTTTTTATACTTCCGACAACTCCAACAGTGAGAAGTCTTCTCAAGTAAAATCGTCACTGGATTGCATCACGTCAATTTCGTTTTCAGTCAAATTTCATATGAAAAATTTAAGCTAAACAACTTAACTGTTTTGAACCAGGAGAACCAAAACTGTGATCAAGCAAATAAATATCTTTGGTACAAAAATGTCTTTTGGGATGAATTAAGTTCTGTCTTATCTCATTTTCTGGTTGAAGCAAATATGTGCAGTGGGCAGCTGGGGCATTTAGTTAAATATAAGTATCAGATTGGGCCAAAACAACTTAATTGGGGAATGCCTACTCATTAATAGTGAAAATTAAATGTAGACAACTATGAAATCCTCCAAAATGGAAATGGCTTTAAGTAGTAGAATTTCAAAACTGTACGTAATTACAATTATTGCTATTTATACCCACCACGATCACATATAGCATATTTCATTTCTGAGCAGCTGTAATCTGCCCAGAGTCCATCATCAGCCATGGATACACAGAACTCAGTGGCATTAAAGTTGTCTGGCTGATGAGGTCCCCAGTTGGAATATGTGAATGGTAGTCCGTTCTCCCAGGTCCATTCAGAAGGCTCCTTGTACAGTCCTATCCAGGCCTTGTCTGTGTATCCCCAAGTTGGAGTGTTCATCATTGCGATTGCATTTTCTTGGTCTGGGATTTGGGCCAGTCCAGTGTACTCGGAGTTGCAGTAAGCTACTGCTTCCTCCCAAGTCTTATTCTCTCCGAAAAAGTAGTAGATGTTTGGAAAGGAAGCGGAGTGAATGCAGAAACCTGGGAAGTGGATTAGTTGTCCAACTGAAATTAAAATGCATTTTAATTAAGAAATAAGTGCATATAAACCCTTTGTTTTGAAGTGTACTTGTTTGGACCAAATTAGGATTTCCAAAAAGGAGAAATTTAAATATTATTAGATTTTCTGCAGCAATAGCATTTGTCTAAATTATATATTATATTATTTGTTTGCCGCCATCAGATATGCCTGGTAGATCTGCCTAGGGTACTGATTTCATAATGACCTTTAGGATATCGTAGTTCAAGAGATAACAAGACCTTTGCGCCTCCTCTTGGCTTTGTTTTCAGGCTTTTAGAAACTCCATCCCATGACGGGAGACTTTAGCCAGAACCAGCTCATTTCAGAGGACATTCCTATTGTGCAGCACGCCCCTTCAGACAGTGAAAGCCTGATTCAATGGAGCACAAAATCCTGCAACTTAAACATAAATTTCCAATTTCTAACACCTCCGTTGCCTTTAAAGAAGCTACGTTTACCTGATTATGTAACAGTTTAATTTAATATAAACAAAAATGTTATCTGACATTGTAAAATTATATATATGACTGAAAATAAGGGAAAGCATGATAGATAAATTCAGACAGATCAATTCTGTGTTTCTAAAATCCTGTGACTCTACAGTAGCAGCAAATTAATACAAGATATTTCCAATAAGCCTTCTTTATTTTTTAATATATATGAGTGCAAATACCCATACGTCTCATCATCAATCATTCATCACATGAATCACATCTCACCTGTAAGCAGGAGAATCACAAACACTGTCTCATCCATGCTGACTTCAACTGTGGGCAAAATAAGGATTTTGTGCCGTAACTGTAAATTCAGACAATTATATGTTTATTTCCTTTCCCTATTTTTCCATTTTCATCCAACATTTCACTGTGAATTTCATTAGACCTACACTGTTTAATATCCTGCATGAAATATAACATTTGTTTTACACTGTTGCTACTCTTTTAAGTAGTGATATTCATCTTTTTTTTGTATGTTGAATTGCACTATAATATATATATAATATACTATATGTATACTAATACAATGAGTTAAACTGCAATAGAAGAGTTACAAAAACCTTATAATTATCCAACAAATATATAAAGATATATATTAACTAAGATATCTACTCACCAGGCGTTCCTGGGAATGTCTTCAGTTGCAAGCTCTCTTCAGTGTTTGACTGCTACTGTTGTGTTTGATGCTGTTTTTATATGATGCAAACCAGTACAGTATGAGCTGAATGAGTGATTGACTTCAAACTAGGCAGATTGAATAAGAAAATCGTGACACACCCTCGGTGGCAAAAAAAAACCAACAGCAACCTTTTTCCTTCTTCACAGTCAATGTTAGACTTAATATATTGATATTGTTTTAAACAAAAAGGTTCAGTTTAGTAGGAACTAATATGTATAAAATATTAATGTCAAATATTCAGATCTTAAAAGCCTAAATGAACCTCAAAAGGAGCTCAAAAGTGTCTTTAGCCCCACATGTTTAAAGGAAAAGTCCAATAGATTGGGAAATACACTTATTTGAGATGAGCAGGCTGATACTGATCTCAAGTCTGCTAAATATGATGACAAAGGGCAGCAGCCAGCTCAGCTTAGCATAAAGATATAGCTTCAGCTTCAGACATTTATTTATTTTAAATTATTGACGGAGCAGGCTGGTTGTTTCCCCCTTCTTCCAGACTGTATGCTTACCTAAGCTAACCAGCTGTAGCTTCATATTCAAACGTCATTAATTCCTGAATGTGGACGCTTTTATTTTAATTCCCGCCACATTAATGACACAAAACTAGAGAATGGAAATGAATGTTTCCCGGTGCTTTTCTCTGTTCTCGCCACATTTACATGACCATCGTACCTCAGTGGAAGTTGACATTATGTGGTCAGGTAGATTTGAATGAATCATCTGGAAAGTTTTGAATGTAAATTATGTTTGCAACTTAGCTGACAGATCAGAAGCCATTAAAGGTTCTCTGTGGAGGTTTTGATCAATTATAGCCACAATAAACTGTCAACAAGATAAAACCACAGGGCACCTTCACCTCAATTTAATTAATATAAACAATAACCTGATTCAGTTGAGTCCCTTTGTGACACATTCAAATGATCTAGGTGAGAGTTGATTGAAGAAAATGCATGTACATTGTTTAGGTAAATTACATATTTACAATCGCATGTTTTAATACTGATATTTTAATTTCCACCAGACTGGAAATGCATGTTTACTTCTCTCTGACTGCCACATTTCAATCATCCCCAGCTCTTGTGCGTGGCCACTTGGATTTGAATGATACATTGAAGGAGATTTGAATACAAAGACAATCTTAAAACTTCTATGGCGAAGAAAATTGATGTTGAGTGTGTAAATGAGCCAGTGGTTGCAAATAACCAACCCGAGACATCGAGCTCTGTTGTCTTTTCATTGTGCGACAAACACTCTCTTCTTATTCTGTTATAAGTCTTTGTGGCTACCCTAGCGTTTGCATTTGGCTTAAAGCGCTGCTCTGTACAGTCTCACAGAGCTTCTAGCGTGGCTGTAGACTCTTTGTCTTATTGTAACTGTCTGAATTTTGATGCAGATTGGGAAATCTGAATAAAGGTGACTTATAGTTGGAGCACCTTGGAGATGAGTCTGAGATAAAACCTCACACACAGTGACATCTGAATATTGCGATCATTTCCTCTTCAGCTGACAACTATATGCACCTAAATACTGACCACTGAGTATATATTCATATATATACTGTATATATATATATATCTGTAGCTAAAATTGAAATAGAAAAAAAGTGTAACATGTAGATCGATTAATCAAATAGACATAAAATTATCATAATCCATCAACAAACCAACCTCACTATCAGCATTTTCAGTCCATTATGATTTTGTTGAAACTTGAACCCGACTTGAAAGAACTAGAAAGTCTTTCTGCTCAAGGATCATTGGACTCGAAACTCATCAGTATTTGGCAACAATTTACATCTGGAGGACTTTGAATACAAAGTCCATATGCTCCTGAAAACACTGAACCTCTCTGCTTACCTTGAAATACAGAAATAAAACTGCTTATAATTTAATATCTGTGCAGTGTAAAACTTCCTTCAACCATAGTTTGTTATTCGGTTCTTGCTCCTAACATAAAAATATTGTGTGTGTTTGTGTGTGTATTCTGCAGCCACTTTCTTGGTGATTTTAAAGTTTTAGGTCAGTTCTATTACATAAAATAAACATTACAATACACTGTTCATATGTTAACTTAAGTTCCAATGTCATTAGTACAGGAGTAAGCGTTGTGTTATCAGGAACGAGGTTGTAAAGGAATTTTGTTTATCAGTGTACTAGTAGAGGAAGGAGAGTGAAGAAGAGGAAAAATGTATTAAAAATAATTATAATTAAAAAAAGAAAATAAGTAAATAAAACATTTAACCTCTGATTTCTTTCTATACACTGTCAGTATTCATGTGCATACACCATTTGGATGAATATTTATAGAATTAATTAATAATGAATTGATTAATACAGAACCTTAGAGAAATGGTTTCTCCATTTCAAAGATTTATTTTATCATTGCAATCCACTCTCCTTTAGTTTTTGCTTTCTTTTGTCAGGTAGAAGAATAAATTCTGTTAAATATATGGTGCTAAAACTATAATCCATCTTAAAACCCATTGATTGGTTTTTATTTCTGTTACTATCTCTAGCCAATAGGATTACTGGACAATTATATAAACTAATATAGACAAAATATAATATGTGAAAGTGATCAGCCATTGAATGGTTGTCTCCAGCATTGTCCAGAGTCTGCTCACTGTTCATATATTCTGAGGGTTTGATCCAAAACTCAAAATACAAAATATATTTATGATTTTTAAATGTATGCAGTTAAATTAGAAAGTCGCCCTGCAGGGTGCTTATGGATGATTGGACTCTAAACTCATTCATATTATGCAGCAATTTGCAAACTGGTACCATGAGTGAGAAAGTGAAGTTTCAAGATCAAGAGGGTGCAAATAGCTCCACCTAGTGGAGAATGACAGTTACTGCTGCTCTGAAGATCCATATACATTCACTCAATCAATAAAAACACACAATACACAAATATTCTTCACTTGTATTTATTCATACTATATCATATTTATATTCTATGTTCATCAGATATTTATATATATGTATATATTTATATAGTTATTTACATATGGCAGTGTTGCCACTCAAAGAAAACAGATATTTCAACAAAATGGATAAAAACAAGTGTCGATTCAGTGCTATGCTGAAAGCACACAAAGTTTGATAATAAAAAAAACAGAAACACATCATCAGAAAACCAGAAAGTGGGAAAACAGCAAAAACACCTTGTGTGTGACCACGTTTACACGTAGCCGTTACGTGATGCTGCGCCACACTATCGCTGGCTTTTGTGTTACTTGTTTTTTTTTTTTTTTCCTGCTCCAGAACATGTGCAAAATGTAGTGTTGCTGAAAAATGGCGTCATCGACTCCCCCAGAAATCACCAGGCAGTGTACAGGCAGTTGACATGGACTTGGAAAAAAAATTAAATAAAAAGAATACGACACTCATGTGTATATATATACATATACATATACACACTGAAAACGATACTGATGCTTTTCTGAGGCAAGGGGAGAAGATCCAAGTAATAATTGTTCGCATTAAGTATAGCCATGCATTAGCAGCGACCGTCACACATTCTTCAACACATTTACTGATAGCTTGCCTTTGCTTGCTGACACGTATCAGTCACAATATTGGACCAAACAAACATGCGGTATGTAAGGTATACATTATCTCTCACATTCACCTGCTCAGCAGAGAATACACTTTGGAATTAAATGGCTTTTGGACTGACAAATTGGTTGGTTTTTATCTTTTTTAAACTCTGGATCATTTCATAAAGCCAGTTTAAGAACTCTTCTGTCTCTCAGAATAGAAAAGTGCCTCCAATTTTGCAAGAAAAAACAACCTAAGAAACCTCTGACACACGAGCACTTGCGTGTGTTTGTGTGCAACAAGCGTTAGCTATCTCCTCTATAAATACAGTACAGTTTTATAATTCTTCTCTCTTCAAGACCGCCACGTGGTCTACTTAACAAAAATAGAATAAAAAATAACTTTTAATACATTCTAGAAACAAAAACACACAACTTGGGTTGGTCGAATACGGAGGGGGGGCGAGGGGACAGTAAGAGGCAGGTCCTGGTGGAGGTGGAGGTGGAGGTGTGTGGATAAGGTGGTGGGCACGGATGTTACCCTCCCACCCTCTTTTAGGAAGCTTTCAAGGGTGAACTTTGAAGGAGAGCAGTTCCTCTGAGTGCATGTTGTTGAGTGAACGCAGCTCGGGAAGCTTGAGCAGCAGCTTGGTGAAGGTGGTGGCCGACTCCTCGCCGTGGTTCTGCATCACCAGGTTTCGCAGCGCCCGGATCAGTTTGTCCTGCAGGGCCTCGATTGAGTTTAGGTCCTGGATCCCTGAGCGATCTGAGCGAGGACAAATAAAAAGGGAGGGAAAGGTTATTGATGGAGGTCAGAACGAGGCTCCGTGTGTTTGTGGTTAATGTTCATCTTGAGCGTTATAACAACACATTCTGGCCTTCCTTCTTACCGGCTGAGACGAGCACGACGGCGGTGAAGAGGCTCATTTCGTCGGCGTCGAGACGCAGCGCCGCCAGCTTCTCGCTGAACTCGCACATGGAGTTGAGCAGCTCGCCGGCGCCCAGCGACCGTAGCGTGTCGAGGCTGTAGCGTTTGCCGCTCAGGAAGGTTACCGTCCGCTCGACCACGTTGAACAGAGAGGCGAATCGGACCATCAGCACCTGGGAGTCCAGAGAAGGTTTTTATATTAGTTTATAGTTTGAGTTGAGCAGCTTAACAAAGACTGTTGTATGTTTGTGTAATTAATCTGGTGTTATGATGAGAGACTTAGAATAGTTTTAGAAATATGTGTAATATTTGTGTTTTATCCACCTATATTTTTAAAAATCAAACTTAAATGCAGAATTGTCCAATTTCTAAATGTCTTAAGGGCTCAGGTCTGCGTACAGAGAATACAATGTGTGTCTCAGCTCTCAACAGAAGAACGCAGTGTTATATAACCACAATCACACCTATAGAGAGTTTGTAAAGTCTCTTTCATTGCCATTCCAACTGTTATCAGAGCAAATATTAGTCAGCACACGCTGCTGAAAGCCACAGTGGATCCTATATTGAGAATGTTTGAAGAACCCGCCGCGCTCGACTTCAAAGCGAGCACAAAATAACATCGAGTGTTTGTTTTTTGCTTCTCTTACCTCAAAAGTTCCAGCTTTCAGCAGGCTGACTTGGTCGTGCTCAGGGAGGTCGCGGAAGCCCGGGATCCTCTTGGCGAAGTCGACCACCTCCCGCACGGCGGGGGTGAAGCTCATGGAGAACTCCTCCCAGACCTCCTGGCTTGGCTTGTGGGGGTCCACGTACGGTGACGTGTTCATTGGACAGACCTGGAGAGAACATGAAGGGTCAGAAGGTCAGTCAGGGAGGTCAAAACAAAGAATAATTATATGAATTTAAAGAATAGGGGAGAAAAAATTAATTACTCACCAGATGTGCTCTATTATTCACACAGCTGGTTGGTCCATTATAACCACTTGAGGCAGTTTGTGTGTTGAAGTCATGCTGTGTTTGGCTGTCGTCCGACGGTTCACAGCTAGGGGCGCTGCTGAGCTGCTGCTGCTGGTAGACCGCCCTCTCCTCTCTGTAAGCAGTGTTGGTGACGTGTTGGCTGTAAGCGCCGTGCTGGTAACCTCCCACGACCCCACTGTTGTTCCAGCAGTTCCAGCTCTCCTGTTGCTGCTCCATGCGGCTGTCGCAGCCCGTCTCCGGGGCCGCCATGACCGGCGAGGGCGCCTGACCCTGTCTCTGCGACCTCTGTTGGCTAAACGCGAAGGCATCTTGATGCTGCCTGCCTGTCGTGACGACGCCCTCGTCCTCGCCGCTGTCTGACCCGCAGGAGGAGGCGGAGCTGGAGTTGGTGTCCATGGAAACCACGGACTCTGAGTCCTGAGGGCACTGAGGGGAGGAGGGGTTGGAGCACGACGGGGAATCGGAAGCAGAGGAGGAGGAAGAGGAGGGCGAGGAGCTGGAATCGCTGGTCATGGCCTCCATGGGCAGCGAGGGGCTCTGGTGGCCGTGCAGCATGCCGTGCAGCTGGCTGTTGTTGCTCATCATGTTGTTCATGGCGTTCTGCATCTCCAGCAGCATCCTCTGCTTTTCCCGCTTTGGGATGCGGCCAAATCGGACAGCTGAGAGTAAAAAAAAAAGACGATTAGACAAAGTGAACTGCAGCTGCTCAGAAGGTGTTTGATTCAAATTGTATGATAATAAAAGCTGAAACTAAAAAGATCTGCTCACCGTCTCGGGACATGCCGACAGCCAGACACTTCTTGAAGCGACACTGCTGGCAGCGGTTCCTGTTGATCCTCATGATGGTGCAGTTCTCCATCTTAAGACACTTCTTGTACTGGATGTTCTGCTGGATGCTCCTCCTGAAGAAGCCCTAAGGAACCACGAGGAGCGTTAGTCACGTGCACGGGGGCGTACAGTCAGCACGAAGATATGAATCAAAAAACTTGCAGAGCTTTTTCATTGCGGGGGAACTTGTCTCACCTTGCAGCCCTCGCAAGCATGGACGCCATAGTGGAAGCCCGAGGCAACATCGCCGCACACCTTGCATAACAGCACCATGCCGTTGATCTCTGTAGAAACAAAAAGCAGCGTGATTAATGTGGCGTTTTCTCTCAGCAGCAGCGGCGTTTAAGATACCGGCTTTGATGCTGTGCTTACTCGTGATGCTGCTCTTGGCGGACGTGGAGGAGCGGCCGGCCTTCTCCACGCCGTGGCTACGCTGGTGACCGCTCTTGGTCGGCGGAGAGATGTCCACCACCATGCCCACGGCCCTGCTGGGCAGCGAGGGGCGGGACAGAGTCGGCGATGTCGACAGGTAGCCGCTGCTGCTGCTGCTGGTGCTCATGCAGGACTCTGGGCTGGAGGCGGAGCCGGAGGAGATGTAGGCAATGACTCCTCCTGTGGACAGGGAGAGTCGGCGAGGCGTTACAACGGTTGTTATTCTAATAACGCTGCATTAAGCAAACACACAATGCAAACTCTGCTATCTCTGCACACACACACACACACACAGAGACCCATAGATAACAGGAGTTAAAGTTTAAACTGAAGTAATAAAAGAAAATAGCTTTGTACGCCATATAAACAAACTGTGGGGCACTACAGTAAGAACAGGTGCCTCCGAGACGCCCCGGTGTGTGTGCGTGTGTGTGTGTGTGTGTGTGTGTGTGTGTGGTTTCCTGGTTGGTTTGTTCACTGCTGTGATTGACCTGCTTTATCACCTCCAGTGCTCGCTGGTTGGATAACAGGTTACATAACTGAGTGTGCTATGGGAGTGTGCTCCGACCAGACAGGGTCAGTGAAGCACTGGAGCAACACAGACAGTTGCAGGAACAAAATAATGCAACAGGGGAAACACATCTTCATCCTGGCGTTACGCAACCACAGATAGAGATTTAAAAATTAAAAATAAGTTCTGGTGGATCAACAGTTAGACCCGGAAGAGCCTGCAGCCATGTTACCAAAAAAAAAATAAAACCAAAAAAAGGGGGGGGGAGTAATGTGAGCTGGGAGCTTATTAATTAATGAATCATTTAAAATTAATTTAATTATTAAAAAGTAGGGCGGTGAGATTTTAAAGCACCTTTAAAACACGCTTTTTAAAATTTCCATTTAAAAAAAAAAATAAAATGTTTTATTGTAAATATTTGTGCTAAAAGCTTCAGTTTGTTTGTTTTGTCTTTATTAACTCTATAAATAAAAACAACTAAACCCAGAGCCCACTGATTACCTAACCCCCCCCCCACTGTTCTCCACCCACACGTGGACCTGTCATGTATTTCTGTGAAAGCGAAGCGCGAGGAGGAGAAACAAAAAAAAAAAAAAACTAGGTCACTCGCTGCGGCGGCTCACGTGTATCCTGCAGTCCAGCCTCGCGCCGCGGAGCCCAGCGTACAGCGCGCATTATGCAACGCGCCGCGTCACGGGCTCCGCCGCGGCCAATCAGAGGCGAGCGCCGCTTGAAGCGTGCGCTGCGGAGTGGAACGCCCCTCGGCCAATCAGAGGCGTGTTCCAGAGAGCGTGTACACACACAGGCACATGGCTAGGCTACGTTGTCCATGTGAGCCGCGTCGAGGAAGATAAACAGAGTTTGTTGTGTCAGATGTGAATGTGAGCATCGACTAAAACCCCCGGGGTTTAAAAACACGACGACAGGGCCTGGAAATAGTTTATATCACACTGTAAGCGACTGGACAACCTTTAGAGAATGATGTTTGTTTGTTTTTAAAAATTATATATTATTATATGTTTTTAAAATTATATATTATGATGCTGCACAACAGGAAAGGACGCCATTCATTCATCTTCTCTCATTTAAATTAAATAAATAACACTCAGTGGTTTGGATTTATTTAATTATCCTCATTGTGATGCATTCACTGACGCTATATTAATGTAATATCTGTGGCAGTGTGTGCATTAATATAATAGAGGGGGTTTCCTCTGCACTGGGGCTATAAATAGCGACACAAAGCCTCGTAAAACTTTATCAGTATGCAGGATGAATTAAATAAATAAATATATATATATCATATAATAAATAAGAAACAGTGTCCTTACCAGGCTTAGCTGTCCCAACGTCCTCAGGCATCTCTGCTGGTGGAAAAACGAAAAAAAATCTCTCCCAGCGAATAAAAACTAAAACTTATCCGCCACACACACACACACACACACAGATTTAAAGTAAACCTGTCGCTTCAGCTGTTAAAGTATTAAAACAAGCTGCTGGTTCAGTGTCTGTGTCGACGGAGCGGGCGGTGGTACGGTCCGAGTCGGAGGAACTCCCTCCGTGTTGTGTGACTGCGGGCTCGTGGAGGGAACTAAATGTTCTCAATAGTGGGCTCGCCCATGTGACCCATTTGTTGGCCACGCCCCCCTCCAGCCCCGGACCCGCTCGAGCCACTTTAACCCAGTGACACACTTTCAGGACGAAGAGAGGGGGGGCGGGGCCAGAGCGCGTGTTGTCGACGTAACACGAGGAATGGTAACAGAGCGGTCACGTTGCAGCGCACAACGTGTACGGTACAGTACGGCCGGGCCTCGTGCGTCCGTGTCCTGTCGGTGGACCGGGGAGAGAAAACGTTTCCGTGTTTTTTTTAGTCGGTTAGTTTTAGTTTTTATATCCAGATTGTGAGACATTAACGATCTGCTGCAAATACGGTTTAAATACATGAGTTACTTTACTGAGGTACCTGAACGTATCATTTTATGGTATTTAAATAAACTACACCAAGGTAATGTTTACTTTTAATATATATTTAATATTATAAGATACATAGAATCATATTTATATATTAAACTGTATCATCTGCTTATAAAATGATACATATCAGGCTTGAGGAGTAATGGATTACATGTAACTAATGTCATTTTATGCTATTTAAATAAACTACACCAAGGTAATGTACTTTTTACACCAGAAATATATTTAATATTATAAGATACATAGAATCATATTTATATATTAAACTGTATCATCTGCTTATAAAATGATACATATCAGGCTTGAGGAGTAATGGATTACATGTAACTAATGTCATTTTATGCTATTTAAATAAACTACACCAAGGTAATGTTTACTTTTAATATATTTAATATTTATAAGATACATAGATTCATATTTATATATTAAACTGTATCATCTGCTTATAAAATTATACATATCAGGCTTGGGGAGTAATGGATTACATGTAACTAATGTCATTTTATGCTATTTTAAATAAACTTTATCAAGGTAATGTTGTGCTTTTTACACCAGAACATACATTTGACATTTATAAGATACATAGAATCATATTTTTATATTAAACTCTATAACCAGCTTCTAAAAATGATACATTGTAATCAAGCTTGGGGAGTAATGGATTACATGTAACTAATGTCATTTTATGCTATTTAAATAAACTACACCAAGGTAATGTTTACTTTTAATATATATTTAACATTTATAAGATACATAGAATCATATTTATATATTAAACTGTATCCTCTGCTTATAAAATGATACATATCAGGCTTGAAAAGTAATGGATTACATGTAACTAATGTCATTTTATGCTATTTAAATAAACTACAGCAAGGTAATGTTTACTTTTAATATATTTAACATTTATAAGATACATAGATTCATATTTATACATTAAACTGTATCCTCTGCTTATAAAATGATACATATCAGGCTTGAGGAGTAATGGATTACATGTAACTAATGTCATTTTATGCTATTTTAAATAAACTTTATCAAGGTAATGTTGTGCTTTTTACACCAGAACATACATTTGACATTTATAAGATACATAGAATCATATTTTTATATTAAACTCTATAACCAGCTTCTAAAAATGATACATTGTAATCAAGCTTGGGGAGTAATGGATTACATGTAATTCAGTTACATAGTCAGAGGACAGTCGAATATTTCCTGGTTTTAGTCGGTTAGTTTAGTTTTTATATCCAGATTGTGAGACATTAACAATCTGCTGCAAACACGGTTTAAATACATGCTGAGTTCAACTGTAAATAGATACTTTACTGAGGTACCTGAATGTATCATTTTATGCTATTTAAATAAACTACACCAAAGTAACGTTGTACTTTTTACATACATTTAACATTTATAAGATACATAGATTAAATTAAACTGTATCATCTGCTTTTCAAAATGATACATATCAGGTTTGGGGAGTAATGGATTACATGTAACTAATGTCATTTTATGCTATTTTAATAAACTAAACCAAGGTAATGTTTTTAAATTCACTCACTCAACAGAAACAAAACACACATGAAATAAAAAATGAAATAAAACAGAAAAATGCAATATAAGATATAATGAAAGTAGAGTTGTATGTAAACTATATACAGATTTTTGTATATAAAGATGTGATTGATATGGAACATTGAACAGGTCACAGCATCAATACTTACTATTGATATCTGTTTTATCTTGCTTTTATTTACATATTTGGTCCCAAAGTAACAGAAAGTAATCAATTTATGTTAAAATACTTGGATTAAATTACTGACTACAGGTAATTAGTAATTATATAAGATTATATTTTTATAGTAGCCCTTCCAACACAGATTGTTTTATTGATTAAAATATCTATAAAAACTCTTGTATTAGCGCCACCTGCCTAATGCATCAGTGACAGTATTAACCATTACAGAGCCATTCTGCATGATGAGTACTTTTACTATAATGTACTATTGTATGTTTAAAGGTTGAGGATGATTCAAAATGTGCAATAATATTCAGAAATTAAGAAACAATGCAATAAACAAATAATAAACAAATGGTTTGATACTCCATCATTCTTTATTTAATGTATTGTTACACAGTACCAGTGTACATATATAGATGTACATGTCTACATTTAGACTAAAATAAAGATAATTTTACTTAAAAGTGCAGTACTTTTACTCATAAAAGGAGTATTTTTACATTAGTGTATGGCTCCTTTTAGTTTTGTTTTGCGTCCCTGTAAAAAGAAGTTTTATTTAACACAAATAGTCCAGTACACCTCCACCAGGGATCTGTATTAGACTGCATTATATTGTGTCCATATTGTTGTTTGTGCCCTTTAGTTTAGCCCTAACATGTTTTTCTATGTGTTGCCGCCTGCATTATCTGTTGATATGGGTGAGTAAATATAAGATGCTGGTGATGGCTCTGAGAGACCTTATCAGTACTGTGGAGTTTTATTATCTTGGCCTGCTGACATTGGGTTAAGCTGCATGTTTACTTTTCCTTGACAACCACTGGAGTTGGATTCATATCCTACTTATACTCTCTACTTGAATGTCAAAGCTCCCCCCCCCCAATAAGTTCAACACGAGTGAGCATAATGAAAGTTTTCCAGACCTCTTTTACATTTAAACCCCGAGCAGCTTTGACGTCGTGCAGACTGAAACATCGTTTTTGTGTTACTGTGTTTGACTTTGTGAACGTTACAGGACTTACATCTGTAGTCTGAAAACAGTTTGTAGACACAGTCAATAGGCGGACTTCTAAGAAGCGAAGTGGAAGTGAAATTGTGTTATTTGTCATTTTGCAGAGTCCTGTGGAAGTCCCCCAACTCCTCCAGCGATCAGATATATGTTATTATGTGCAGATTCAAACACATACAGCTGTCAAGGTGATTCATATTTTACATTTAAAGTCAGTTTAACTGCAGGTTGCTCCTCTAAACACCTGCAAAACGAATGACCTGTTTAGTGGTAAATAACTAATGTTAGCATGCTTACACACTAAATTCTTTCATTAGAACATAGCATTGTCATTGTGAGCATGTTTGCATTTAGCTCAAAGCGCTACCGTCCCTAAAATAAAAAAACATTCTGTAAGAATTGATTGGATAAAAATATTTCTACATTTTACAGGATTTTAATATAAAATCTATATTTTAAACATAAATTTGACCAATAAGAGATAAAGACCTGTACTTGATTGGAGCTTTAACATTTTATTCTGATCCTAATTGTGTTAGTTACTGAAGCATTATTAAATTTAACCTATAATGTCTGAAACAAACAGTTAGCCTATCATGACCTCAACATCCTGTCACTTACCAATTAGTAAAACAGCACTTGGATCATTTAGGAAACTGCAGTGTAAACAGTGTAAACACGGCCAACCACAGCTATTGTACTCTCACTGTTGTGGAAGTAACACTTTGTCCTTGATGTAACTTTAGTTGCTTGTAATGTTTATGTTTTATTGTGCTTACTGTACCATAAATCCCTCTACTCTCTGAGGCCTGGTTGTAAATCTCACACAGGCTCAACGACGCGCTCGCACCAAAAATGAGAATGACGGATGTGAATGATTAACATTTACAACTGCTGACTGAAGGAATTTGTTTGGTCAAGTTTGGTTTGTTGTTGCACGTGTTCACAAAACCACCTGTGTTTGGAGAATTAGTGATCCATTAACTCTGGCTGCTTGCTGTTTTCCAAAATCCCTTCATCAGTTTTTAAAAACCCTTACGTAAGACTAACACTTGTACAGAGCGAGAGTGTATTTATTTACCAGATTCAGCTGTCTGGCCAGAGTTCAGGCCTCTGTGGAACGGTTCAGTCTTGGCAGGACCCCGAGATCTTTAAGAGCTTTTCAGCCCATCAGAAGTATTTTAAGAAGCGAACAGTGAAACACAGTTCAAGTATTTAATCTCAGAAACAGAGATTTGTTTAGAATATCTCTTCTGTAGTTTGTGTCGGTGTCACAGTTTGTATGCTGCTCTCTTTAAAGGATGAGACTGGTCCTGCCGTAGTCCGTCTTTCAGTTTGTGAATTTAATCTATAATGTAAAGTATTTCTCCACAATTATAACTTCTATAAAGACACATTTCCTCTATTACAAATATATTCTTCTATATTGTCATTCATCTGTTTTTATAAGGGTGCCCAGAGGAGGAGTTATACAGTAGTTGTTGATGAATAATAAAATGAATACACACATATCTGTGACTATAGTGTGTTATAAGCCTTATTAAATGTTTATATACGGTGTACTAAACAGAGGATTGAAGTGTTATCAAATAAGATCATCGACATTAAAAAAGGTTATATTCACTGTGAAATGTGGTTAACAAGTGTTTCCAGCATTACTGTGAGTGATTGCTGGTAATCTGTCCAGCAGCTTTACATGTGGAATACACCCTTTAATTAACCATGTAACAACAACAATAATAAATAAATAGAAAGGAGGCAGACTTCCTCTCCATTGTGTTCCTTTATTACCATATTTGCAGAGATAACTTAATCAGGAAGCAAAAAATATACCAGACAATAAAGTACTAAAAATCTGAGATACAAATAACCCCCCAACACAAACCACCCGGAGCCCCCCCACCCCCTCCTCTTCCTCCTCCTCCTCCTCCTCCTCCTCCCACCGTCGTCCTCTGTGGGTTTATGTGGCGTATCGCTTTGTCCACTGTTTGGCTGTTCGGTCATGTTCCACTCTGTTGGTCGTGTACTGGGTGGCGATGCTTCCCACCAGAGGATCGGCTGGACGGGACAAATAAAAGTTAAATTTATCTGCACGTAGAAAATAACACACAGAGAGAAAGACGACACTAAAAAGAGAGGCTGGTGAACATTTTCTGCACCAGACATCATTTTTGTTTAGTTGAAGGATCATCCGGTTTTTATCATTTCTATCTGTCTATAAACAAAAAGTAATTTTAGGTACACCACACGAACAAGTGGAGATTTTTTATTGTGCTTGGCCAGAACATTTCCTGAAATCTCAGTACTGATTCCATCACGTCAACTTACTGGTTTCAGAGTAAAATATTTTGTTCATGAGCAGAATCAGACTCCTGTCGTGATCTTTTAGTAAGAACAAATCAAGTGTGACAAACAAACTTTTGTCTGTGGTCACAAGCGTTGGGTGAAATGCAAAAACTCCCCCGTCTGCTTTCGCTTTAAATACGTTCATTAAATAGAAGAGGACGTCCAGATGACGCTGGGTTTCCTGTCAAGGTGGTCACATTTATCAGTATTTACACAGAGTTTCAGATTCCTGGTAATTTGTAAAACCATGGAAAATGTTTAGGGAGAATTTAATAAGCTTAAAATGGTGATTAAAGCACCTCAGTCTGAGTAATGATTAGTTTTTTCTCCTGTCTGGATAAATACCTGATATGACATTAAAGGTAGAGCAGAAATTGGCGTTCACTTTACAACGTGGCCGTCAGCTATCTCCAATCCCATCATGTTTGATTGAGCAGGTCTGTCAGTGTGAGGTCTACTGAGCCGTCTTACCTGGGTTACAGTCTGTGAGCAGGGAGCAGATGGACAGCAGCACCTTGGAGATGGTGAGGGCGGGGCTCCAGTTGTCCTTCAGGATGTCCAGACAGATCACCCCCTGACTGTTGATGTTGCAGTGATAGATCCTCGTACGAAACGTCACCTGCAGACACAGAAAGAGTGTAGTTCAGTTCCTACTGTCATCCACCGACTGAACCGGGACAAAGACACTAAACACAGTCAATAATCCTAAAACATGGAGAGTGAGGTTTCATATTGTTCACAGTCATGTATTGAGAATATTTATGTTTTTAAGCTTTAAATATCCATTTTACGACCTAAAAAGTCTTCTACCAAGGCAATTTTATAATTAAAACAATGGTAAAGGTTTATGTTATAATAATAATATAAAAAATATGATCTTATTGATACATATATACATACACATACACACACACACACACACAGAAACATTACAGTCAGACCTGCAGTATTAAACCTGCATTCACTGCTTTATAAGCCCTCTGGTGGTTGAAAAGAGGTACTTCTACATGCCAGAAAACATCACTGAGCTGTGACTTTTCACAAAAACATTAAAGAGAACTAGAACCTTCTCCTTAAGGTCATCAGTGCACTGAGCGGGAGTGAAAGCAAGATATTTTCTTACGGTAAATGTTCTGATCAAAACACTGAAAACTAGTTTATTTTGGAACAAGCTGGTGGTGGAATCATAACGTGTCTGTGCATCTGCAGTCGGTGTGGCGTTCAATGTGCAGAAAGCCTTTAGCAGAGGCAATATTTCACACACAGCTTTGATTCTCACACAAAAGTGGCTTGTGTGGGTATTTATTTTAATCCTAGGTTCACCTTTGTTTGTCTGTCTAACTTCACAAGGCTGTTTCCTGCTGCAGTAAACCAAAGTTTCGATTCTCTCTCGCTCACACACACACAAAATGTATTCTGTAAAAAGAGGAACAGACATAATATGTGTATATATATATATATATATATATATATATATATATATATATATATATATATATATATATATCTAAAAAAAGAGTTTGCTTTAGCTAAAAACCAAACAGAATTAAAACCCCAATACAAAAATAAACTGTTGAGTGGTTCTCCAGAACAAGCTTATCCATCTACTCGTGTCTAAATACTGCAGTAAATACAGTATATTATATCTAATACTACATTGGATCTGTAGTATGAGCTCAACATTTGCATTATTATAAGGGGGAAAACCACATCAGCAAACACAGACCACACACTGATGTCTGATGAGCGACTTTATGTGATATATTTAATATGGCTGTCTGAAAAACGTTCATCAGGACCGACAACATTCTCGCCTTTCCCACTGTTGCTCACATAGTTGGGATCCCGCTCAAGAATGTAAATCTGTGCCTGTAATCTGCACAGAGAACTGTACTGTTGATGCAGCGATCCCGGGCCTCTGCTCATTAACGTGCCGCTGTGCTGCGAGTACAGCCGAGCGGGAGAAGCCGAGCCTCAGGGGAAGTGAGACGAAAATTAAATTGTGATATTAAGGCGCAAAAGACGTCGGTTTCACTTCACAAAAGGAAATTTGGATTGTTTTGCACAGTTTATTCCCGACCTAATAAATAAGGATTGAATCATTTGATTAGGAAAATATATTTGGGAGAGAGAAAATCTTTTTCAGACATAATTTGTCTACAAAACTGCACTGAACCACTTCGTTCCTGCACTCAACACCTCAGACAAATACATCATCTATGACTAAGTTAAATGCAGATAATCTGACAGAAGCTCCACTTTTACTAAAGAGGTGAATGATTTCAGTTTTAAAGCTCCACTGTTCATCATTCAGCCTCATTGTTTTTCAACTGGGGTGACGCATTTCTTTTATTACCACGAACACAAGAGCTGTAGTTTATTCTGAGTCGGTCTCACATTCACCATCCTGCTGCTACAAATACTCACTGGATGGAAGCCAAAGCTGTGGCTTAAAATAGTCCCCAACAAATACTCAGAAATAACACTCAACTCCTGTTTTGAGAGACGGTAACTGGAAACTGCACTGTCCGGCTCTTTTAGTAAATTATTTAGCCTGTTTTTTTAAGAAGTGAAAGTATATATTTGTTTCACTTTTAGGAGCCAATGGGCTTAAAGACAGGGTAGGGAAGTCTTTAAGGATACAGAAACAAGGCACATTATTGGTTCTTTTCATGGTATTTGAATAAAAGATACAGAAAAACCACCACTTGTCCTTTGAGTAACTTATTAAAGCTACAAAAAAAAACATCTGTGGCAGCAGAGCAAATACTCCCCCGTACCAGATCTCTACTTTCATACACAACATGAGTCAGAAAAATGTTGCGTTTAAGGATTTCTGTGTAATGTAGTTTAATCTCTGAACGTCAGAACATGTGCAGCTGTAAAGTGTCGAGAGAGGATCCTACAGTTGGTATCTGCACACCGGCTTTGAGTTCTGACATATACTGTATGTCACTGTATGTCGTACTACCATCACTACCTTGGGGGGTTTGAAGGGGTAGTCTGGTGTGAAGGCGATGTCCAGGAAGAAGACGCCTCCCTCGTACACGGAGCCCGGTGGTCCCAGGATGGTCGACCTCCACTCATAGATGTTGTCTCCTTTGGGGCCAGCACTGCAGGCAGGAAACCAACATGAAAACACTGAGTAATGCAACACGCAAACAGGAGTGAAGCTTTCTGTAGCTAAAAAAAAACCTTCAAATCATCTTGGATGTCAATATAAATGTAATGCATTTCCATTTTTTCCAAAAACACTGCGGATGAATCCGATACAGCACAGCGTGTTTCATATCTGACATTTCAGAGAATCAATGTTTTTCTTCTCACACTGTCACCAGTAACGCTGAGGAAGAAAAACATTATAAAGTGAATCTCGCCTTCAAACACGCACAAAGCAAATACAACATAACAAATAAATAAAGATATATGAGTGCAGATTATAAGCTTCTGCTGCCTCAAACAGACACAACTGGCTCTACAATCAGTGGAGCAGCCGACGCAGCGCGCACTACAGTACGAAAGTCACATATTCATTCATGTAGTGTGTAAAACCTGATGAATCGCTGCACAGCTAAAGCTTACTGGCAGCAGACTGAAGCATGTGGGCGTTGCATTTTCTTTCTTCAGTGAGGACTTAAACTAAAATGGACTATGACTCCTGCCTTCCAGTCAATATCTGCACAACATGTGTCATAAAAAGGGAAATTACGCCAAAACTGATGCCCTAGTGCAGCCTTAGACGCTGTATTAAACATTTTCCATTATTTCTGAAATCCTGGAACTGTGCCGCCTTTGATGGATGAAAGCTAAATGTAACTTGTCACATTTAATGTGCCTATAATAAATGCAATTTGAATATAAAATGCTAATACATTTCTGCGTTTGCAGATTAGCGGTCATAAAAATGTCGGTATATTCTCCCTTTAAATGTTGAGTGATGAAAGTTTCCCCCTTGTGCATCATTCAGAAGACGCCTCAGTTCAAAGCCAATCCCCAGTGATGTGTCTATGCGTCATGATCTGTAATCTGTATTGATTTTCCCTCAAAGCAGCAGAGCCTTTATCCCCTCTTACATGCAGAACATGTGGTCTTGAACCCCTTGGGGTCGCGAGTACAAGACATAATAGTATTGATCCAAAACTCTGCTGGGCTGTTTTGATCAACTTTAACCACGAAGGTTTCAGTGCCAGCTACGACAGAGAGAAATCGATCCGGAGTGCAGTTTGGGCCAATTAACTGGGTGTTAAAAGATGTGACGGATGAAAACTTCCACCACATGAAAGGCTTTGACTTCCAAGTGGTTGATTTTAATGATATGAACACATTCCTTCAAACACACACACACACACACACACACACACACACACACACACAGTCTAAAAACACTAATTTACTCTCATCTGCATTGCTGATAAGCCATTTAGGGAGAATCTGATAGCAGATCAGTTCATTCTGATATCATATAAGATATGTTGTTTGAGGAACATCAGATACGGTGCGGTGCATATTTTTAACGCAGCTGGGCGGCAGTCAGATCTGCTCTATGAAATGTTTTCAAGATGGAAGCTTTAAAAACAGTCAAACGGCCTCAAAACTTCGAGAGTTTTTTTCCAGAGCGGCAGCAGATCTGAGCACAGTACGACTTCAGACGAAAGCTCGAAGTAAAACAAGCTCCGAAATAAGTGTTTTTTATTTAATGAGATGGATTCATTTAAAATAGTGAGCTGATAAAAGATCAAACATTATCTGACTGCAGCGTCTAAAATGTGAGTATTTGCTGTTTTACACAGTTTTTATTAACAGGAATAACTTTAGGTTTTAATAAATTAATTTTATAGACCAAATAAACCAAACAATAAATAAATAATCTATACTATACCAACAGTTTTGCTGCAACTCTCAACAGTTGAACTGATTTAAATCATCTGCATAATAAACAAGTTTTAACTACATGATGCGGAACCATAAAGAAATGTAAAACTCACGACTTCAGTGTAAGCTCGAGTGTATTCTCTCATTTTGAACATTTAAGTTATTACAAAATACATTATCATATAATACGAGGTACTCAATTAACGCAGCTTTTAATCCATCGTGTCCTGGGGCGGGTTGTATTTTTAAGCTGTCACACTTCATTGTTGTAATTAGGTAGTCCATTATGATGAATTTGCCTAAATGGCACAAGCCTGTTGCTGAAGCCCCGCTGCCGCTTTTGTCCATCAGTGTCAGGACTTTCACTCATCCATCCTTAATCCACAATTTAAGCCCTTAATTTAACCAAGAACATTACCGCGCTGTAGTTACGATACAGTCACAGACACACGAAACACCGTCTGAATGTCATTTAAAAGGAGTATATTTACCGAGCTTGTAACGGGCCTGTCTATGAATTGCAATGCTTTCCACTGTTTCTATTTCCCATCCTATTATCACTAAATATACATTATATAATTCATGAGATAGAAGCTATTTCAAAAAGTAATGAAAATGTTAAATGACAGACAACTTCTGTATAAAAAAATGAATGCTGAAATATTCCTTCCATTTACAGCTTACGTCAGTGCTGTGTGGTAGTAAGTAAAACATCTGTACATGCCACACGCTTCCTTCCAGCTTGATGTTATAAAACAGACTTTTAAATGACAGCTGGTTGCCTGTAAGGAGGCTTATAGAGAGACAAAAGAATAGTTTGCCCACCCAGAATCAGCCTGAGAAGCTGTTGTTTTATACATAAGAAGGAGTCTGCAGAGAATTGGCAGCAGTAACAGAAATTCAAAGTAGAAACAGCAGAAACTTTTGTTTTATGACTATGAATAAATACCAAACTGTTTTCTTCCAGTTAGCAGTAAACATCCAGACGGTGTGGGACGGTGTGGGACGGTCTGTGGCCTGAGGTAAGGGGTTTGATCTGCTGAGCACTGACGGGAGAGATTCCTGCTTCTCTTTTCTACTTTCTCTCGGGAGGTCGAAGGTCAGACTCAGCTGCAGAACAGCAGCCTGCAGCAGGGAGGGCTTCATTTGCCTCTGGACACCACAGGAGGGAGGCTGCCTGCAGTGACGGGAGCTTGAACCCAGACTACCCGGTTTGAAGGGGGGGGAGTTCAACCCAGAAAATACATATTTTTCTTCTAACCTGCACGACTGTTTATCCATCTGCATTGTTTTGGAGTCAGTTTTGGAGATCTAAAATAATGGAACTAGATCACAATCCCTAAAGAAGAAAAGAACTCACAACCTGGTTACTCTAAATAATCCACAGACTTTGTTGTGAGCGGTTTCACGTAGGAACTATTAAACCCCGCCAACCGTAGCTCAACGTTAGCTCTAGGTGAGCGTGCTGACTGTTTACATCCTGCGCTGCCACGAGCCTCTAAGCCCACGGGTCATTGAACACTTCCTTCTGTGTGGTGATACGTGGAAAAGAAAATTAGTTCCTAATGAAAGTGCTCACAACAAGGTCTGTGGATTATATCCAGTAACCAGGTGATTTCTGGGAAGAGACATTGCTATTGAGGTTTTTCTTTTTCACTACTTTGAGCACCAGAAGCCGAACGCCATCTGCTTATTATAGTCGAGAGAACAGCCACATCTCCAGAACAACCTCGATGGAAAGACGAACAATATCCCTTTCTTTTAGGTGTGACCACAACTGGTGGACAGACAGCTAACAGACTGAAACCCACCTGCAGTTTGGCGGAGGGTCCAGTGTGATATCGGCCAGCTCTTTCTGAATCCTGCACACAAAAAAGGAATCAAAAATCAGTCACAAAAGATGCTATAAAACGCTACAACTCTTCATCCATCTCTGCTCTTCAGCGTGTTATTATGAAATGTGATTTATATGTTGGTTTCCTAACTCAATCAACCTTTTATATTTTCTCAGTTTGGCAGTAATGTCATTTCTGCTGTTGGGTTTCTTGCGTAAACGGAGAGAGCAACAACGATTGTGGAAGTAAGCTTTATATAATATGAGGTTTTTGTTTTGTTTTCAGAGGAGAAAAAGGAAGCTGCTCACTTTAAAATGCAGCATATCTTGTGCCTGTGTACGTTATGGTCTGCTGAAGCTGCTGTCTGAGTAGAAATTAGCATGTGTTCCCTTTTCTATGATGGATTTCTTCCTACATACGACTGCTGAACGATGATGCAAGGTGGGAGCACTAGAAAGCTTCTGAACTTCATTATAGCTGCACTTGAAGCATCTAATTTTCCTATTTTTGTCAAATTATCTATTAAGAAATCAGATAAAATGCAATCATAGTTGGTGGTATAACTGTGTAAAAGCGGCCTATTCCAAATTAGTGCCAGAAAGAAATCCGATTAAAGCGAAATACTGGGAGAAACAACTGATCTGGGCTTTTATTTTGTACCTTTTGGCGCTGGTGGAAAGCAGCTTGGAGGTCTTGCTCATGCTGGCTTTGCTCTCCCGTTTCTTTTTGCAAAGCGTGTCCCTCTGTCTGGTTTGGCTGGAGGAAGGCGGCGACGAGGAAGAGCTGGTGCTGGCACGGGAATCCTCATCCGACATACCGGTTTGGATTGGAGAAGAGCCGGGACCTTTTTGGGGGCAGAAAGCAAAGGGCAGTGAAATCAGCTGAGATGACACCACAGCTGCAGGGAGGTGGGGCAGTTTCAGGATGCTTTCTAACCATAACCCAAAGCTAGACGCTGATATGCCCCCCCCCCCACCCAAGAGGCCACAATAGCTGAAAGGTTTCATGAGCTTACGAGCCACTTTCAGTATTTATAAACAGTCATTTGCATGGTTTCACACACACAGAGCTGCTGGTTATCTGCTACAGTAGCTGGTACACATACTGACTGGGGACGGGATGATATTGTTAAATATTGTGATACAGCATACAGTCCTATACTGATTGACTGATTTATTTTGAAGGGGATAAAAGGGGGAGACCACATCTTCATCGTCACCACGACTTTTAGGTTAAACCGGATGTGTGGAAATGGTGTAACTCCAAAATACAGAGCAGGGAGATGAGGTGTCCTACCTGCGATGCAATAAATACACGTTTCTTGACTATATGTACGGTAAAATTACGTTTTAGTGGCATTTTTAAAAAGGTACGAAGCATATTTTCATGATTACTGTGATAATATCGCGATTATTCAGGCCGAAATTAGTGCGGGAATGCTCATTTTTCATCACATATTTAACTTTTTACTGAAAATAAACACTAAAATCATGATAATGTGAATTTCTTTTGGGATCTGCAAACATGTTGCACTACAGTACCTCATTATAATGCCGTTTATGCTATAATAATCCTGGCATGTAATTACGATATCGCCCAAAGCCTGATACTGACAAACTAATTCATACTTTAAGCTTTTCTTGTGATAAAACTCAGAAATGTTATTATTATTATTATTATTATTATTATTAGGACATAACAACATAAGATATAGACATTTAAAGCCACTGTGTGTCATTACCATCTGTTGAACACCGTGTGTGTGTGTGTGTGTGTGTGTGTATTTTCCACACACACACACACACACATTTAACGTGAGCGAACGTTTCCGTGACGGTTAACTGCCGTTAGCCGACAAGCTAACTGTAAGTGCACTGGAATAAACCGTTTCACAACTCAAAACTCTGCTTTAATAATATTAATAATATTAATAATAACAATAATAATATTAATAATAGTAATAATAGTAATAAATGTGTGTGTTCAGGTTAGTTCATGGCGACTGACCCGCACACGCACACGCACACGCACGCACGCCCCCCGAACTCCAACTGACAACGAACACTCAGGCCCGACGACTTCAGGGAGGAGACTACTTCTTGGAACAGCGTAGTGGCGGCGGGGGGGGTGAAGCTGCTTCGCTATAAGCATCCTTTCTCTCTATGAACAAGTGAACCCGGGGGGGGGGGGAGGGGTATATAGATTAAAACATCGGTTGTCTCGGTTGTAACGCCGCGGTTGCCACCCGGGCTCGAACACGGGACGCGATTTTTAAAAAAGGCTAAAAATGTGACAGCGAGACGTTAACGTCAAAAGCACAGGAACAAGAGTCCTCTCCAGCACATAGCCGGAGCCCCTTTTCCGTGCGGTCGTCTTGTTTTTGTTTGTTTTGTCTTTTTTTCAGCGTGTTTACCGACGAACCGACCGCCGACTTCAGGCGGGGACGCGCTCAGGCGGCGGGTCGAGTCGTGTACGTTGGCCACTCGGTAAAATGTCGACGTTAAAGCCGCTATTTTGCGCACTAATGAAACTTACCCAGTCTATTGTGTCTGGACCTCCGCCACAGTCTCGGCTGGCTGGTGCCTGTCGCCCTCTGCGGAACGGAAGTAGCCTACCGCGGCTGCAGTGGGCTGTGCGGCACCGGTGCTCCTCTGGAAACAGCACAACCTACCATTATATCGGTTTTATATCAGGGTTTTATACACATTAATTCACCTACTGTTTTTAAAATATATATATATATATATAAGTCATCAGATTTGATTTGCTTTAATCTCTGAAATCCTGCTTTTATTTGGAATAGGCTTCTCAATATGGGACAGACTTTTAGTTAATTTTGCACAAAACTCAACAAAGACGGGGAAATACTATTAAATGTGAATATTACTTAATAACATATACATTATGAATCATTCATTTGATCATTTGGTGCTCGTAGTTTCATTAAAATGAACTGAATTGTTTGATTTGTGGAGGATCGAACTGATGTAAGATGTGTAAGCAGGTAGATGTTAACAAAACGTTTAAATATTTATATTTTTCTGTCTTATCTAAGCAGATTAAAACTCGTTCAAGCAGGTGACCCGGTGGGCTTTAATGGGTTTTTATACATCCAAAGTAACCAAATAAACTCTAAAATCTAGACCAGGCCTCTAATTAAGACCGGCCTTTAATTGTAAAGCAACACCAGGCTAGTAAAGGGGACCCGGCTTTTAACTGTAGTTTCACAGGTACAGCCAATATATTAATAATAATAATAATAATAATAATAGATTAATTAATAGATTTTTACTGACGATCATCAAATCTCTCCCAATTCAAGAGGCGATGATTAAAATCTGTATTTATGTAATTTTTCACATTTTAAAGGAGATAATCTGGAAAACGTGATGTGTTTGTTTACTACACATATCTTAAATAACTCCAGCAGTGACTAAATTGTTGCATCACCGCCCACAGAAACTGAAAAACCACTTAAACTGACCACGTCTAGAATTACTCAGGACTAACAAGGTATTATTATTGGGGCCAGTGACTTGAAAATACTCATCACACGCAGCAGCCTGAGACCACATTTTCATAGTTTCAAGGGGTTTTCATTTGGATGGTTTTGTATTTTTTTGCATCATGTCTCTGCCTTTTCTGCATCCGACATGTACAATCAACATTTCCAAACCTTATTATTTAGACAGCATCTGGTGCAATTACTAATAAATTACATATTGAGTGATTTGTAAGGCGGGCGGAGTGCCTTACAGCAGCTAAATGAGCCGTGGAGTACGTTATGTGCTGTTACCTGCAGGCGGATGTGTGAGTTTAAAAAGGTCAACAGGGTAATCTCTTCATATTTGTGAACGCCGCTGTGTCAATATTTTGGCAGTATCGTGTGCTCATCTTTCAACCCTCCTCTTTTTTTTTTTAAAGTCTCGCTTTCACATTCAGTTTCTTCACGTTTAAAGAAGAAATCATCTGTTTCAACCCTTCGTTGATGCTGTATAATGTCCACGCTGGGTGAAACAAAGCCAACATGTGGGATTAATACTCCAATATTATCTAGTACACACCTTCAGGAGTTATGGAGAACAACTTGATTTAGGTTTAAGATGCAAACACAAATTAATTCAGACACATTTCTTTACTGCAGCACAGTAATCCTTCCCTCTAATCCTTGGCGAATATATATCTGCTGTTGTTGTTTCAGCACCCTGTTGATGTGAGCACGGAGGCTTTAGCCAGGTTGGCGAGCAGCCTGCTGGCTACTGTCTCGCAGGCTAATGGTTATCTTATTATTTATGCATACCGCTGGTCAATCAGAGCATTCATTAAAATGTAAAGTAGGTTTTTTTCTGTAATGTTATTTGCACCAGGATCTTAAACTGGAACAACAGAGCTGAAGCTTTATGACTCATTTATTATAACAAAAAGCATGTTGTCTGTGTTGATTGCTTCTGTTTTCAGATACTTTGGGTATTACTTTACTCCTACTCCTGCAGGAGGACGATTCTTTGCTTGATTTATAGTTTATAATCACACATGAGGTCACATGAGGTGGGCGTGAAGGGATATCTGTCACAATCTGGTGTGAGTCTGCGTTTCATATGTGTGTGTTGCCTAAAGATAACCTCACTATTCAACACAATGACACCCTGGTTTGAGCCTGTATTGACTTAATAATGATCTATTGTCTCCTGGCTCCCTTTATATTGTTCCCACGGGTCCTGGAAAACCTGGAAATTTAGAGGCTAGTTTTGAGTTTAATCCTGGAAATGATCTATGTTGTCCTGGAACATTTCAGCCCCCTCACGCAGATAAGTAAACCTGGGTCTGAAACTCGACTGTTGGCGGTACGACACAAGCAACTACCGGTAAATTATACGACTGTTGGTGAGTAAGTGCTGTCAAGAAAAAACTCCTGGAAAATGATTTCTTGTGTGAACCAATAAAATAAACCCCTGTGGTAACTGTGCACAGTGTCATAATACGACTTTAGACACCTTAGGACCAGAAACAAATCCCTGTAATGGGGAGTTATCTGTAAATGTGTCTGTGTATTTATATTTGTATAAAGTCTAATGATGTTAAACTTGCAGGGTTTTTATAGAGACAGATATATTTTAAGATTTAAGACTCGTGGTGGTTGTGAGTAACTTAGTCATCTGTGACTTGTATTACCATCTTGGCTGCAAACCACAATGGCAATTATCTACTTTTCTAACTTTTTTCTAACATTATGAGCACTGACAGGTGATGTGAATAATGTGGATATCAGGGCTACTGTGGTTGGATATATTAGGCAGCAAGTAAATAAATCAAATTAAACATGCAATACAAAAACTGTTCAAATATCCATGTGATAAGAATCTGTGTTTACAAGGTCTCAGACTGTAAGCTCTCAAAATAAGTAACATTTCTGCACAGATGAGTGTCCAGATGCTTTTCTTTATTGAGTTCAGAAGCATATATCTCTCTAACACTTCTGTTAGTCTGATACTGGATGAGCTGTGTTTTTTATTCTCTAGTTTTCTATTTTAAATAATACATCTACCCTGTATCGTAGGTGTAGCTCAGATTTAAATTAAGCTTTTGTAATCTTACAGTGAGGTCATTAAGTGTTGGAAGGGCGTCGCTTTAAACCACGAAAGTAAATGTGTGTCACTAAACATGACTGAAACGCGTAGCCATGTACTACTAACTGTTACTGAGGTAAAAGCCGTGAGATATTAAAGGCTTTTTGAATCACTTCCCTCTCGAAGGCCTCAGATTTCTTCAACACTACAAAAGTAAATGTATTAACCAACCACCGTTGGTTTTCTAGCTGTAAGGTTACAACTTCACATCTGCCAAGTGACTGCCACAGGTGACCGAGGATGTTCAAATTTACCCTTTGTCCCCATTTCCATTGAGAAAAGTGACCTCATGCTGGTTGTGTGCTGTGGATAGGCTCTGTATTGTATCCGTGAGGACAATAGGTGTTTGTGTTTGCATTGACATGTGACAGACAGGCCCTCATAGATATTTGAAGGGTTTTAGTTCAGAGTATTTAAATTGAACAAAAGGTGTGAATAGAGTTACCAATGAATATACAGTGGCAAGAAAAAGTATGTGAACCTTTTGGAATTTTATTGTTTTCTGAATAAAATGTCATAAAATGTGATCTGATCTTCATGTAAGTCAAGGGTATTGACAAACATAATGTGTCTAAAAATAACACAAAAAAAAAAAAAATTCTGATCTTTTATGTCTTTATTGAACACTCATTCAACATTCAAAATGACAGTTTTTCTGAAGCCATTCTGTTGTGGACTTGCTCCGGTGTTTTGGGTCGTTGTCCTGTTGCATCACCCACCTTCTACACAGTTTCAGCTGACGTACATTCTCACATTATCCTGAAGAATTGTCTGATATACTTGGGAATTCATCTTCCCCTCAATGATTCCAAGCTGGCCAGGCTCTGATGCAGCAAAGCAGGCCCAAATCATGATGTTTCCTCCACCATACTTTACGGTTGGGATGATGTTTTCGTGATGATATGCCGTGCCCTTTCTACGCCAGATGTAGTTCTGTGTGTTTTTTCCAAATAGTTCAATCTTAGTTCCATCAGTCCACAGAACATTTTGCCAATACCGCTGTGGAGTGTCAATGTGCTCGTTTGCAAACTTCAGGCGTGCAGCAATGTTCTTTTTAGTAAGCAGTGGCTTCCTTCGTGGTGTCCTGCCGTGGATACCCTGCTTGTTCAGTGTTTTACGTATTGTAGACTCATGAACAGAGATGTTAGCAAGTTCCAATGATGCCTTCAAATCTTTGGCTGTCATTCGGGGTTGTTTCTTTACCTCATTGATGAGTCTTCGTTGTGCTCTTGGTGTCATTTTGACTGGGTGCCCACTTCTTGGTAGAATAGCAACAATCCCAAAGTGTCTCTATTTGTAGATTGTTTGCCTAACTGTTGACTGGTGAATTTCTAAAGTCTTTGAAATAACTTTGTAATCCTTGCCAGCTTTATGTAAATCAACACTTCTTGATTGTAGATCCTCTGAAAGCTCTTTTTGGCGAGGCATGGCTCACATAAGCGTGTTCTTCTTGTGCAGCGCAAACTTCAAAAGTTTGAGGGGTTTTTTATCAGTCAAAGTAGCTGTAGTCCACACCTCCAAACTTATTATCTTAACGAGACTCCAGGTGTGCCAAAACCTGACTGAAACCTGAGCTTTTTTGAGGTCATTAACTCAAGGGTTCACATACTTTTTCCACAAGCACTATGAGTTTTTTTTGGTTGTTCTCAATAAAGACATGAAAGATCAAAAAACTTTCAAATTCAAAAGGTTCACATACTTTTTCTTGCCACTGTATGCAGATATATAAGGAGTCATTGTGGACAAGCTTACGCTATAAGAGCAGCCTTTTATTTCCAGAAAACAGTGAAGGAGAATCTACTTGCAATGGTGAGTTACTGTATGATATTATTTTACATATATAAGTAAGTCTACTTAACATCTTACATGTTATTTTATTTTATTTTAATTTTTTAAATATTCACGCAGTGGTCAGAGGGAGACTTTAAGGAGTGGCAGAAATACTATATGTGAGAGATTTAATCACAATCACATACATCAACATTTGCTTGGAAAAGCCCCTAAATGAAGATATTTTAACTCAAAAACTTGATATTATTGTG